TGGCATGGCTGGGTTGCCTTCATAGGTGCTCCAGTGAATTCACCAGAAGCCAGGGTTAAGTGTACTAAGTCAAAAAAATGGGGTCCTCCCCAGGCTCTGAATGTTTACCTTTGGCATGATCCCTCCTCCTTCCCCCAGGGAAGGCAGGGGCTGGATTTCTTCTCCCAAGCCTTCCCTTGCCATTCAGGAATTTGGTACCCTACGTGGAGGTCTCCCTTGATGAAATTTCTGCTGGCTACTTTGTCAATGAAGCCCATGATTCCGTGACAAAAAAAATCAGGTCATCTTTATTTTTTCCATTTTCGTGCTTCTATATTTGCTCTGTTTGCACTCAGAGGCAAGATTCACATTTTAAATAATTCATTTTTTGAAGCATGTATTTTTCAGTGCTTTTTAATTGAGTAGGGTTTTTTTTTTTTGTAAATTTTTATCTAAAGTTTACAAAGAACAAAAAAACTAACCCAAACCAATAAAGAAGAAAAGCAGTAAAAAAGGAAAAGAAAGAAATGTCTGCAAAAGTGCAGGATAAAAGAATAAAAGAAATAGAAAAGAGAAGCTTCTAATTTCCTTTGCAGCAAATATAGGTACAGTTAGAAAATAATTATTTAACTGAGCAGAAGTTCAAATAGAGAAAATGTTTGCATAAATTAGAACATTGCAAAATAAATGTATTCAGTACAGTAATGTCTTATTAATGCTAGGGCAATTTGTGCAAACATAATTTCAAACTGTATTCAGTTTTATTTTTAGAGACACAAGGATTTAACAGCAGCATAAAAATAAGTCATATCTAATACGTTAACTCAAGTTGCTGTACGTGTACAGATGCTAAGACTCATGGAATTTAATGGATCTTTGAAATCTATTTTAGAACCCTTCTGTACATGACATCATTTAATAAATAATTCACATTGAATTAACAGATTTCCTATGGATGAATAAAACCTGCACCTAGGAAAGTAAGGTTAGAAATCCTGAGTGTGCTTTTCAGAGTATATGACGTCATTTGAGATTGACACAGATTTAAATAATAGAAGCAATGGCTTGAAGGATACTCAGAAATCCTCTCAAAAATGTGTACATAAGGTGAGTTATTCTGTTGGAGAAACTAGCCCACAACATCAGAAAGCAATAAATATCAAGATATATAATACCAAAATGTAATTTCCTTTTATTATGTTTGCTATCAAACGAACATGCTTTTCTGGTCCTTGGCCCATTTCTCCTTTAGGAGAGCTACATTCTATGACTGAAGAGCTGAAAGAAAAGAGATCTGATAAGAGATCCAATTCCTCCTCCTCCCTCTTTAGCTGTATGCGTTTGTAACAAAGAGGCTTATCTGACAGGAACAGCACCCAGCAACCATATTTCCAAAGTAAGTGGTCTCTGAACATGAATAGTTCTACCACAACACGAATGGCAGTCAACTCACATCCAAATGCTTATAACAAACTTCATATGGGCAATCCTTGTTTTTTTATTTGTAGAGAATCTTCCACTGGGGGACAAGGCATTTTAGAGTTAATTGATAGATAAATATGTTGATTAATTAAATTTAAAGCCCATATTTCATTCAAATCTCCTGTATTCTCTTTTGTTCCTTCATAACTACAGTTCTTACTTGGCAGGTGGGGCTGGGAGAGAATGACTACCCCAAGGTCATCCAGGGAGTTTACAAGACGGGCCTGAGCCTCTGTATCCCTGCCCCTGGTCCATCATCTTAACTATGATGCCACCCTGGCTGTCATTGAATGAGTGGGTACACGTTTAACCCTTGTATTCTTTATATTTTGCTGCCCTCCAGCAAATTCTTTGCACTTTGTTAGGTATCTAATCTGTAATTGCAATGCTGCTGTTTTAGAAGTGCCTTTATCTAAACAATGAAAGAAGGAAATGCTTGCCACTGATAACAACAAAAATCACAGTAGGATTCTAGTTAAAGACTGGCTCAGTTGATGTTTCCTGTCAGTAGATATTTGATGCAAGGAAAATCTGGGTTTTCTGTGGTTGATGAAACAAAATGCCCTCAGAATCCTTGATGTTTCGTATTTGGAAGATCTCTATTTCTAACGGGAGAATAGTGGATTATATACTTATGTACACATACACACACACATGCAAAAAGAGCCGTTGTGAAACCCTGCACTTCCAAGTCATTGGAAATAACCGATGGGGGTAAGACGCTCCAGACAAAGCATCTTTCGAAGCATTTCATGAAAGCATATAAGATTTGACAGCCTCCCTAGGCAATTTGTTACATTCCTGAATTGCTCATCCAAATGACAACTTCCCCCTACCTGCACCCATCCCCATCTGTTGGCATTAAACTAAAGATAGGTTTGAATTAGAATAGTTTTTTCATCATTTTTCTTGCTTTTTTCTGAGAAAAAAACATTTCTGAAGAGGAATGTGTGCAGGCAAGAATTTATTTATTTTCTTTAAATGTTGTGTCATTGGAAAAAAATAATAAAAACTGATGCTGCATAATGTCTAGCCCAGTGTTTTTATATCTTGGCATATTGCATGCGTGGACTTTAACTCCTAGAATTCCCATGGTTGAAGTTGCAAGGTTGAAAAACACTGGAGTAGTCAATTCTATCTGGACCCGTACCAGTCTGGCTTCAGGCAGGGGTACAGCACAGAAACGGCATTGGTCACGTTGGTGGATGATCTCTGCAGGACTCGGGACAGGGGTTGCTCCTCTGTCCTGGTCCTGTTAGATCTCTCAGCGGCTTTTGATACCATCGACCATGGTATCATGCTGCAGCGGTTGAGGGGGTTAGGAATAGGGGGCACCGTTTTGCGGTGGTTCTCCTCCTTCCTCTCCGACTGCTCACAGTTCGTGTTGATGGGGGGCAGAGGTCGATTTCGAGGCGCCTTGCATGGGGAGTGCCGCAGGGGTCAGTCCTCTCGCCCCTTCTGTTCAACATTTATGTGAAGCCGCTGGGTGAGATCATCTGTGGTTTTGGGGTGAGAGTCCATCTGTACGCTGATGATACTCAGCTGTACATCTCCACCCCAGACCACCCCAACGATGCCCTTGATGTGATGTCTCGCTGCCTGGAGGCTGTGCGGGTCTGGATGGGGAGAAATAGGCTCAGACTCAACCCCTCCAAGACTGAGTGGCTGTCGTTTCCGGCGCCGCAATATAGTCAGCTGGTGCCATCACTGATTATTGGGGGTGAGTCTTTATCCCCCACAGAGAGGGCCCGCAATCTGGGCATCCTCCTGGATGCACGGCTGTCTTTAGAAGAACATATGACGGCTGTGGCCGGGGGGGGGGCTTTTTATCAGGTTCGCCTGATCCGCCAGTTGTGGCCCTTTCTGGACCGCGACGCCTTGCGCACAGTCACTCACGCCCTTGTCACCTCCCGACTGGACTACTGCAATGCTCTCTACATGGGGCTCCCCTTGAAAAGCACCCGGAGGCTCCAACTGGTCCAGAATGCGGCCGCGCGGGTGGTTATAGGCGCAACTCATTGTGCCCATGTGACACCCCTCCTGCGCGAGCTGCACTGGCTCTCAGTGGTCTTCCGGGTGCGATTCAAGATGTTGGTTACCACCTTTAAAAGGTCTCCTCAGGGTGCCATCAGCCAAATTATGTCAGCTGGCGACACCCAGGGGGAGGGCCTTCTCTGTGGGAGCCCCTGCCCTTTGGAATGAACTCCCCCCAGAAATTCGTAAAATCTCTGAACTCCGTGTATTTCGCTGTGCCTTCAAAACCATGTTGTTCCGCCAGGCTGGGCTATCAATATAAAGATTTTAATTGGTTTTAAATGGGATTTTAAATTTGGGGTTTTATAAATTGGGCCTATTATTTAATAATTTTAATTATTTTAAATATTGTCTGTCTTTGTGTTTTTAATTAGGCTGTACACCGCCCTGAGTCCTTCAGGAGAAGGGCGGTATAGAAATTAAATAAATAAATAAATAAATAAATAAATAAATAAATAAATAAATAAATAATCTTCTCTTGACTTCTGTTCTGAGTGTCCTAGTGGACAATCACTTAAATATGAGCCAGCAATGTGCGGCAACAGCCAAAAACGCCAACACAATCCTAGTCTGCATTAATAGAGGGATAGAATCAAGATCACATGAAGTGTTAGTACCACTTTATAATACTTTCATAAAATCACACTTGGAATATTGCATCCAGTTTTAGTCACCCCAATATAAAAAAGATATTGAGATTCTGGAAAGAATGCAGAAAAGAGCAACAAAGATGATTAGGGGGCTGGAGGCAAAAACATATGAAGAAGGGTTGCAGGAATTAGTATGGCCAATCTAGAGAAAAGTAGGACTAGGGGTGACATGATATCAATGTTCCAATATTTGAGGGGTTGCCATAAAGAAAAAGGGGTCAAACTATTTTCTAAAGCACCAGAAGGCAAGGCAAGAAGCAATGGACGGAAACTGACGAAGGAGAAAAGCAACCTAGAACTAAGAAGAAATTTCCTAACAGTGAGAACAATTAACCAGTGGAGTGGCTTGCCTCCAAAAGTTGTGGGTGCTCCATCACTGGAGGTTTTTAAGAAGAGACTGGACAGTCACTTGTCTAGAATGGTATAGAGTCTCCTGCTTGATCACAGGGTTGGGCTAGAAGACCTCCCAGTCCCTTCCAACTCTGTTATTCTGTATATTGTCCCTCTGGCCCAGTTAGAATAATACTAACCAAACAAATAGGATTGTGGTGAGGATTTGGGAGTTGTAGAGGATTTGGAAAGAGACTTGGAGCTCAACTGATGCAATTCTCTACTCAAGGCAAGAATCTATAAATTAGCAAGACCCGTGAACCCCTTGGAGTTTACCAGAGCATTCAATATATGCTGGGACTTCCTAGCGGAAACTTGAAAGCAGTTTGAAAAGAACTCTGCTGGGCTTTCCTTGATGGATATATTTGCTTCTTTTGTCCCCCTGTCACCCTTGGTGGAGGAGGTTTATGAAATAAAGGAACAGAGGAAGCCGTTCACTAGAAGCCCAAGTTGGGTGATCACAAACAGCAACACCTTCCACTCTTTTTTGCAGCTTCACAAAAGGTGCGAAGAATGGGGATGGCTGTGATTGATTTTTAGTTGCACGTTTACTGCCAGGAAAGGGGAGCTGTTCTTCCTCCAGTGTCAAAATAACCAGTTGGCTGGGCCTCTTGCACCTTGACTTTGAAATGAGGGAGGCTGTTTGCCCTTCTGCCTGAGGCGCAGACGTCTGGGGCTGGCTCAGACTCTCCCCCGAGCAACTGCAGGCTCCTTTCAGTTCAAGGGCAGTTTCTGCTGCTGGCCGAGTTCCAGCAAGGCGGCTTCCCCATTGCCTCCACGAATACCCCGATAGTCAGGCCCAGCCAAGGAAATGGTGCCCAGTACTGCAGCTCCCCAGCCTCTACCCCACCTCCTCTCCAGGCTCCCTGGGATTAGGGGGCCTGCTTGAAACTGGGGCACAGAGTTGCCTTGCTTTCTTAAGCTCCTTACTCCCTTTCTAATTTGTTGCCAGGGCTGAATACATTCCCAGAGATGGCTGTCAGCAGAATGGCCAAATGCTAGGCAGGGGGGCTCATCCCCTGCTGATTAATCCCGAGCGGGTCTCCTGAATCGCTGCTCTTAATTCAGGCCATGCTAAGCGGAGACCTCCCCCCTCCACACGCTACAGGCAGAATTTTTCTCTGTATGCATGCAAATGAATTCCTTGCTGACATATTAAAAGGAACAGCCGAAGTTCAGCAGAGCCAGCCTCAAAGCGGCAGCTCAGAAAGTCTGACACCTGAGAACGGATTTTGCAAATCAATGAGGAAGGTATGGGAGGGAACTGGGGAGCTGCTGGGGGCTCCCCTCAGTCTTTTGGAGCCAGGAAGAAGAGAAGGAGGAAAGGCTGAAGCTCTATGGGGTGGCTGGCTGAAGGAAAATAGAGAAGGCAACTTGAATGTTGTATGTTGTTCTGTGCTATTAGGGGATCAAAGGTTAAAGTGGAGTTTGCTTCTTGCTTTATATGCAGGTTTTTCCCACTTCACACTCGCTGGGGTGGGGAGACAAGGGAGCCGTTCAAAGCGACTTAGTGCTACTTGCAGCACACGTGAGCTGCACAGAGCTTAGATTATCCTGCAGCTAATGCTCTTTTAGACACCAACGGTACAGTCATATAAATGGGCATACAAAGGCATTCCTCCAGACTCAGAAATTAAGCTTCATTGAAGTCAATAAGTTCCATTCCAGATAACTGGATAGAGGATTTCCTCCTGAAACAGGTAAGGATTTTTTTTCTCTCTCTTAGAAGTTTTTACCAAATAGCTTCCATTCTTTTGGTGTGCCGGAAAAACTCTAAAAGATGTCTCTAAATGGCAATGATTCGCTGAGTAAATCTTAGGCATGCTAAATGGTTGAGGACTTAGAGAGGGATAGGCAATTTGTGCTGCTACAGATGGCCTTGCCAATGCTGGGAATTGTAGCCCAGAAATTTTTAGGTAAAGGTTCCCCTCGCACATATGTGCTAGTCGTTCCCGACTCTAGGAGGCGGTGCTCATCTCCGTTTCAAAGCCGAAGAGCCAGCGCTGTCCGAAGACGTCTCCGTGGTCATGTGGCCGGCATGACTAAATGCCAAAGGCGCACAGAACACTGTTACCTTCCCACCAAAGGTGGTCCCTATTTTTTCTACTTGCATTTTTTATGTGCTTTCGAACTGCTAGGTTGGCAGAAGCTGGGACAAGTAATGGGAGCTCACCCTGTTATGCGGCACTAGGGATTTGAACCGCTGAACTGCCGACCTTTCGATCGACAAGCTCAGCATCTTAGCCACTGAGCCACTGCATCCCTAAATTTTTAGAATGGTATTTTTCCAAACTTGGCAACTGTAAGATGTGTAGATTTCTGAGAGTTGATGTTCACACACTTTCAAGTTGGCAAGTTTGAAAAACACTGATTTACAAGGTCACCTATTCTTGCTAAGAATTTGGAAGAAAACTATACTCCCGCACCCCAGCATTTGATGGGGAGATGTACTACCATAGTATGTATGACAATGTATAGAATTTGCATGTTAGAACAAAAACAGTTTGAAATGACACAAGAAGAGCCTTTTGAGCTCCAAGGAGATACGGAATATTGATGGGAAAATTCGAAACTAACCACATTTGGGGGGGCAAAGGATTATTAAATTCACTTTAAAGGCCAAAGATAGAAACTGTGGTTATCTTTCTGGGAAATGCAAATAAGAAATAGGGCACTCTGCTTCTTTTGTTTTCTTCAAACCCCAGATTCCTTCCTTGATTTTTTATGAACTCCTTATCACTTCCCCCATCTTGGGGGGTGGCGGCAAGGGGAAAGCAGGAAGTGTGGAAAACTGACATATACGGTATTTGACTGGTTCAGGAACATTTGAGACACAAAATGTTACACCATCCTCAATTGAAAAAAGGAGTGAGAAATGGAGGCGGAAGAAGAAATTAACTTGTTTGGGGGAGTAATTAGAGCTTGGAGGATGTGTATCATAGGTTTTTTTTTAACACCTTTTGTTGTTTAGGATGGAAGAAAAGGAGGAGGACAGCTCTTCTCTTTGCCATTTTTCTCCCTCAAAAAATGTTAGGTATCAAATGCTGAGATTTTGAACTGGCCACTGACTCATACTCTGAACCTAGGGCAGAAGGCTTCAGGTGTGTTGTGTGAGAGGTCTCTTTCCCCTCTTCTCCATCTCCCACCCCAGCCTGAATGGCACTCACAAAGTTCCTTCTGGGGTTGAGGGGATACACAGCAAAGTTTTCTGGCTGCTACTGCTTATTACATCTCTTTACCATTATCTTGCATGTCTCTTTAACACTATCTTGCATATTTGTCCACAAGCTGCAAAGTCACAGAATTAAATTGCAGGGTGCATGCCTCTGTATGTGTTTGTGCATGTTTGTGTGTGTGTGTGTGTGTGTGTGTGTGTGTGTGTGTGTGTTAATACAAGGTTTTGTTGTTGCAGCTTGGCTATGTCTAGACAGCTGCTCTCCACCTACCCGCCTGCCCGCCCCCACATGCTATTCCTTCTCATTCATTTTCTGACGGGACTTCAGGTTACAAAGTGAACCCGCAGCTGGCCTGGAAAGACTGAAAGGCCATTGGCATCCCTTTCATCTGTCTTTTGATTTTTCTCTTTGACCCTCGTTTCTTTCTCTTTCTTTCTCCCATTCTCTCCTGCCTTCCATCTTCTCTGAAGCAACATATAAAAACTCCAGGGTACTTTGCCCCTTCTAACAGTGTCTCATTTCCAGGTGTAAGGTAGTTCTTCCCCTTTTCAAAAGCAAGGTTTTAAACTAAAAAATCCTGCTCCCTATCTTATTTTGTTCTGTTTTTCCCCTTTTTTTTGAAGGAAGTCTAAATTATATGTTTTCCTTCTTTTCACAAAAACAATTGCTGAATTGATCAGGATGAACAATAGTGGCTTGCGTCACACTGACTCATAAGGCTAGATTTTGAGCTAGTGTGTTGTATGAACTCACCTGTTACTTTTTTTTATATAAAACATGTTTTATAGCTTAGCATGTACAAATCCAGCCAGTTGCGACCCACCAGGAAACTATGATTAAGTTGAGTTGCACAGAATTCTTTCCTCTTCCCCTTGCTGCTTGATGGCCACCAATCTGGAAATTTGATGTGGAGGGTCATCATGATGCTTGTAACACTCAGCTACCCCTCTCTTGTCCGCCTGGATCAAAAGAAACGGAATAGTTGCATGGAGGTCGTGATATAAACATAATAATGAAATATCAATAGGGTAAATAACAACCTATAAACTGAGACACAACCGTAATACCATCCTGATCTGGGGAGATTAAAATGTCTCCTTCAGCCCCTCCTAGAAAGCCTTAATAGTTTTATAAAAGGCCAACAGATTTGGAGTTCCTCTGATATCAGGGGGAATGATGTTCCAGAAAAGGGATTGGTGACTGATAAGGCCTTACTTGGGATCCCTGCAGAGCTATCCCCTTAGGGTTGTGACCCAGAGGGAGCCTTCTCTTCTGAAGGACAGGCAGAGACTGCGGGAGTGCGACATTTTTTTTTTTTTTTTTTTGCTTTAATTTATATGCCGCCCTTCTCCGGAGACTCAGGGTGGCTTACAATGCGTTAAGCAATAGCCTTCATACTTTTGTATATTTATATAAAGTCAGCTTATTGCCCCCACAATCTGGGTCCTCATTTCACCTACCTTTGAAAGGATGGAAGGCTGAGTCAACCTTGAGCCTGGTGAGATTTGAACTTGCAGTAATTGCAAGCAGCAGATGTTAATAACAGTGCTTAGTCCACTGTACTACAGGCTCTTTAATTTGCCACAGCCAACTTGCTGCAGCCAGCTCACCATGGCCAACTCGCTGCAGCCAACTCATCACAACCAACATGTTGCAGGACAACTCTCCATGATCAACTCGCCATGGGACAATTTAACAGTTCCATTTATTTAAAATAAAATAAAAAATATTTTATTTTTTGCTGTTCATAGGGTATTTCGTTTTGTCCCTCCTTTTGCATCTATTCTTTAATGATTCTATTCCATCATTTCTTTGATATTAGTGTAACTCTTGTCCTGCAGCGAATTGTCCTGTGGCGAGGTGGCCATGACAAGCTGTCCTGCAGCAAGTTGGCCATGGAAAGTTAGCTGTGGCAAGTTGGCATCGTGGCAAATTGTCATAACCCCAAGACTGTTAGAAGAGGGCAGACTCATAGATATCAATGTTGGGAACTATGACACCCTGTAAAAATGACAACCAGAACCTTGAGCTGCACCTGGAAACAAACTGCTTAACTAGTGCAGTGCATGAAAGAGTGGGGTTACATGGGGAAATGAGCAGTTACGGTCTCAAGCGACTCTACTCTGGATCTGGTGCAGCTTTCTTGTATCTTTCAAAGACAGCCACCTGTAGGTGCTTTATAGTAATGTGAACATAGGAACCAAGGCATCAATCACAACTTATTTATGGGATGACAAATGCTGTAGAGACTTTTTAGATAGAAATTTTTAAAATGAACCTTTAAATGATATTAAATTTTTAGAAATATAATTTTTTTAGATTGTTCATGGTTTAACATGAACATGATTGTTCAAGCTGCTTCTTAATTGTTTTTTTGTAAACTCCCCAGAGTTCTCCAAGAGAAAGTAAAAAAAAAAAAAAAAAAAAGAGCCTCAGAAGAGCCCTGATAGATCAGGCCATAGCCAATCAAGTCCAACACTCACTATCATGCTATGACCAACAAGATATTTTTGGGAAGTTACTAATCTGGACTGCTGTTCAATGCAAGTACTACTTAACTTATGGCCATAGGTGGAACTAGAATTTCTGTTGATAAGGGAGTTGTTGAGTGAGTCGAGCCTGATTTTATGACCTTTCCCCACAAATTTTAAGCAACTCACTGTAGTTCTTAAGCGAGTCATACAGTTGTTAAACAAATTCAGCTTTCCCCATTGAGTTTATTGAAAGCCAGTTGGGAAGGTTGCAGATGATGATCATGTGATCCTGGGTCACTGCAACCATCATAAATACATTGCCAAGGACCTGAATTTTGATCACGTGAACATAAGGGTGCTTTGATGGTTGTAAGTGCGAGGACCCGTTGTAAGTCACTTTTTTCAGTGCGGCTGTAACTTTGAAAGGTCATTAAGCAAATGGTTGTAAGTCAAGGACTAACTGTAGCCCTCTTCTGTCATTTCTCGGCTACCAACATTTAAGGCCTGCCTTTAAAATGGAAAATAAGTAATTATACAAATCAAGACTGTTAGTGCAATATGTAAAAAACACTTAAATCACTGGAGGGCTTTTTTTAAAATAACAAAATATGGATTTGAATTTCTGTCTGCCCATGTCTCTTCCATGGTGGTCGAAAGTTGCCCACTGTGAAATGTTTTCAGTGTTATAAAAATTAGAGTGAAATTTAGCTGGATTCCCAAGCTAAAACACTTCTTTATCTCCCGATCAAGAGATGCAGCAGAGACATGATGACTATGAATTTGATGGGAAAAGTCTTGATGCAGATTCAGAAGATTTGACTTTCCACAAGTTTAGCTTCTTCCATGTCAATAGAACATTATAATATCCCAATAAGGAGCCAGTAGCATCTAAAGGACCTAAACTCTTTTCTGTATAATTTAACGGCTTATTTTCCCAGTGAGTTCACATATGTTAAGACATGGTTTATTTATTCAGTAAACCACAATGGCTTATGTAGTACGCTAAGCCACTGCCAGGAAACTTTTGGTTTGGATCTATGAGTCCAATTACGAGTAGACCAATATCTTCTGCTCTGATTGCTCCTGGGCGGGGAGATTTTCTGATTCCTAATCCTGTACACTGTGATGCCCTTCTGCAGGTAGAGCCCATGCTTTGCTTCTGAGCCATGGCTGCAGGCTTTTCAGCATTTCTTGCACTTGTTCTATCAAGGGCCCTCTGCTCTGCTCTGCACAGCAAGTATGGCCACTGAGGCTCTGCTCCCCGAGTTTCAGTATTTGACCTTCAAAAGACTTGGCCTCCCTATTACAGAAATATGACAATTGATAGATCTTCTGTTCAAAAATGAGTCATTTGAAAGCTCTTATTTATTTGCATACCCCACCAATTATTATTTTTTTGCACTAATATTTTAGCAAAGCGTAAGGTTCAAAACTTGAATCACACATGAGGACAGTTGATGTTGCTTTTTTCATTTTGACTAAAGTACAGGAGCCAGTGGAGACCCACAAGTCAGCCATCTATCACAACGCCAATCCCTTGCAGGAGTTGTGGAAGAACCTCCTATTCTCAAAGATCTTAGATAATTGTTGCTGCCAACCAGTATAAGCAACAGAGCTTGCAATGTTTCAAATTCATGCAAATTTAGCATATGTCTGTTTGAGCAGCAACATTTTTTCCTGACTACAGCTGCTGCTGCTGCACATTCTAAAGGAAAAGACTCATTTGCTTTAAGAAGTCAGATTGGTGTCCCAATTGATGTTATAAAGCACATTTTGTATACAATCTGGGTTGTAATGTTAAGCTACTTAAACTAACTAGTTAACCTGGTGCAGTATAAGGGAGTCCTGCAACTGAGATAAGAGGAAGAAATATCTAAGATATTGGAAGGCAGGACTTTACAAAGCTAGTGTAAAATTAATTTAGCCCTAGTGTCAGGGTAAATCTTGAAGTTTGAGATCTCACCAGGACTCTTAAAGTTGCAACCATAAGATGGGTCTCCAAAAATCAGACAGATTGATAAGAAAAGTCTCCTTCAAGTTGAACTTGATTCTAATTACATAGGCACATTCATGTCGTTTCCTTGGCTCACAACAGATACCAACAGAGGCCAAAAAAAGAGCAGCAGTAGAATCTAGCTCAATATCCACTTCTACAGCCAGAGGAATGCCAAGTACCAGGCATCACTTTCTTTCATTCTTGCTCCACTACATTACTGATCTGCATGAACTCTGTTTCTGAATCTTTGGCCTATAACTATTAAAGAAGCAAGATCCCTAATTTAGGGAGCGTGGGTAGAATTGCCATGGCAGATCCAGAGGCCAGGATTCTGCACTCTCTATTGCCGCATTCAGCTTCAGAGTTTCAAGTAAATTCATACATCTTCACATGCACTTAAACTTCCTTAGATCATTTTTCTGTTTTAAGCCATTGTGTGCTGAGGTTGGCAACTGCCATCTGTTGGCCAAACTGGGTAATACTGATGGGGACAATTGCAGAGAGCTGGTCTTCATCATGCTCCGTTGGCTTGTTGTGATTCAGTTGCTTCGGAATCTTTGTGACATGATAGATAACATTTTGCCAGATTGCTTTCTGTGTTCTTAAAAGTTCATGTTTGTGATATCAGAGGTGTTTTCCAGTCATCTTGTCTTCAGCTGGGTTCTTCTATTGGCTTTGATTTTTTTTCAGCCATCACATCTCCTCCAAGAACTCTGGTTCCTATATTATGCGTTCAAAATTCTTATGCTTTAGCTTCATTATTGGTTATTCCAGTGAGTTTCTGGTTTTATTACATCTAGGATTGAATTATTGGTTCTGGCGGTCCAAGGTTCTTTCAACAATTTTTTCTTGCACTGCAATTCCTAGGATATCCATTCTTCCTTGCTCGTCCCTTTGGGTGATCCAACTATGACTTGTGAGTGGGAAGGACACAGCCTTAACACTACATACTTCTGTTGGCAATGTAATGCCTCTACACTGAATACTTGGTGTACAACTCCATTTGAGTAAAACTTCTCTTTCATAGCTGCAGAATTCTAGGGCATCTAGGCACATGCTAGATGACAGCCAAGATACTGTATATAGTACTGAAGGCTAATATTTTGTGGCTGTCTAATGGATTTCTTCAGGCCAGATATGCTGGCCTCGCTTTTTACCATCAATTATTTCAAATGCAAATAAGCAATAGAAGGCAAATAAAGTAGTACCAAAGTGAAAGATTGAACATGGGGTGATTCTGGACAGCTACTTCTAAGAAGAAACTGGATAGCTACTTGTCTAGAATGGTACAGGGTTTCCTGCCTGAGCAGGAAGCGAAGACTTCCAAGATCCCTTCAAACTCTGTTAATCTGTTAAATTCTGTTATGATTTTTTAAATTCTTATATAAAGCAGTTATTGAAAAAGATAAGAATTTTTTAAAAATGCATTTGACAATTTAATACTACCTGGATGTTATCTATTTATTGTAGCCCAGCAGAAATGAGAATCCTTCAAGGGATGGCTGTATGGATGGGTATCCACAGGGAGATGAAGGAGGCAATTGACAAAATGTTTATCATGTTGCCATGATATAGCAGAGAGGGGTTTATATATTCTGATGCTTTATTTAAATATGTTTACCAGTGATGCATGACCACTGTAGATGTCGTACACTAAATAAATAAGTAGAGAAGGGTGGGATTTGTCTCATGATGGCATCACAACATCCTGTTTGCATGCTTTAGTATTATCTCTCAGTTGTACATACTGTACATCTGTGAATCTGGGAAGGAGGCTGAGATGATGAATGAAGTCTGCTGGGGGTTTCATTCACTCAATAAAAGGACAGGAAACGCACCAGAAGGTACCATTTCAGCAAGTCATAACTGTGATTGGATTTGCTATTGTCAGTGAGATTAAATTAGACTGATTCATGACGGGCAGTTTTGTCATCTTCAGTAGATCTCTGTGTTTGGCTGCATATCTGTAAATTTCAGTTGCTTTGAGGTAGGCAGTAGAGAAGAGTTGATTATTCCAGAACTCTAATCACTCAGGGTAAGAAATCAGACGTTGGCCTTAAATAAGCTTTAGTCTTTCCTGAGAGTCTTAGTATTTCTAGATTTTCAATTCACAATTCTTAAGACACTGAACTGCACTGCATTGTGCCCCATTTGTGTAATGAGCCTTCTAGCCCATGTAGAAATCACAAACACAAAAGTTCTGGCCCAGTGTTATGCCTATATTGGATACGGCACGCTGATAGGCAGGACTGACAAACTAGGCAGAAGCAGGTTGAAGTTTGAACCAATTTTTGTACATAATGTTTAGAGTGGTGCTGGCTGGGGAATTCTGGCAGTTGAAGTCTACACATCTTAAAAGTTGCCACAGTTGAGAAGTATTATTTGTTTATTCATTCATTCATTCATTCATTCATTCATTCATTCATTCATTCAGCGATGTCTTTACAACTTGTAGAAATAAACTGTTAATGTTAGAAGTGGGCTGCCTAACTTGCATTATGAAAACTTCAGATTGCTAACTTTACAAGCCATTTGAGAAATTGGTACTCCAATATTCTTTGTGAATTTATTTATTTTTCTTTCCACTTTAGAAAATATTGACGACTATGTTGAATTCACACAATGAACTTTGAAGCAGAAGGTCTCTCATTCAACTCTTTTCCCTACTACTGGTTCACTAAAAGAAGTTAGAGTTAGACAAATCATCCTCTCTTCACCCGACTTTCCATGCACACATTGGCATCTGCAGGATTTTGTTGAGGCAGACATGCAGAGTTGCAACATATCTAGAAAAAGGATGGGATCTTCTGACACAAAATTACAATGTTGCTTTGACACATCCACTCCATCCCATTTCCAGTAAATACCATTGTCTGCTCCCCAATCTGCAGTGTAGTGATGTTGATTATGATAAATAAGTGGATGAGGTTTCCACCCCTGTTCAGTAGAAAAAAATTAGAGCCAGCACATCCCTAGCAGATGGAGTGTTCAGTACTGGAGTGTCCCTCCATCCCTTAGATACATGGTTCTATTTGTAGAGTTACTCATAGAAATGACTTACTTTTTTTATTCAACAAGCTACAATAAATAAAGGATATCATTACCATTTTAAATGATAGTTGCTGTAGATTAAATTTGCCTTCTGTTTCTCTTTGCAGGTAGTTCTTTTGGATCTTCCTGACCAGCTGTTTTTTGCATGCAAACTATCCTCTGGGGAGTTGACATGACAAGCTTAAAGCCAAAGCATCAGTGGAATTGCAAAAAGGATGGGAGTAAGGCTGTGGAAGCAGCCTAGCTGTTTGCTAACGTCTCTCTCTGCCTGGATGTTTTGCATTCTTCTCCTTGCATCTGGTGGGAAGATCAATGACTAGCCAGCCTTAAAGAATCTGAAAGACTGGTCCCTTCTCTCCTAGTTGGAAAAAAACAATAGAATTAGCAGGAATAGTATCCTAGATTGGCAGCACCAGTCAGAATAGTGAAAACACAACATTTTTCTCTTGGGAATTCATAAGCAAGAAAATCAATTCCATACAACAACCGTTACCACTTCCTCATCCCTCAAAAACCAGACTACAATTTCCTGCAATCGTCTTCACAGAAAGCATGGTGCATTAAATGTTAACTATGAGAATTCCCCCCAGGGGGAGGGAGAAGAAACTTTCCTTTCAATGTTTCAAAAGAAATAAAAAAACTGGATTAGCTGTAATTTTACATACTCCACAGTGGAGTTAGTAATCAACTTGGTTCCCAGATTGTGCTGATAGAAGAGGTCTACAACTAATTTTACACTAGTTTAAAGCTTTGGAATGCTTTAAGTAGTATAATTAGTATAAGTAGTGAATCTATAGTGATTATCTCAGGATAATTAAAAATGAGTTTTTCCCCCACTAGGGATGTTAGTTTTCAGTCCTGTTTCAATTTATATATTTGTGTTCCTTGCAGTTATTTCCAACAATATTCAGGCAGGTGTTCTGGAAAAACCCACAAATATGCTGTTTATAAGCCACAGTTCTCACCCAATAGGACCCCCATGATTTTAACTTTTTCATAGTGATTTGGCTATCCTGCACCACCACAATTCTCAGGACTCCTGTATCCTTTAAGAGACTCGTATCAAGAAGGAATTCAATTCAGGTACTCTCTTGACTAAGAACCATTTGTTTAGTGACCGTTCAAAGTTACAACAGCACTGGAGAAAGTGACTTATGATCAGTTGTCACACTTGTGATTGTTGCATCCCCATGATCAAAAATCCAAAAGCTTGGCAATTGCCATTTATTTATGATAGTTGCATTGTTCCAGGATCATATGATCACCATTTGTAAACTTCCCAACCAGCTTCTGACAAGCAAAGTCAATGGAGGAAGCCAGATTCACTTAATACCACATGATTCACTTAACAACTGGAGTGATTCATTTAACAATGGTGGCAAAATGGTCATAAAAGTGAGGTAAAACTTACTTGACAACAGAAATGTTGGGCTTAGCTGTGGTTGTAAATTGAGAGCTACCTGTAGTTGAAGACTTTCTTCAACTAGAATAGTGGGGATGAGTCACATCAGCCAAAACAGAAAACAAAAAACAAGCACATTTGTGTAATGGGGATGTGTCTACAAGAACTATTGTAATTATTTATTTATTTATTTATTAAAAGTTATCCATCCCCAGTCTTTGATTACTAGATTTTTAATACATTGGCACATATAATAAATGGTGCTGGTGAAAATTCAGGAGTCAGCTCTAGTCATCTTCCATGTACAGTTCTGTATATCTCATCATCATATATGTCCCTCTTTTGCCACAAACCCTCCTGCTTATTTTTGCCCTATTTATGTGTTTTCTCACCCTCTTTCACCCTACTGCTCATATCACCAAAACCACTGAACTACTAAACATTGCCCTTTGAGGGTAACAACTAGAAGATCATTGCCATATCTACAATAACATTGTGGGGTCGTTGGTGCTCTCTGAGCTTTATTTTTTATTTTTTGCAGATGTTTAATTACCCAACTAGGTAACATCATCAGTGCTAGAAAGAAGTACAGTTTGATCTCCGTTTATATACAAATGGCCTGCCCTGTCAGTGTTGGCGGGAATGTTGTTTTTTTCTTGCTGATTTGTTGATTGGGGTATGGTTTACTGTTTGATTATTCATCTGTTATTAATCCTGGCATTAATCTCTGTTTATCTGGGTGCTGATTGGGGGTGAGGAGGTGTTTCTGGTGTTTCTGTTTCCTTTTTAGCTTTTTGATGGTCTCTTTTGGATAGTATATAGATGTTGTTTATATGTGTCCGTTGATAGCTTATTTGACATAAACACCACCAGATGGTAGTACTGAGCAAGAGTCTATACCTTTCTGCAGCCGTCTAGTAGTTGTCCAAGTTTTTACTGTCCAGCTCTGGTAATCCTTATTGAGAAAAAAATGGTGGATGAGTTCCAGAGCTGTTCATTCCATTCTATATTATGCATTGTCTCCCTTTCATTCAAAAGAGGAGGCAATAGAAGACCAACTGCTAGGTGAACCAATGGGCAAACCAAGATACTGTGAGAACGATGCAGTACTTCCTAATCAGAGGGAGTAGTTCCAATGCAGGAAAATATTAGTATTGCCATTAATGCATTACGATATCCATGCAGCAGCTAGTGGCTGTTAGTCGGAAGGATGCACATTTGGGAACAAGCTAATGATCAGCTGTTCCTCAGTAGAAATAGCAGGTGTTGTTTCAGCTTTTCTGATTATACAGAGCAGCTTGCTTGGCACAAAAGCCACATATAAGGAGATTCAATTATGATTTTTTTTTACTGGTGACTACTCTGCTTTAACTCCCATCTTTTGCTTGTTGCTATGTGACAGACAGAAAGTCAGCAGGTGAAGCTGTTCACTACTACTGGACTTTGTGTATTAAATTTACCAGCTTAACAGTATGTGTATTTGTGTTCCTTTACCTATTCTTTAGCTCTGCAAATCACAGAACCTCTGTCCAAAAATGAGTTGAGCAGATAGCTTTCCAATCTGCAAAAGAACAAGATAAATGTTTACAAATTGGAGATACCACAACTACAGAAGAAGGATAAAAGGTAGTTTTTTCCTTTTTTATTTCACAGATGGGGTACTAGTGCTAGGAGAGCCTTCCAACATCTGGTAAAATCCAGTGGATTGAGTTGCAATTCCCATTGTCCCATGGTTACAGATTATGATATTGTGATCCAAAGGTTATTGAGGGCAGTGCACCAAGGATTTTGTGGGTAGTTCGGGAGAGTGCTAAACAACTGCTCCAGTGACATTCTTTCTTTCTCTCTCTCTCTCTCTCTCTCTCTCTCTCTCTCTCTCTCTTTCTCTCTCTTATTCCCCCCCCCCCAACTGATAAAAGTTCTCTGGGAACATTCAACGCTGTCGGTGAGTTTTGTCAATGAGGTCAAACCATCGACTGTTGAGTGTACCCTGCGGCCTTTGCAGACACTGGAAGTGAAATCGCTTCACTGAAGGACCACCACACTGCTGGAGTAAATTAGTGGCTTGCTCCCATCAGCAGGTCACACTTCTGTTCCAGACTTTTTCAGTGACACTTGTTTTGCCTCCTTCCAACCCAGTGCAAATCAGCAAGCTTTAATCCCCCTTAACTCTCTCCCCCACCCACACTTTGCTGGGAAGGTTAAATTCTTTCTGGGAAACCATTGCTGGAAGAATCTTCTACCTATTGGGCAGAGTCTCCAAAACTAAAAAGTCACAATCAACATTCATTCTGTCGGTGGGTTGTTATGCTGGAGGAGAAGCTCACTGATCAGTGAATGCAACTGTGACTGGAAAAAACACTTGGCCAGCAGAAGAAATGCACATTTTACTTCTCATTGAGAAAACTGCCCATTTATTTCTACTCCTTGTTTGGTTAGCAATAGATAACCTATTGCTGCTAGATTTACTCGAGAGTCATGAGGATTTTTTTTTTAAAAAAAAGTATACAATGACATTTTTTTTAATTTTTTTTTTTATTTGATTTATATGCCGCCCTTCTCCGAAGACTCAGGGCGGCTTACAATGTGCTCAGCAATAGCCTTCATCCTTTTGTATATTTATACAAAGTCAGCTTATTGCCCCCACAAACTGGGTCCTCATTTCACCTACCTTAGAAAGGATGGAAGGCTGAGTCAACCTTGAGCCTTGTTTGAGACATGTTTCTTGTGTGGCATTTCTATCAGTCCAAATGACAATATATGTACCGCTTCCCCCAAAATAAGACTTGGTCATATATATATATATATATATATATATTGTTCCAAAAGATGCATTAGGGCTTATTTTGGGGGAAACATGGTATCAGGTTGATCAGCCTGGCTGGGCACCCTCCCCAGTGCACGCACAAGAGGCAGCGAGCATGTGGAGGCCACCGGTGTCCAGCAGCTGTCCCAGCCCGCTGGTGCCTTGGCCAGCACACTCTGGGACTGTGTAGCCCACACACTACAGGTGAGTCCAAGCGCTGTGATCACTGGGCCGGTCCTCAAAGCAGCAGGTGGAAGCAGAGGCACAGGGGGGAGGACACGATCTGGCCTGCTGGACGTGCTGCACGGCCATAAAGACAGACAGTGGGATGGAGTAAGGGGGCAGCCACAGGAAGCTCCCATGTGTGCAGCTGAGCTGAAAGAGGATGTTGGACGATGGGGGCCGAGTGCACAGAGGCCACAGCATGGCGCCACCCCAGTCCCACCTCCTGCCTCACCTGATTCAATCTCTGTTGCGCTGCACAACCTCATCAACAACAAGATTGCCAAAAGAAATGCTGAGAAGAAGGAGGGGCAGGAGAAGAAGGAAAGGAAGAAGGAGAGGAAAGATAACAAGGAAAAGGAAAAGAAAAAAAGTGAAGCCAAGAAAGAAGAAGTAGTAGTATTAGTAACTAGGCTTTCTATTTGTAAATTAAAAGCATTAAATTTCACCAAGCTGCTCTGGCTGAAGGTTCTTAACTGCTGGTGATTTGGGAGGGACTAAGAGCCAGTTGAGTTCATGGCTGCCTGAAATGTGCTTGCAGTGGCTGCTGGTCACAGAGTGGGCAGCCCCATGCTTCTGCTTCCACCTGGTGCTGTTCCCACCATCACAAGGCGAGGCAGAGGGGATCCACACCCCGGCCCCTGCGTGCTTGGCCCCTGCTTAAAGTTAGATTACGGTCAATGGTATTCAAGGAAAATTGGTGGGGCCAAGTGCACAGGGGCTGTGGCATGGCGCCATCTCCACCCAGTCCTCTGTCTCACAGCCATGCCTCCCCCCTAAGGCTGACGATCTTAACAGGTTTATTTTTGGGGTAGGGCTTATATTAGGAGCATTCTACAAAATCATGCTAGGGCTTAATTTCTGGTTGGGTCTTATTTTCGGGAAAACACAGTAAACACTGAGTCTATTATTCAGATAAACACAACATTAAAATAATTACAGTATGTAAACAGCAAGATTCAGTCTCACATACCACGGTTAGATTGGAATTATCTAGCATTCTGGCTCACTACTTGGAAGAAAAACCAGGTCTTCATAGTCTTTTGGAGGCCCAGGAAGGTGACAGCTTCCTGGATCCCAGGGGAATTTATGGCACAGGGCAGGGGCCATGGCAGACAAGGCACCATCTTTTTTCCTTTTTCCAGACAGTGATTGATAGAATCAATACCAAAATCCAATTATCTCTTCCTCTCTCTCCACATTTTATTGCATTTCCTCTATTAGAGGGAAACCATACAAAGAGCTGCTACCTTTTAATCTACATTTATTTTAAAAATAATTTTTATTAAAAGATTTTACATAGTTAATGAAAAACACTTTCAAAGAAAGGAAAATATTTTAAAATAAATGAAAAGGAAAAAAGAAAACAGACAAATATAAAGACCAAAGAGAACAGAGAAAATAGAAAAAAGAAAAAGAAAAAACCCAGAAAACATACCTACACACACACCTACCTATCGAACTAGTATCTAGCTTCTCTCTTGGACTTCAGAAAACTAAAGTCTTGTCCTCTGTAGAAGACAAGAGGCTGGGGGAATCTCCTTGGGCCATATCCTGCTGGAGACAGTGGCTTTGTCTATTCCCTGACCAGGAAGTAGCTGTCAGTATTATGAACACTGGGTAGCATGACCACAAGCAGCTTCCAAATATGTCCTAGATTTAATTACTGTAAGAATATTTTTATTCTTGTTTTTGGATTGCTTTTCTCACTCTATTTTGGAGCACACTTCTAGCCCAGAAATAACTGTACAGCATATTTGTTATTTTCCCCAATGACTTTCAATAGTATTCAGGATTGGGATTATGAAGGCCTTTTCAGAACCTTCTTCCCTATAAATATTGCTTGGTTATATTTCATGTCATTGTCTGAAATATCCAATTGCTTTTCAGCTTCCATCTCTTCACTAACTGAGATAGTCTCCCAGAAAAGAAGAACTTCGTGGTTTCTTTGTTTAATCCATTCTTCTTTCATGTGCCTCTGGATCAGTGGTGGGTTGCCCCCGGTTCGCACCGGTTCTATAGAACCGGTTGTAAAACTGGCGGGAGGCTCCGCCCACTGACCCCGACATCATCAGGAAGCTTCTGAGCATGTGCAGAAGCTTCTGTGCTTGTGCAGAAGAGCATGCGCCTGGCCCCACTGCAAACCGGTAGTAAAGGTAAGTAGAACCCACCCCTGCTCTGGATACTCCACAACCCCAGAGCATAATGCAGCCACCTCTCTAAAAAAAACAACAACCCACCAGCGATGTATTCATTTTCTGAAATGCTTAACCATTTTTTCTCCAAATACATCTATTGTGCTTGTGGCCAAACAGTTCGATTTTTGTTTCTTCAGTCCAAAATGCTTCAGGTTTCCTTTTGATTAATTTAGATGCCATTTTTTTGTAATAATATCAAATAAAAGATGTCTTTCTGACATCTGATATCTTCCTTTTTCCAGGCAATTCTAGCAGAGATTTTTCTTGGTTTCCCAGATTTTTTCTTGATCTCAACAGTTACATGTAATTTACAATTTTTGATAATCTTTCTCACATGGTCAACTAGAAACATTCAGAGATTTAAACAGCTTTAACCTGCTTTCTAAAAGTGAATTGACATCATTTTCAAATTTTCAAATATCTGTTTAGAGGAGTTCACAGAAAACAACATACAATCAAGATTTTATTTCTGATGTATCCTTCCCTTTAGAAAATTAATGAATAGGGACTAAAGAGCAGTTGAAATCACAAAAAAGGAAGAAAATCAATGCAATGTATATTTGCAATCTGAATGAAAATTATGTCATATAAAAACTAGGCTGTGAATGCCTAGACCTAGCTAACATCTAGCCTTACAAATAAGATATACATTAAACAGCAATTTTAGGGGGCTGTCTAAACAACTTTAAAGTTAAAAAAGTAGTCCTTAATCAATTGTAATATGCAGACGTTGTGTTGGTTTCTATTCACTTAAGGATTCACTGCATATACAATCTGACCGAGTGCCTAATATTTACAGGCAGGTTTTTGTAATACATGTGTAGGAAGTTAGCACCCACCCCTCTGCTAGGAATATGAGATATTTTAGGAAATATTAAAAGGGCAGAATATTTTCCCCTAAAAGGGAGGCAGAAACTCAGCCCCCACCTTTGTCAATGGGCCATTAAGGCCTGGGCCAGTCTAAACTACATAACAAAGATCTAGCTCCTTCTAGCAGAGCCATAATAGGAATTGCCCAAAGCCCCTTCATTACATCATACCCCAGCAAGGCTCAGCCAGTTGCCCCTGCATGGCTCCCTGGGAGTCTGACCACCAATCAGAGTGCATTTCTTACACAGGAGCAAGAGGCTCTGGGGTGGGGCCCAGAGAGGGCATAAAACCAAGGCACTCTCAGCATCTCCGCCCTTTTTTTCTTCTTTACCCAACATTTTCAAGGCATGTGATCCTGTCCACCATTAAAACCATCTTTCCAAACGGTCTCCATGTTTCCAGTGTCTTTTTCCCCACTTGGAACTGGACCCAGAAGGATCTTTCTTCCAACACATGTGTATGTAAGTGTACGTGTGTATGTGTGTATGGGTATGTACGTATATATATAAATGTATATATGTAACTACCATAAGTAAATATAGTACATATATGACTATACAAATATAGTCATATATGTACACAAAATAAGAATGTTCCTCACCAGAAATAGATTACAGTAGATTCTGCTTTCTTTCAAATATAGATATATGCAACATTGTTGTTTTTGACTATATTGCAAAGCAGTGCTAATGAATAATGTCCCAGAATGAGCCTGAATTTGGGGGAGGGGGGGAAGAGACTTTTAAAACAACTTTAAAGTAAAAAGAAAGTAATTCTGAATCAACTGGAATCTTATGTGTAACATACAAAATCCTTGGTATTCTTTGAACTTGATTGTTTTGTTGAAGATGTTTCATTATACCCAACTAACATCATCAGTGCTAGAGGGAAGTGAGATTTGTGCTCTGTTTATACAAGCAATCCTTGATTTACATGTGATCACCTTTTGTGACCACCTGACAAGCAAAGTCAATGGGGAAGCCAGATTCACTTAACAACCATGTTACTAACTTAATAGCTGCAGTGATTGACTTAACAACTGTGGTAAGGCTGTAAAATGGGGCAAAATTCACTTAACAACTGTCTCATTTAGCAACAGAAAATTTGGGCTCAATTGTGGTTGTAAGTCCAGGACTACCTGTATACAAGGGGCTTGCCCTATCAGTGTTCTTGGTAGTTCCTTGACTCAGGTAATGTTTACTGCTTGATTGCTGGTCTAGTATTAATTCTGGTGTTAATCTCTTCTTATCAGTGTATTGATAGCTGCTGGTGGTGTTCTGGTTTATTTTTTTACCTTTTAGATTCTCTTTTCTGTTGGTTTTTGTTTACTTAAGGATTCAAGAGTGCCTAAATATTTACATGCACCTGTATATATGTATGTGTACCTTTGTGTATGTAAATATAGGATTGCCTATATTTATATGAAGCTGTATTTATACAACTATAGCTGTATATATATATTTTTTAAAAAGTATGTTTCTTGCCAAAATTAGATTCAGCTTATTGTAGGGTACTCCCCTTCCTATAACTGTTAACACTGTTGCAAGGCCAAATTGGCAGCAGGCAGGAAGGAAAACAATCAAGCCAGCTGCCTTTAAAAGGGGGGAGGAAACCATCAGATCCAGAAAACAAGCCCTTTCCTGATAACTAGTGAACCTCTAGACTTTTGCATTCCAAATAAGACAGAGCAATTAGCAATGCAGTCTTCCCTACAATTTGAGAAATCTCCTGCTCTAAAGATAGATAAAAATCATATTTTAGAAAGTTTTAGAAAGTTTTTTTAAATCATTTTCTGGGCTAAACTAAGGGTCCTTATTTTCCAAAGACTAATCATATCTTTTAACACACCTGCAAAAGAAGATTTTGCGCGCGTCTTGAGCTCCTTCTGCTAAGGCCCTTCCTGCTAACTTACTTACAAGGACTTACAAGGTCCTCCAGCATCTTGGAGCCGTCGCTGAAGCGCTGTAAAAGCCCGCCTGTCCTCCTTAACTGTACAGTTATCTTGCGCTGGATCTCTCGGCCAGGAAGTCCCAGCGCCTCTCTCCCGCCAACCCTTCGCTTTTTCTTTGCCAAATCAGACTCTTGGGCTCCAAGCAGTTGTCGGGGGTGGTGACCGGCCGCTTCGGAGAAAGCCATTGGCTCCTCCAGGAGAAACCCAGGAGGTCTCCCACTTTAAAGCCGCGGGGGGCCGGGTGGAAGCCCAGTGAGCAGGGATGAGTCCGGCCGCTTTCCAACTCTGGAGAGATTATTTCCAGCTGGCCAAGTTGGTGGAAGGGATGAGCCGATACAGCCCCTCCGAAGAAGAGCCCGGACCGCAGGCGGCGGAATTGTCGCCGGAGCAGCAGCGGGAGCGCCAAGTTTTCCCGCGGCAGCAGGAGCGGCGGCGGCGGCGGCAGCAGCAGCAGCTCGTGGACAAGGCTCCCTCGGGCGCGCGTGGGTGGGATGAGCTCAGTTGTTCTTTCTGCAAGCAGAACGGCGAGTCGCGGTCCGTCTACACCTCGCATCGGCTGAAGGACGAAGCCGGCCTCGTGCAGTGCCCTATTTTGAGAAAATACAAGTGTCCTCAGTGCGGAGCGTCGGAGGATTTTGCACACACGAGGAGATTTTGCCCTTTAACCAAGCAGGGTTACACATCTGTCTACACGAGCTGCGTCAGGAACTCTGCTGGGAAGAGGAAAAAAAAGGCAAGTCGTGGAGAACGCGAGCCGTCGTGGTTTCCCCCCTCGACATATACTTTATATATTAAAAAAAATCCTTTCCCCCCATCCCAGATTTGAAAGCCATCGAAATGGATCGGCAGCGACTCTTAATCGGTGAGTATCGGCGGTTGTTTGTAAGTACCCAAAGGAGCTAGATAACGTATATATAGCAGTGACAACCCTTAAAATGCTGCTTTTGGCGTTCCGTGGGGCTGGGAATTTGTTCCTTTTTTAATCTAAATCGAAGAAGGACCGGGAATTTGCCCGTTTTACCTCTGGGTGGCATTTTTAATCCCATCTTCCCATTTTCAACGCTGCACAGGAATGGGCTGACTCCGGTTTATCGAAAACTTTGTTTAGACATTCAGGAATCCCTACCTGGTGCAAAAAAACAAGCCTCGCTGCCCTGCTGCTGTACAGGCCATGAGTTTAGCGCACTGCCCATTTTATAGCGTCCCCCCTCCGATTGCCGGTGGTTACCCAAAAGACGATCCTGGATTATAGTGGAACGATTTACAGCGGCTTATTCAACAAATGGTATCTGACTGAAGTTTTTGTGGGAATCTCGATACATAATAACAACAGGCCCAGCAATAAGGAAGAAACTTGAATTCCCGAGTGGGGCAAAAACTTTTTGGGGGGAAGTGGGAGAGGATCTAGTTAGCAACATGTTGAAATTTTTTTGATTGTATGCCAATTTTATGCTGGGCCTGTTTTTTATCCCATAGAGGAGCCTGTATATATCTGTGTTTCCCAAAGATAGATATATAGATATATAGATATATGTAGGCCTGCAGCATAGGTTTCCCAAAGAAACATTTTTAAAACTTCAAGCAATTAAATTCTTGGTACTTTTTAATATGCAGATCAGAGTAAGAATTGCAGGCTCCTCTATGGGATAAAAAACAGGCCCAGCATAAAACTGGCATACAATAAAAAAAATTATATATTAATATGTTTCTAAATGTGATATATAAATAAACATGGAAGGAAAAGACGTGGTGACTAAAAAGTCAGGCAGAGCTAAAAGATACAATAGTTTCCACTCAATAATTTCCACATCTCAAAAAGATTCTGGTAACATTTCTTTAAGGCTCTAGGGCATAAAATTTGTGTTGCATGAAGTAATTTAATTGATGTGTAGAATGTAAATACATTGGGAAAAGATGAGGGGAAAATGGAAGTGTAGTTATGCAAATGAAAATCATGTGAGAAAGACTTTTTCAGTTAATCCCTCTAATGGCCTTCTGAGATATTTAACTCTCATCAAAAAGTTTTAGGCTTCTCATCACTCCATTGTGATGGAAAAGCCACTTGGTTCCAGAACTATTATTTTGCTATCTATATTGGAATATCCTGGAAGGTCAAATATTTTGTTATTTGTCCTTGTTTTTAGTTCTGATGTCAGATTTGTATCCCTTCTTGTGGAGACCCAGAATAGTACTGCTGGCAAATCATATCAGAAAAAGATGCTGTTGGTGTTTTAGATTGCGGATTTATACTCTGTTCAACTCTGGATCAATGAATGAATCAGTGAACTCAGTCACTATCTCCCAGTCTAATTATTTTGCAAAATTATTGTGTAAGATACACTGGGAGAGAAATTACTTATGTTGTCCAAATAAGACACTTTGAAAGGGTAGCAATTTTTTTGATGATCTCTAGATGGCAAAACCAACTTGTCTAGTAAAAAAAGAGATCTGCTCTTTTGCTTTGTGATTCTTTAGGCAAAAGTCTGCAACCAGTAGTGTGATTGTTACAAAGGATTAAGAGGCATGGAACTGATGGGAAAGAGCTGTGTATGATTTGGATGCTTGTTTACTTAATGAGAGTGATTCTGAAAACAGAAAATGTACATTTATCTAATTGTGTCCCTGCTAGCAGAGTGGGTTTTCGGTGCTCTGGGATGAAAAAGGTCAAGATGTATTAAAACAATTCTTGGGGTATTAAGTTGTAATTATAAGGCTGGCAGTTTATAGACTTAGAGCCCCCTCATCTTTGCTATAGAATTAAATGGGAAATTACTTTTTCATAGTATTAAATTTATCATTGTTGTTTATGACTGCTGATCTTGTTTTGTGAAGAGAGAACCCCATTCCATTTTCTCAAAACTACAATACAGGGCCCATTTTTGATCATACATATTTCTTTGGATTGCCTCCAAACATGGCATTCAGTCATAGGAGTCACAACTGGTAATGTATAATCCACAAAGCTCATTTGCCCTTTTAGAAGACTGGACTTGAATTATTCATTAAATTTATATGCTGCCCATCTCACTACCCAAAGCAACTCTGTTAAGAGTTAATGTTAGCAAACATTAATTATGCTTTCTTCTGGGTGAGGAAAATGTTATTGAAATTAATGATATGTATATTATTTCTTTCAGGTGTCGTAATAGCACTTTTCTGAAGAATGGAGAGACTGTAGGACTAATCATTCATGTGAAGTCACTGGTGCTCAGAAATCAATTTATAAGCAACTTGAAAAGATGCAGAAAGGACTAGTTAACAAATCTGATAAAAGCAATACACCCATCATTAGCACACCTGATATCAAGAAATCTTTCTTTATCCTCCACCTGAGTTCACATTTTGTTACAACTATTTGATGTTGCAAAACATTTTATGATATCCTCAGTCTGCTCTTCTGCATTCAACTAACATGAATGCTGTTCGTTTGTTTAAGTTTCTTCATATTTATTATTTGTGTTTATAATTGTTTAAAGTATACTTGTTTTATAAGTTATTTTTGTAACCAATTGTTTGATTTTAAATTTGTATAGTTATTGTTTTTGTATGAATACAGAATATTTTTCTTTAACTCTGGAATTAAAAAAGGAGGTATTTTCCATGATGGAATTAAAAAAATACATAAATCCACAAAAAGATTTGTGTAAGAAACAAGAAATTTTGCAAAATAAAATAAGCATCACAATTGTTTCAGCTGGAGACATCTAGAGGCCTCATAATCAGTATTATTTTAAAATGTTCCACTTTGTTTGACTTGTGCCCAAATAAAGGATTCAGATTTCCCTACAGCCCCACAAAATGAATATATTTTGCCTTCCACAATTTTGTACTGTCCAGATTTCTAATAATCTACTTGATGATATAGAATTATGGCAATTGTAAAGCTAATATATTTGTATGGAATCTCATTGCACAAGGCTTTTCTAACTTATTAATAAACTATTAAATAGTTAACCAAAATGCTGTACATAATATCTGTAGTATTTTGTAGTGTGACTGAAGTTTTTTACTTTTATTTAAAAAGCAACAGATATGCTACTCTTCTGTATAAAGAAATCATAGGAGAGAGTTAATACCCAAATAATGTGCATCTTAAGAGATGGGAGAGTAGTGGGAAAGTTTTGTTATTTCAGGACATTAGCTTTAATTCTTCTCAGTTGAGATAACCAGGTAATGCTAAAACAAAGATAAAATGTACTTTTGTGTTAAACTATTTTATTGAAATGAAAAGTAACTGTCGGAAAATAAATACCATGCCTCCTGATAGGCTGACATAGCTAAGGAAAACTGCCAAAAGTAGAACAAACATTCTTATAAATATTGAGGGAATAACAGAATCTACATGTTATACTGTAATTCTCTCTTCTTTTTCACTGCACAAGACATACTTGTCATATTGTTCATGCTGTGGGATAGGAGCCTCCCATGTTGTTTGTTTCTCCGAGACTTCAGTCTCTTGAAGGAATCCAGATCTCTGTGTGTACTCATGATCAATCGGCTGGAAAAAAGGTAACAAATAAATTATGAATTCTCATTGTTGTACAGACGTAACAAAAAAGCAGTCTGAAATTCAAAGCTCCATTTAACCATGATTAGGCCAGAATGTCTTTTTTCCACACACTATTTAAATTCCTAACCATTATCATTTTTTTTTAAAAAAAACCAGACATTTGTATAGTTTTATTTCAGTAAACTTCATGCTAGTTGAATTAGAAGTGAATATGCATTGGTAATTGCCTTGAATCCGATGATTGTTAATTTCTAAATATTACTGTATTTTCCGGAGTATAAGACACACCAAGATTTTGAAGAGGAAAACAAGAAAAAAAGTTTTTGCCCTCCCTGGCCCCCAGGAGCATTGCAGGCCTCCTAAACCCTCTGCGCATCCCATTTTTGCCAAAAACAGGCCTGTAGAAGGTTTCGGAGACCTGCAGAGTGCTCCTGGGGGCCCAAACCTCCCATGAGTCGTGTTTTTGCCCTCCCCACCCACCAGGAACACTTTGCAGGCCTTCCAAACCCTCTATATCCTGTTTTTGTGAAAAATGGGCCCATTTTTGGCTTCCACATGTTGCATTTTTGCCTTCCACAGCCCCCAGGAACACTCTGCAAGCCTCCCAAATCCTCTGCATATCCCATTTTTGCAAAAAATGGGACAGGCAGGGTGGGGTTTCAGGAAGCCAAAAATGGGACTTCTGGTGGCACCACAGGCACTGACAGACGCTCCTTTCGGACCGTCAGCCCCGCGATTTCGTTAAAACCGCCAAGACAGCGCAAATCAGCTGTCTGGTGGCTTGGAAACCTTCCCCTCTGGAGAAGAGAGGAGAGCAGCCGGACAAAGGTAGAGCTCCCCAAAAGCCCTAGGAACAATTCTGGGGCTTGGAGGTTGAGAGCTCCCTAGCACAGTGTTTCCCAAACTTGGCTATTTTAAGATGCATGGACTTCAACTCCCAGAATTCCCCAGCCAGTATGCCTGGTTCCCTGGCCAGTATGCCTGGTTGAGGAATTCTGGGAGTTGAAGTCCATACATCTTCAAGGGTCAAGTTTGGGAAACACTGCCCTAGCAGTTCGACTGAGCTCTGAATCCGAGGCTTTTCTGCTTCAAGCAGAACAAGACGCGACCACCCCTGCAATCAACATTCAGATTCAAAATAAGCTTAAAGCAGGCAGAACAAAAATAGGAGTCCTAGCAACTAAAAGTACTGAACTTTAACTCTGTGTCTATACTTCTTCCTTCTAAGACTTTTAAAACGAAAGCAAAAATGGCGCCTGAACTGTAACAGGGCATGAAAGTGAAAGTTATAGTGAAAGTGATAGTTAACATCGTTAGCGCTTCTGAGGCTTAAGATTATTGGATTCTACAACAAAGAAAGATTTAAACTGGAAAGACTATAGTTTGGACTTTAAATAAACTATAATACTTAAACAAGACTTAAAAATATTTGGATTTATTGATTTGGTTGCTGTAGGAAGTATAAATTGAAAGCTAAAAATGGCTTCTAAGCAAATAAAATCTGGCTTTAAAAGTGCTGGAGGATCGCTAGCACAACCATCAAAACTGCAATCTTTGTCTACTTCAAACCCACAAATATTGACTTTGGAAGTTCTACAGGAATCCCTGCAGGACGCTTTGAAGCAACAAACTTCTTTTTTAGAGGGGAAAATTAAGGGCGTGTCTGAAGAAATGGCTGAAATTAAAGAAGTTATACAAATTCGGAATAAAGAAATAAGACATAGTAATGGCATTTCAGGGTCTGGCAAAACACATTGAATTGTTGGATGAAAGAGTAGAAGAAATTAATCAGTCCAATTTGAATTTGGAAAATAAAATGGATGAAGTTCAGACCAAGGTAGATAGGGCAGACGATGAAGTGGTGATGTTACAGTATAGAGCGATGGAATTTGCCCTGAGAGTAAGAGGTCTGAGAGAACACAATCGAGAGAACTTGAGAGAGATCTTTGCAGAGGCTTTTGCAAAGATAACTGGGGAGCAACAAGCAGATCTCTCATTGCAAATTGACAAAATATATCGTGTTAATTCCTGGTTTGCCAGACAGAATCAATTGCCAAGAGACATTGTGATTTACTTTACAACAAGGAGGACAAGAAATGAAATTTTACACGTTTTCTATAAAAATAAACTTCAAATTGCAGGACAAGAGGTTTTAGTGCTGAAAGAAATTCCCCCCAAAATGTTGAGAAGCAGAAGGGAGTTTGCTTTCTTGGTGAATGAACTTAGAAATCGACAGATTCAGTTTAGATGGGATGTTCCAGCTGGACTGGTGGTGAATTATATGGGAGAAAGGTATCGCCTTAACACAATTTGGAAGGCAAGAGATTTTTATACTAATGTATTAAAGGCTGGATGCCCACCATCTCAGGAAATGAGAAGAAAAGAAGAGCTGGTGATACAGGGACAGAAGGAAACAGCCACAAGCTGCAGGAGAGACCTCGCTTATTGAAGATTTATTGCAATTTTTTGGTACTGATCAACCTTTGGAAGTAGTAGAAAAAAGAGAAAAACCAAAAGATCAAAGGCAGACTCGCGCTGCAGCGAAGCGAAAAGAACAAGATTTAAAGTTGCAGCAAATCCAAATGAAAGCTCAAGAAGCTACAAAAACAGAAGCAGTGGGAGGAGCAAGGCCGAAGAGAAAGGTGATGGAGGATCGTCAGCTGGCGCTCTTAAAGCTTCAAGGTGCCAAGAATGGTAACTAAATTTTTGACCTGGAATGTCAATGGTTTGAATTCACCACAAAAGAGAAAGAAAATATTTCATTATTTGAAACAGTTTAAAAACGATGTAATTTGCCTACAAGAAACACATATTCGAGTGACAGATCAAAAATATTTGATAAATTCAAGATTGGGGACACATTTTGTTGCATCTGCTCCAGAGAAGAAAAATGGTATAGTTATATACCTAAGGACAGACTTAGCAGCCAAATTTATTGAGGCAGATGCTCAAGGAAGATATATTGCAATTGAATTCCTAATAGAATTTAATTTAATTTAATTTCCAATTTATATACCGCCCTTCTCCCTGAGGACTCAGGGCGGTGTACAGCCAAGATAAGAACATAGAATACAAATATTAAAAACAGTTAAATATATATATAAATTTGGCCCGAAAGTTAAGAAATCACAAACTGATTAAAAGAATTTAAAAATTTCTTCTTAAGCCAGCCCGGCTTGCTGGAAAAGATGGGTTTTAAGGGCACGATGGAAGGCATTGAGGTCATGGATTCTCCTTATCTCAGGGGGCAACTGATTCCAGAGGGTAGGTGCCCCCACAGAGAAGGCCCTCCCCCTGGGGGTCACCAGCCTACATTGTTTGGCTGATGGCACCCTGAGGAGGCCCTCTCTGTGGGAGCGCACGGGTCGATGGGAGGTCGTCGGTAGCAGCAGGCGGTCTCGCAGATAGCTAGGCCCTATGTCATGGAGCGCTTTAAAGGTGATAATCAACACCTTGAAGCGCACCTGGAAGACCACCGGGAGCCAGTGCAGCTCGCGCAGGAGCGGTGTTCCATGGGAGTGCCATGTTGCTCCCATTACTACCCGCGCTGCTGCGTTCTGGACCAGTTGGAGCCTCCGGGTGCTCTTCAAGGGGAGCCCCATGTAGAGAGCATTGCAGTAGTCAAGGCGAGAGGTGACGAGGGCGTGAGTGACTGTGCACAAGGAATCCCAATCGAGAAAGGGCCGCAACTGGAGAATCAGGCGAACCTGACAGAAGGTCCTCCTGGTAATAGCCGTCAGATGTTCCTCCAAAGACAGCTGCCTATCCAGGAGGACTCCCAGATTGCGAGCCCTTTCAGTGGGGACCAAAGACTCGCCCCCAATAGTCAGTGATGGAGTCAACTGACTATATTGGGATGCTGGGAGCCACAGCCACTCAGTCTTGGAAGGGTTGAGTTTGAGCCTGTTCCTCCCCATCCAGATCCGCACAGCCTCCAGGCACTGAGACATCACTTCAAGGGCATCGTTGGGGTGGCCTGGGGTGGAGATGTACAGCTGGGTGTCATCAGCGTACTGATGGTATCTCACCCTGAAGCCACGGATGATCTCACCCAGCGGCTTCACATAAATGTTGAACAGAAGGGGTGAGAGGACCGATCCCTGCGGCACTCCACAGATGAGAGGCCTCGAGGTCGACCTCTGCCCCCCTGCCAACACAAAGTACGACCGGTCGGAGAGAAAGGAAGAGAACCACCGCAACACAGTGCCTCCCACCCCCAACTCTTCCAGCCGGTGCAGCATGATACTATGGTCGATGGTATCAAAAGCCGCTGAGAGATCTAACAGGACCAGAACAGAGGAACAACCCCTGTCCCGAGCCCTCCAGAGATCATCAACCAACGCGACCAATGCCGTTTCCGTGCTGTGCCCATACCTGAAACCCAACTGGAACGGATCTAGATAAGATGTTTCCTCCAGGAATTATGGAAACTGTCGCGCGACCACACTCTCAACAACCTTCGTGATAAAGCAAAGGTTGGAGACAGGACGATAGTTAGCCAATATTGCCGGATCCAGGGACGGCTTCTTGAGGAGAGGCCGCACCACCGCTTCTTTCAAGGCAGCGGGGAAGTAACCCTCACTCAACGAAGCATTAATAACGCCCTGGAGCCAGCCTCGTGTAACCTCCCGGGAAGCCAGTACCAACCAGGAGGGACACGGGTCCAGTAAACATGTGGCCGCACTAAGTCTCCCCAAAATCCTGTCTACATCATCGGGAGTCACAGCATCAAACTCCTCCCAGATAACATTCTCAAGACTGTTCCTCGTCACCCTGCTCTGATCTACCCAGTCAGAGTCCAAATCCCCCCGGATCTGAGCGATTTTGTCATACAGGTATTGTCCGAAATCCTCCGCCCTGTCTTCTAAGGGATCCTCCCGGATGGATCTTCCCGGATGGAGCAGAGAGCAGGTCACCCTAAACAGGGCGGCCGGACGATTCCCTGATGACGCAATAGAGGCGGAAAAGTAGTTAAACTTTGCCGTCTCTATCGCCACTAGGTAGGCCTTAATATGCGACCTTACCAGTGTTCGATCAGATTCAGCGAGACTGGCCCTCCAACCGCTCTCCAGGCGTCTTTTCCGGCGCTTCATTTCCCTCAGCTCCTCAGTAAACCAAGGAGCCGCATGGGATTGGCACTGGGTCAGAGGCCGCAAAGACACGACTCGGTCCAAGGCCCTACCAGCCGCCCGATCCCAGGCGGCTACCAGGTCCTCGGCCGAGTCATGTGCTAGATCCTCAGGAAATGGCCCAAGCTCTGTCCTGAACCTATCAGGATCCATCAGGTGCCTGGGGCGGATCCATCTAATTGGGTCCGCCTCCCTGCGGTGAGGGGTCGCGGTTCGAAGATCTAGGCAAAGGAGTGAGTGGTCAGTCCATGACAAGGGTTCCATGTCTATGTCCCCTATAACAAGACCACTCAACCACTGGCCAGAGACAAAAATCAGGTCCAGAATGTGACCTCCCCTGTGAGTAGGGCCATGAACTAACTGGGTCAGGTCCATAGCCTTCATGGAAGCCATGAACTCCCGAGCCACCTCAGACGTTTCACCAACGGATGGCAAATTGAAATCACCCATGACTAAAAGCCTGGGTGTATCTACTGCCACCGTGGCTATCACGTCGAGTAGTTCAGATAGGGCTGTTGCCACGCGGCAGGGAGCCAGGTACGTAAGCAGCAAGCCCATCTGAACCCCACGGCCCCACCTCATAAGGAGGGACTCACATCCGGCTATCTGAGGCACAGTGGTCTCCCTCGGACCCAGATCCTTGTTAATAATAACCACCACCACCCCATCCCTCCCCTGGGCCCTCGGCTGATGGAATGCTCTGACGCCTGGTGGGCACATTTCAACCAGAGGGACACCACCCTCCGGGCCCAACCAGGTCTCCATAATATCCGCCAGGTCCGCTCCTCCCTCTTGTATAAGATCGTGAATGAGGGGGGCCTTATTGACCACGGACCTGGCGTTGCACAGCATCAGCCAAAGGTCCAGATCCTGAGTATCTAAGCCACCTAGTATCCGAGTGGAGCCTTGGGGACCGGGGCAAGCAATTGCTCTCAGACAGCGAGTGTGAGCCCCCAACACTTGATATGGTCCCCTGCTCCCGCCATATCTGCCCCTCCCATCTACCGTGCCGATGGTACGACCCTCATAGATATCGTCCCCCATCCCTTTCACAATCCCTCGTCCAGTGCCCCCCAAATCGTTACCCTGTGCCAGGCAGGTCGTCTTCCCAGTATCTCTAAAAGAATAATTACAACCCCCCCCCAGAACCCCTTAAAATCTTAAAAAATTTCCCTAAAAAACCCCATAAGTTCTTCCTTGCTCCATGCCATCTCTCCGGACTCCAAAGTCCGTCATCGAGATAGGCCCTCGATAATGTGGAGGGCCAAACCTGTGAGAGGGGAGAATCTCGCAGGGCGAGGAGTTCCGACACCGAAGGGAAGGGAGAAGGGAAGAAAACACTTTTAATTGGAGTATATGCTCCTAATCAACAGCAAGAAAAATTTTACAAGCTTTTGCATACCAAAATAATACAATGGGATTATAAATCGTGTATATTAATGGGTGACTGGAATGGAGTATTGGATACCCAAAAGGACAACATTTCTACTCTCATTTGTGGGGGAAAGTGCATCTTATACTCCAAAAAATAGGATAATTGTGTTTATCTTACAGGATAACTCTTGAGTTGGTTTTTCTATACAAAATAATCTTCCAAATGCTTTTGGTTTTATATAGTGACAAAGCACTATTGCTTGGTTATTTTTTGTACTTTCCTCCACTAGGAGATAAAGGGACAAACATTTATCAAAATATTATCTAATCTTATGTTTCCATTTTATCTATTGCCATTATTTATACTATTATAATTAGTGGGCATTTTGGTCTCACCTAGGAACATCCTCAATATATTAGTAGTGCTCAGGCATTGAAAACATACTAGAAACAACCTTTAATATACCCTAAATAAGGAAGAGTCTTTTCAGACTAACAGGTTTTAATGAAAGAATAAGTTTTTTGTTAACAGGCTCATTTCATCAGATGCAAGGCTAAACTGATGTAAGATTTAAAGGGAGACAGTGATTTTATAGATGCAGGTACCATGATTGCAAGTAGCTGTATCTTTATCAGTTAGCAATTATAATGGGTTAAAAACCCATTGTTTGTTGCGACCATCTGATGTATGTGAGTTTAATGTGGGGAGATGAAATAAAAGATTAGTGAGCAACAGGAAGTCAAGATCTGTTGCAGGGTCTTGTGCTGTTATCATTTCTTACTGTTTGTGAGAACCCACTTCAGGTTTGATGGCTTTCTCTAAATTAGACAAGCATGAACTGGCATCCAGTGCCTGAGAAAGTGCAGTGTCATTGCCCATTATGGGTTGTATGTTTTAGTGCAGTGATGGCGAACCTTTTAGACACCCGAGTGCCCAAACTGCGTGTGTGCGCATGCCCAAACTGAAAGGTGCGAACATGCACATGCCCAAGCATGCGCAGCAGAGACCCGAAGACCAGCTGGCCAGGGGGACTTGGGGCATCCCAACACCGGCAGCGCAGCAAGAGGTAAGATCTTTTTCTTTCGTGAGCTTGTTTCTTTGTTTGCAGAGAAACAGAAGCTCACCAAAGAAACGCCACGGAGATCTGACCTGGGGCAACAGTGCGCATGCCAACAGAGAGGGCTCTGCATGCCACCTCTGGCACGCATGCCATAGGTTCGCCATCACGGTTTTAGTGGCTTGAGTTGCAAGTTATAAGTGACAATGGGGTGTTATGCATTCTGATTTTTAATAGGTCCTCCCTGCGAATTGGTTTGTCTCTACCGATTTGTCTGGTGGGATATTTAATCTGAGTGCAAGCTGTCATTTATGCAACCTGTTATTCATATTTTTGAATGGTTGCTAAACAAGGCAGTTAGTAGACAAGGATATTTAGGTCAAGAATGGAAAACCTCTGGTCATGTGACATAATTTCATTTTGGACTAATTTCAAAGACCTTTGAAAGTGATAAATCCAGAACCTTTGGTAAAAAGAATCTTTCCATACTATGGATATTATGAAGATGCCTGTCTACTATATTTAAACTCTTTCATGTGTTTTATAACAAATATAGTCTTACTTGAGATTGGACAGTTCTTTAATTAGTCCATAAACAACCTCTGTTGCATCCTCCTGTTTGGACGGATCACAAATCATCTTCATTTCATCTCTGATTTTTTAAAAAACAATTATAAAAGAATTAGGGCATCAGATCAATGCATATCCGTGACTTTTCAATAGTAAAAATGCCCTTAAATGTTGTGACTATCAGGCATTGTAGTTTTTAAATTCATTTTAAAGTACATTTTAGAGTACATTTTAATATTAAATATGTTTTTAGCAAGTGCTTTTACCACCAAATCTTAGATATCTTATTCATAAAACTTTCTGTTCCTGCCCCAAAATGCCTAATATAGGACAAAGGAGTAGCACAAAGCTGTCAAACATTATTATGATACCGGTATTACACTCAATGTAGACATCCTTTCAAGAATAAGCATTTTAATTCTGCATTTTGTTCTTTTGCTTTTTTTTCTTTAACAGTCTGCTAAAAGCATGAGAAAAATAGTAGACAAAAAAATGGAATGTTAGCATAAATGTTTACTCAGATACAGGTAAACATATATACACGTGTGTAATTGTGTGTATACAGAAAATGCAGTCCTTAATCAGACCATGTGGAATGGGAATGCAAAATAAAAACTCACTTTAGGAAATCCACTAACCTGAGATTATTTGCATATATTTCAGTCGAATCAGGGGGTGAGTTTTTATTTTCTCCTTGTTTCCTTGTGGTATACTGATTACTTTTGTCCGTGAAACATGTCTGTAAATCATTCAGAACACATGTCTGAAAGGAAAGAAATGGAAGAGATACAATGGTGTTCTACATAACAGAGAATTTACTTGGAGGTGGGGGTGTCATTTTCATTTTTATTCTGCTAGTAACAAATCTCAGCTTTGTGCAGGAATTTTTTAAAAAGACCTTTTCCAGTTATCTTTGAGATTAAGCTATTTGGGAAGGATCTGTTATGTGGCAAGGGAATAAATCTTGTTCATTTTCAGTGTGCTTTGCTAGCAAGCTTTTCTTCTCCACTATTTCCAGAATTCCGGACACTGTGTTTCCTTTTTCTTCTGTCCTCCTTCTATTGGTACCCCTTTATAAATGAAGAGGAGGAAGACAATTATAGACAGCCAAGTAGTAGCCCTATCTATTTCTAATAATTCATCTTCTTTGAAATGGATGAAAGTAAGAGGCAAAAAGCCTTTTGTTTGCACCCAGATGCCACCAAGAAAGCGCAGAATAGAACTAAGAAATGAGAATAAGGGAAAGAAGCTGAATGTTTCTGAAAAGCAAAAAAGAAAAAGGGTGAAGATTGGATTAACCATAGAATTAAATGAAAACTGGGACTTGACTTGATATCAGCAATTAATTGCAGAATTTTTTACATTTAAATTTATATAAAATATTGAAAAAAATTGCACCTCAATCTTAATGGTAGTACTGCACTTTATAAATGATATACCCAGCTTTAAGGATTCAACCTCGGAAACTGTTTTAGTTTTTCAATAACAAGAATTTAAGTTATATAATATATATAATATATAATAAAGTATATAAAGCTGTCCAGACTTCCTTTGCAGAGTGAGATGGGCAGCATATAAATTTTATAAATAAAGTACAAGGTCATTTCTTTCCAAATCAATATGAGATTGACTGTTAATTGTGAAGGACCTAAACACCATTAATAATGTTAATCAAATTTTAAGACCTCATCTGTTCTGTTGAATAACAATGGCACTTTTTAAAAAAATTAGTCATTAGTAGTCAGCTTACTTTCTGTGATTGAAATTCAACACCATGGCTTTCCAGGACGCCCTCCAATAGAGTGTCAGGCAAAGATTCCAGATCCAGGGAAAAGGAAGCTGGGCAAGAATATGCTTGAGCTACCATGTCAAGATCATTTGGTGCACTGATGCTGGAATCTGGCCCATATGCAGCGAAAGATTCTTGCATTTTTGATTGTGCATTAATTTCCTTATTGGGGTCACCCAACACTTGTGGTGGAAGAATCTCTATAGAATGGAGACTGCTTTCCACCTGGTCAGGTTTGCTCCTGTTTCCTTCACACTGAGCTGATTCTTCATCTGCCATATAGATATCACTGGAAAAGAAGACATTTTTCCTTGGTTTTGGTTCTGCCTTGGAAACCTTCATTACTGTTTTCTCAACAACATTTCTGCTTGGCAACACATTCATAATATTGTCTATAATCAAATTATTTTCTCTGAGTTCTGATTGCTGCATATTCAACACCAAATGTTCAGAACAAATTGTATTCTCTTTTTGGATCAGCAGAGTAGGAACATTTGGTTCAGTCGAGTTACAAATGCTCTCCTTTATGCAAGCAATATCCTCCAAAGAATTTTTTCTGCTTTCAGGTAGAACATCCTCATTAAACTCTGGGGAAATCAGACTTCCTTTTAAAAGGATCTGGTCACAAATTGGCTCAGAATGATCCACTCCCTTTTCTAAATAGGGACTGACAGGCTGAACATATAGAAACTCTTTCCCAGAAATACCTTGGTTTTTGATGCTATTTTGCTCTGCAAGAATTGACTCTTTTCTACAAGAGTCTATGCTTCTAATGTCTTTCTCTACAGGTTTGCCCTTCAATTCGAGGTTCTGCTGATCAAAAGCTTTTTTAATCAGTACAGATTTATAGGTTCCAGGTGCAGAAATTTCATTATTGCTACATGTACAGTTGTCATTTTGTTCTTCAGTTTTTCCACTTTTATCTGGAAGTCCCTCTGTTTCTTTGGCATCAGCATTTCTCTGTTTATTTGCACTAGTTGTACATGGAGAACTGTTCAATTTTCCTGATGTAGGAATGAATATATCTGTAATAACTGGGAGTTGACTCATGTTGGTCACCTTTTGGGTTTGGCTATCCATGCACTCGGAATAATGTGAATCTTTCCCGTTTCCATTATTAATCCAGCTAGGGTCATCTGTTTCATCTGCTTTCAAGATAATCTGCATCGATTTAACTTGTTGCACATTTATGCTTGAACTATCCAGACACTCTTCTTCATTTTGGCCACTTTTAATATGGTCAATTCTCCTATCTTCTAGCAACATGCTTACATTCATCTGCTTCGCCAGTTGGTATTTAAGTGGCTCTATAGGGAGAGTTTTCTTTTCAGAATTATTCACATCATTATTACTTGATACACAAAAAGAAACTTGTTTTTGTGATATTTCTTCTCTGTAGTTGCTTGCTTGTGAATTTGGTTCAATTACTGCTTTTTGCTGAGAATCAGATAATCCTGATGCGACATCATTGTTTGTTTTTCTAATCCCATATTTATCTTGTGTTTTTACATCTAGTCTTTCATTTATTCTTTCACAATGAGGGATTATTTGATCTCTAGCACTCTCCATTTTTGTCACTGATGATTCTGCAGATATAACTGGGTTCTGGACAGTATTTTCTGCTGTTCTAGATACATTTTTATCCATGTGTTGACCCTTTCAAAAGGCAAAAAAAGATGAGAAGATAAAAAAGCAGTGCAAACATTTAGCATTTTCTGAATATTTTTTCTCTCACCTCATAAAAATAAATGTGTTTAATTATCCAGTATTTATATTTTGATCCATTTTCAAGTTCTCTTCTAATATCAGTGAATATAAATTTACCATATACCGGTAGCTACAAAAACACTGTAATAAAGTCTTTAAAATATTTTTAGATTAATTTTTATTGCATTCCTATTCATTTGTTGTGTGCATGTCACTCCTTATTTTGTGACCTGCCCAGAGTCAAAGTCAGCAGTCATCAAAATCAAAGGCCTTTGAATAAAAATATTTTAACGCCATGCTCAACATGAACAAGAAAATGCTTAGTTTCAGAAAAACATCTACAAAGCTCTACTACTACACAAATAAATAACTGTAAATAGCAGTAAAAATATAATCTTAGTTGTATTTAATTACTTTTGAAATATTTCTTTCTCATCTAACCACAACCCCTTTTTCATGATGACAAATATCTATTACATTTTATTTATTTATTTATTTATTGTATTAAATTTTTATACCGCCCTTCTCCTGCTGGACTCAGGCTGGTGAACAGCCAAGAATAAAAAACATCCAATACAAAATTTAAAATTATTAAAAGAATTAAACAAATTTTGGCCCATATTTAAAACATCCCAACTAAAATCTGTTAAAATTAAAATATCTAAGGGGGGGGGGTTACGCCAGCCCAGCTTGGTGAAATAGAAACGTTTACATTACATTACATTATATTGTAAACAAGCAGAAAGTTTGTTGCAAATATCAGCTCATACCTCTTCGGTCCAAATTACTGTAGTTTTCTCAAAACATTTTTCTGGTCTTTTAATCAATGATTTTTTTGACTTAGTAAATGTTGGTATGAGCTTCCTATTCTATAATAAAAAATGAGACAGTCATATTCACTTCCTCAACAACTTTTAAAATTAAAGTATTCAATTTGGCCCGGTAAAACTATTCCATATGCATGAAGATTTCGTCTAGCGCTTAAGCTAGAAAAATACACCATGGAAAAGCCATAATGGTTCTGTGATTAGTTGGTTCTGTGATTGGTTCTGTAATTCAGCAGAAAGTTTTTCTGTCAGAAAGAGAAACAGTTTTTACTTTTCCTTTCTTCTTCCTATACCTCACTAGGTCAGTTTCCCTGTTGTTATCATTCTCCTCCATGCTCACCATTGCACATTTCCAGAGTACACAGGAAGTAAAAATTAAGTTAACATTAAGATTATTATAACATCAACATTACATGTCTTAACATGTAAGGCAACCCCAACAATCCCACATCCCAAATACCTTTAACTACCTTCCAAAAGACTATTAGTAGAGTCAATCTTATTTCTATGGGGAGACCATTTCAGAAGACTAGGGCAAAGAGAAGCACCTGAGCTTTGGACCTCAAGTTCCCAGGAATGGGGCATTATCAACAAATTACTCTGGTAGATGCCTCAGATGTGACAAATTCAATTAAAGGAGTTGATCTCTGAGGTATCCAAAAACATCACTTTGAATTATACCTGAAAAGCTACAATTAAGATCCCAAGGCTAGGCTTCTTCAGAACTGTGTCATATGGTTATATCATTGAGCACTAGACAATTCATAGAACACTGCATTCTGGACCAATAGCCGCTTCTGAGTGGTCTTAAGAGGCAGCCCTTTTAGAGAGTGGTGCAGTAATGGTGATGTGCAGTGTTGAGGGCATAAGTCATTGTAGCAAGATCTTCCCGCTCAAGAAGGTCTGCAACTGGCATAGCAGTTGGATCTGGACAAAAAGGCTCCTGTCAATGAGACTTCTGGTTGATGTTGCGGCTGGAATGGCTGGAAAATAGCGGAGCTCTGCCGGGCTCTGTGAAATGCAGCCGGCAACTGCTTGCCAGGAAACCCTATGGGGTCAAGCCGCCCTGGAGGGGTGGTGAAGAAAGGATAGGTGCTTCGTCAATCACGAGGAAACCACAATTTACTCGTTGATCCAAAGAAAGCTCTCCTGAACGGCAGCAGGAACGATGGCCATTTTTGTCAGTCAAAAGCTGGGACAACCGGGACACTAAGATTTTGTGCTGGAGCAGTCTGTGGACAGAGCAGTGAAACTAGGCGAGATAACTTCCAACTTTTACCTTACAGATTGAACCCAAGTAAAAAATTCCCCAAAACAATCTCCAAACGTTATTGGATTTATGGAGAAGGATTAAAGACTAAAAACTAAAGAGAAAGATTAAAGATTAAAGACTCAGATGCAAAAGAAATACTTAAAGTATGCTTTAAAACACAGAAAACCTGGAAAAAGTTGAATAACATTGTGAAAAGTGATTGTTGGGAGAAACTGATTTTCTAAACTCTATCTTTAACCCCCGATTGGTTGACAATCAGCTGTTTTGACTTTTACACTTTGTAGTATGCTGGAATTGGGAGTAGGGAGGCCATCTACTGGAGGAAGAAGATTACTGCAATGTGGGAAATTTAAGTGAAAGAGATGAGAGGAGAGAATGTAAACAACACCTGGAAGGCTATTTGACCTTGACTCTATCTTAGTAGACAATTTGGATGCTTGGAAATATTTAGTGAGCTTTTTGAAGATCTTTAAGGCAAACTGAACTGTAAATACTAAAACTTTATTGAAACTGTTCATTGAATGGTGGATTTGAAGATTTGAGTAAATCTTGTGGATCAAGTTGGATTTGGTTTACTAACATAACTTGTTAGATTATCCTACGAGACAAAAGAAGAAAAGTGATAGAAGGGGGTGGGGAGAAAAAGGAAAAGAAAAGACAAAAAAGACTTTAAAATTTGGACAATTGGGAAGGTATAAACTGGAAATTATAAAGACTGTAAAGTATAAATTATAGCTTTTAAGAACTAGAAATTTAGGGAACTTGGAGGAATAATTCTGGGATTGACTAAATTTAATTAATAATTGACTTTTTGGAATTTTTTAGATATTGGGATACTGGAATATTAGAGGTATATTGAATAATTTTTAATATATTAATTTGGTACAAAATGACTCAGCAGGAGATGACAGAGTTCTATGAAGAAATGTTGGTGATGGTTAAAAGTATTTACAAAAATGTGACAAAGAATCATAAGGAGATGATGGGATTGTTCAAAGATAAAGATGTAAGTGTAAAAGACCCTCAACAAATGGTGGGAAAAGATGAACATAATACTCAGAAGACAGATGAGAAACTAGAAGAAGTGGTGGGGGAGACAAATCAAAATAAGTTACAAGAAAGCAAAGAAACAAAAAGGTAGTAACAATAAATACAAAGAATCAAGTAGATAATTCTTTAAGAGCTTACAATAGAACAGAGGGAAAAAAGGAAGATTTTCCAAAAATAATGTAAGGGTTATGGATGGGTATCCAAATGATACAGCAGAAGGAGATAAGGGGTAAGGCAGAGGGAACATTCAGTCTGTGCAAAAATGTCAGAAAGAAATATAGGATCCCAAGAGAGAAATATAAAAGAATCATCAAAAAGTCAATAAACAATGAAATTCTGAAAAGGTTATGACGGATAGAGATAAAATATCTTGTAATATTGTGACTGTATTAAAAACTAATAGAAATAAGTAGAAAGTATAAATTGGGAAATAGTAGCACATATATAGATATATAATCTAGGGTGGTAGAAGACTATGATTAGGTATATTTAAATGTATTATTATGATTAACAGTGTGCAAAAAACATACTGGAATCTATAGTTTTTAAGGATCACAAATTCAGGAGACTCAGAGATATAATCCCAGGACTGATTAAATCTTATTAATAATTGGTTTTATTGGTGTTTATAGAAAACTGAGATATTGGAAATATGGTGGAAATTTGAGCAATATTAAAATATTAGTGATTTAACAGGGGCCAACAAACACATTATATGGAGAAATATAATTGATTTTTAAATATATTTTTGGAGAAAGTGATAAAGAATCATAGAGAGAATAGCACTGTTTAAAGATAAAAAGGTGAATATGGAAGAACCCCAACAAGTTGGGGGGGGAGAATAAGTACAAATTGGAAAATAGTATATACATTGATACATAAAAGACTATATTATAACTATATTATAATTATAATGAGCATATTAAGCATATATATAAGCATATATTAGAAGTTGGAAGATAAAAACTATGTATATGTAATTGTATTATTATTGTTAGCACTGTGTAAAAAATACATTGACCCAGTCATTACACTGTACACAAAATATGTTGGCTATATATATAAAGGCTCCTGGCTCTTCCAACAGCAGTTATAAGTCCAGCAGTGCTACTTCGTCAAGAGATGCCCCTAGAGTAAATAAAATATACGCTCAAGTATATACAATTTGATAAAGATTTGAAAGGCAACATTCTCTGACAACAGATGTCATCTTAATTAGAAAATCACAACTAGAAATTACAGTAAAATTTCCAGCAGTAGGAAGAAGACGGTGAAGGTCAGTGAAGGTGGAGTGCAGGGCAGCCAAAAGCGCAGAAATGAGGGAGACATAGGTGGAAGGGGAAGAGTTGAAGTAAGTGCTGTAAATGTTGGCAGCCCAAACGTTGTAATTGGTGGGCTGCCAAGTGTCTAAACAGTTATAACTTGACCGTGGAAGTGGTGGAAGTGGAGGTGCTGCAAGGGCCATAATCTCAAGGACTGGTTGTAACTACTATTTGTTAGTGTCATCATCATTTTAAATGATCACTGAACAACTGATAGTTAAGGGAAGATTACCTGCAAACTTTGGAAGGCGGAAACCTCCAGATAAAAAAGACAATATAAACTGCAATTACACTACTAAGATGTCATTTTTGCATTGAAATTGGAACATACTTACTTGTGAAGAAGATATTGCAACCTTAGTGTAATCTAGCTCTTTCCATTCAGAACCAGCCTTAAGTAACTTGGCAGAGCTGGAAAGAAAAAAATTAATTCAGATTTAGGAACAAAAAATTCTAATTTAAATTACCCAAAAGAAAGATCCTGCAATAGGGAAAAGATGGTTTCCACCTTCCCATAAATAAACTTTATTCTCGCCAATTGCAGCGAAACAAGAAGCCCACATCTCTTCCTTCTATATTCACATTCTGTTTTATTATATTTGTATATTACAGTCACACATTCATTTTCCCCTCGATTATAGAGCACTTACATTATAAATTTGTTCAAAGGGAAAGAAACTTGAATTATTAATAGAAAGCTCCATGCCCATTTGCACTTTTTTAGTTGCTTGTTGTATGCATGTATCAATTAATGTCCAGTTTCCCAAGGTCTGCGGCTTCCCTCATTTTCCATTCCTTAGTTAAATCCCAAGGAAGGAAACTGTGACAGATCTCCTTCCACTGAGCTTTTTCACTAAAACAGTGTCTCATTTAAGGAATTACTGTAGAGTACCTCCTTCTACTACAGAAAATAATCTATTCAGTTTCATCCTCGATAAAATTGTTAAGGAATAAGCCATTTGTGACAAATTCAATTTAAAACCTTGTATGAGGAAATAATGCATACATTGAAGAGGAAAATGAAAATGTCAGATAAATTGTGCTCAGGATAGTGTGTATTAACGGTTATGTGGGATTAGAAAGGGATATAAGGCATACCAGTATTGGATTTTAAAAAATGGGAAGGGAGTCAACTGCATACATTGCTCTGGCTAGAAAAGAAATGTGTATTACAATTATTTCATTTCCTGGGAACAGGCATTTAGGTAGCCATGGCTTTGGACATCTCTACTACTTGAAGGCTGAGAATTAGGAGGATTTTACCAGCACTTGGAATACCTCTTCAAGTCTTCAACCGACCCCAATACTGTTGGGACATCTAGCTTTGGGACCATGGCAGTTTATATAATTTTCTCCAGCTAACGCTACTATTCAATACTAACACTGGTGATTAAAGTATATTTTACCATCAAGACATGATTGCAGCATGGAAAAGAGGAAGACACGACAAGAATGAATTCTGGTGTGTAGACATTGCTTAAAACATACAAGCAACAAAAACTAGATGTCCTCATGGAATTTAAAAAGGTGGCTGAAGAAGATAATGTTAAGTAATGACAACCACCAGCATTAGTGTTATTAATAAACCAAGTGATTCCAGACAAAAATGATATGTTGAATTGGGATTCACAAGATGAAAGTGTAGTGAATCATCCCACCAACAACATTAGAAATCAAATTCCCTGCACCTCTAACCGTTTCCTCTTCTTGAAGCAACTATAGCAGGTTTAGTTGCAGCATGTACTCCAAAAAATTGTCAGGAAGAGATCTCTAATAATAAAACTACAAATGTCATGTCTAGGCAAAGCTTACTGATGGTGCAGACTGCTTTGTAAATTGTTCATTATTTAACAGAAATAAAGATAAAAGTGGATTCACTGAAAGAGCCCCTTGATGTATTTACTCAGTCCTATCATAATAAATTAACTCTTATGTTTCTACTGGGGGGGGGGACTAGTTTAAAACCTCACTGTGCTGCTCCAATATAAAGAATGTAAGAGTTATGAGATTATCATCTCCATTATTGGTTTGTATTTTTGTTATGTGTGTGGATGTAATAAATTAACTGGAGCAGAAACCTGAATCCAAAAATGATCAAGACGCTGTAACCCAAAGTGAAATTGAGTCTTATTGCTGAATCTACTGTGAAAAGGGAACAACCCCACTCCCCCACCCCCCAAAAAATCTTGTTCTTTTACTTTTGAGACACGGAAGGGTTGAAAATTAAACTCAAAACAACTGTGTATTGCAAAACAACCAGATTTACCTACAAATCACTCTTAATAGACTCAATAGTAAACAGTGGGGTTCAAAGAAAGTAATACTCATTCCCTAAGTTGGTTACTTCAATGTCATTACTGTGCATCTGACATACATTTGGTGGAGTGGCCTCCTAATAAGATGGGCTGTAATGAGAACCAAAGAGTGGTTCTCTTGCAAAGATAACAAACCATCTCTGTCTTCTGGAGTCACTTATTCAGATAAGCAACTTCAGGCAGAAGGAGGAGGATAGATTGCAGTTGAATTTATAGAGGCATAATTAGTTGCTACCTTTGGAGCCCTGTCAAGCTGTGAAGAGAAAGATTTATTAAAGAAGTCAGAGCAATGGTTCTCAATCTTTTATTTCTCGTGGACCCCCTATTAAATATCTTTTAGTGGCTTTCAGAAGTTTTGCTCTGCAGTTTAACCAGATGTACAGTTTAACACTGTAGCTTAAGATGGACCCCAGGCAATAGTTAGATTTGTGCTGCTCTATCAGCTTCCCTGACTGAGCTGTTGCTGAGCTGGTTGGCCAGCGACACTCAAACCTTTTGTGGCCATGGAGCCAGGCCAGCGATCCCTAAGACTTAACACAAGATTTAAATCATGACATTTCTTCAAGCCTTCGCAGACCCCCTGTGATGATATCACACACATCCCCAGGGTCTGCAGACCATAGGCCGAGAACCAGGAGAGTTTCAAATACACCACCAGGAGATGCAAATTCAGTCCTACAATATTACAAGATTGCAGAACAGCATTTACTGGACTCTTAGTTTTTGTCAAAGGGCACTGGGATATCTCATGTTGGCTGTTCCAGTGCCACAGCTGGCAGTAGAGGAACTACTGGATATAATCCACCCACCAGCATTACCCAGGGAGTGTCTACACAGCAATAGATTTGCCTGCCCAAACTGAATGAAGGATATTTAACTAATATATTCCCTATCCTTCATTTTCTAGAACATTGCAAGGTGGAAATCCAGAAGCAGAGTTCCACAATTCCTGGCATATATCTCCAGCTACAACTTTTTCCCCCCCAAGAAAAATGTTTTTTAACTTCTTGCCACACTGCAACAGCGACTGGTGACCTTTTTGTGATAAATGGACATTTCAGCAATCAGGAACAATCATTACCTTTGTTAGAATGGAATATGTTATTATAGGGGAATATTATTATTCAGTAATAATGAATAAAAGAAGAATAAGAGGATCTGGATGGTGAATCACAAGGCTGGGAGCAGTGTTATCTGAGAGTTCAAACTAGAAGTAATAGAACAGAATAACAGAGCTGGAATGGACCTTGGAGGTCTTCTAGTCTCAGACAAATTGTTGTCCAGTCTCTTCTTAAAAACCTCCAATGATGAAGCACCCACAACTTCCGAAGGCAAGCCATTACACTGGTTGACAGTTCTGTCAGGAAATTTCTCCTTAGTTCTAGATTGCTTCTCTCCTTGGTTAGTTTCCATCCACTGTTTCTTGTCCTGCCTTCTGCCTTGGAAAATAGGTTGACCTCCTCTTTGTGGCAGCCCCTCAAATATTGGAACACTGCTATCATGTCACTAGACTGGATAAACCCAACTCCTGCAACTGTTCTTCGTGTTTCAGCCTCCAGCCTCCTAATCATCTTTGCTTCTCTTCTCTGCAGTCTTTCCAGAGTCTCAATGTCTTTTTTATATTGTGGTGACCAAAACTGGTTGCAGTATTCCAAGTGTGGTCTTGCCAAGGCATTATAAAGCAGTACTAACACTTCACATGATTTTGATTCTATCCCTCTATTAATGCAGTCTAGGATTGTATTAGTTTTTTTGGTACAACTACCTGGAGAGAAGAATGCATTGGAGTACCTCAAGGTTTTGTCATGGGCCAGTGCTCTTCAAAATCTTCATAAATGATCTAGATGAGGGGATTGAAGGGCACTCAACAAATTTGCAGATGACTCCAAGCTGTAGGGAATTGGTAATACTTTGGAAGAGAGACTCAAGATTCAGAAGGATCTTGCCAGACTTGAGTATAGAGCCCTATCCAACAAGATACAGTTTAGGAGTGAGAAAAGGACAATCCTACACTTAGGCAGAAAAAAACAAAAGCACAGGCACATAATAGGCAGTACCTGGCTCAACAGGAGTGCCTGTGAGAGGGAGCTAGGTGTACTGGTGAACCATCACAAGTATGAGTCAGCAGTATACTGCAGCATACTCCTCACTGTCCAACTCCACTGCCAGCTCTGCAGGCTGCTGGCGGACCACAACAATACTGGTAGCACCACTAAATACTGCACTAGTGAGGCCACATTTGAAATACTGTGTCCAACTCCATGATATAAAAAAAGGTGTTGACCCTAGAAAGAGTGCAGAGCAGAACAACAAAGATGATATGGGGTCTGGAAGTCAGATTGAATGATGAAGGGCTAAGCCTAACGAAGAGAAGGATTAGGGGGTAACATGGTAGCTTGAAGGGCTGTGCCAAGGAAGAGAGGATTGATTTATTCTCCATAGCACTTGAGGGCAGAACAAGAAGCAGTGGGTAGAAGCTCATTAGAGGGAAATCCAATCTGGAACTAAGGAGGAATTTCCTGACAGTGAAGACAATTAATCAATGGAACAGCTTGCCTCCCCAAGTTATGGGTGCTCCATTGCTGGAGGTGTTCAAGAAAAGACTGGATAACCATTTGCCCAGGATGATATAAAGTGTTCTGCCTTGGGTTGGATTAGAAGATATCCAAGGTCTCTTCCAGCCCTAAAGTTCTATGATGCTATAAATTCTATGATGCTATAACAAGGGCCTGGTGGCTCAGCAGACTGATAGCATTGTGATTAACACCAGCTGCCTGCAATTACTGCAAGTTCGAATCTCACCAGGCTCAAAGGGTTGACTCAGCCTTCCATCCTTTCTAAGGTAGGTTAAATGAGGACCCAGTTTGTGGGGGCAATAAACTGACTTTGTATAAATATACAAAAGTATGAAGGCTATTGTTTAACGCATTGTAAACCGCCCTGAGTCTCCGGAGAAGGGCGGCATATAAATCAATTTTTTTAAAAAAAATTAAAAATAAAATTTTATCAGGAAGAATATGAATATAAGAATATGAAATAGGATATCCCCAACTTGTTCTTCAATAGTAATGTTGATTGGTAGTGCAAAATTTTAGTTATTTGATTTATTAAATGGATAATTCAACAGTCATTTTCCAAATACATTTTACTAAGGCATGAACTGACAGGAGTATGAATTTTGTAAAAACCAAAGCATAAACATGAATTACTCTAGTAATTTCTTCAAGTTAGTAATTGGCAAGTGGTTTGCAATTAGTATTAAATTAATATTGTAATTGTATTTGTTTTCAGGAATTGCTGAGCATTGCTGAATCCTTCTCAAACATTTTAAAGCAGTGAAGTAAATTAGTCTTGCAGGCCATAAAATATGCTGAAGGTTGTTTTAGAAATAGATTATTTTCCTGATTTTACTGAATTTAACTATTATTTATTATTTAAATCCATTCATTGAAGAAAGAAAGATTGATTTTGAGAGAAACCATTATAGTCTTATTGGCAGGGGTTACAAATCAATTTACTGGGAGTTGTCAGGCACCAACCTCTCCCAGTAAACAGGTAACACTAAAACAGAAAAGGGAAAAATGTACCAACCACATCATTGAATTAGCTATATTCACTGTTCTGAATGGTGCTACCTCTCATTCTGCTAGAATCTAGTCTGTATCTGACAGGAATATGATCGCCATCATAACTGTCCACTGGGGAAAAAAAACTGTCCACTTTGAAAAAAAAGTCCAGTTGCCTTTTGAAAAAGCACCTTTGGGACAGTTTATCTAGGCCAATTTTCCCACTTAGTGCCTTACTTTTCATAAGTATTTGAATAAGCTGGCTGAAAATTCAGGAGTTATGGTCCTAAACTATTTCAAGAGTACCTGGTTGGGACTGTTTTGGAATTAGGTGGGGGAGGAGAAGATGCATTACCATATATATATATATATATATATATATACATATACATATATACACACACACACACACACACATATATATATATATATATCAATTTTCTTACTTCTTCGTAGGGTTTATGTGTGTTTTTCTTCTAACTATACACATCACTCGTTCTAACACCTACAGCTCAACTGCTATATATTTTCTATAGCTGTCATCATATCATATCCTTGTAAAGGCTATCATTTTCTTCTTCGTAGGGTTTATGTGTGTTTTTCTTCTAGCCAGGTTTTCCCTACGTAGCCAAGGTTTTTTGTAGCTCCAGCTCAGTAGAATCACATCTACTCGGTTCTGGGCTTTTTTCTTTCTAACACCTAGCAAGCTCTAACTGCTAGGTGGGAGACCTAAATAGATCCATTTCTAGCTCGTTAGCTGTCATCAGTAGGCCACACCCATATCCTCCCTGTAAAGGCACAGTATCAATTTTCTTACTTCTTCTATTTATCTATTTTTCTTCTATCCATCTATAGCCATTTTTTTGTAGCTCCATCATATCATCTCTATCGGTTCTACTATTTTCTATCTAACACCTATAAGCTCTAACTATTCCTAATAGATCCATATCTATCTTATCATCTAGGCTATCCATCTATATATACATATCAATTTTCTATATATATATATATATATATATATAAAAAACATAAAATTGTTACCTTAGTTCCTGATCTTCTTCCAAATTTTCTTTATGTTCTTCATATACTTCTGGTATAGAGAGAGAATGACTGGTCTGAGAAGCTTGGGTTAACATTTCTAGATCACTTTCTCTTGTCAAATTCATTTTCTTTCTAGTATTCTTCTTTGGCTTAGAAATGCCTTCCTCGTTATTTTCTTCTTTTGAGAGAGAGGGAAAATAATATCAATAAGCTGTAATGTTTATTGAAACACAGCAAACTGGTTAATACTTACCAAATGAAAATGAATATACTATTGATTTAATTAAAAATATTACATAGCAATAGCATGTAGATTTATATACTGTTTCACAGTGCTTTACATTCCTCTCTAAGCAGTTTACAAAGTCAGCATATTGCCTCCAACAATCTGGTCCTCATTTTACCAACCTTGGAAGGATGGAAGGCTGAGTCAACCCTGAGACAGTGAGAATTGAACTGCCAAACTGCTGGCAATCGGCAGTCAGCAGAATTAGCTTGCAATGCTGCATTCTAACCAGTGCGCCACCATGGCTCTACACAATATGATGCATAATGCATATAATTCTTATTAATATAAATCTTCAATTAAATGCTCCCCATGAACGTCATTCCCACTGGAAATAATGAGATTAGCAGCCTCTGACACAAGGCCGCAAAGACCTAGTTTTGTCAATGAGCCTGAGGACCCCAGAGTGGGATGGAGCCCATCAAATGTTTGTTGCCACTAAGTGGGTAAAGGATTATTGGTTTTTTATTGCTTTTATGTTTATTATGATTTTGTTGCTTAGCATGAATACTGGGAGCTTCTGTACCAGAGACAAATTCCTTGTGTGTGTAATCACATTTGGCCAAATAAAGTATTCAATTCAATATACTGGGTTTTTAAGTATGTAAGTCATCCAGAGTCACTGAGAGTGAGTTGGGCAGCCATGGTTTTCTTAAATTTTAAATTTTTCTTAAATAAATAAATAACCTATACTCACTTTATTAAAGTATAACTATCAACATTATTTCTAAAAATGACAGGCATTGCATAGTATTCTCATTGCATCTTTGGGCAGATCCTTCAATTCTTCCCATTAGGGAAAAAACTGAAAATAAAAATATGTACCTAGTATTACCCTTTTAGTAATTTTTAATATATTTGCATTTGGTCTTAGTTGCCATATTTGAGAAAGGATATAAGGATATAATAAAAAAGTACAGAAGAGGGCAAATCAAATGATTGGGCATAAGATTTTATATTAAAGAAAATCATCTTTACATAAAATCATGCTGGTATGGAGAAAGTGGGTCAATAGGATTATGGTTTACCCAATGAAACTGATTAGAAAGAGATTTTAAAAAGACTAAAGAAAGTTTGTTTTCACATAATGCACACTGCCAACATTCTACTAGGATTGATGTAATAGATAAATACCCACTCAGAATGGGCTCGCAATTTGGGGGTCCTTCTAGACTCACAGCTGAGATTGGAACAACATCTGACAGCTGTAGCTAGGGGGACCTTTGCACAGGTTCGTCTGGTGCACCAATTGCGACCCTACTTGGATCAGGAGGCTCTCCTCACAGTCACTCATGCCCTTATCACCTCACGGTTGGACTATTGCAACGCGCTCTACATGGGGCTAGCCTTGAAAAGTGTTTGGAGACTACAGATGGTCCAGAATGCAGCCACGTGAGTTATAGTGGGTGCACCTAGATACACCCACATTACACCAATTCTCCGCGAGCTGCACTGGCTCCCTATCGGCCAGTTCAAGGTGTTGGTTATTACCTTTAAAGCCCTACATGGCTCAGGACCAGGCTATCTTCGAGACCGCCTTCTACCACATAGCTCCCAGCAATCAGTAAGATCCCACAGAGTCGGTCTCCTCCGGGTCCCGTCAGCTAAACAATGTCGGCTGGCGGGCCCATGGGGGAGGGCCTTCTCTGTGGCTGCCCCAGCTCTCTGGAACCAATTACCTCCTGAAGTCCGGACCACCCCCACCCTATTGGCCTTCCGGAAAGCGGTGAAGACCTGGCTCTTCCGGCAGGCCTGGGGCCATTGATCTCGTTATAGTGATCTTGCGAGACCCGGCCACAAATTGGAGTGTATGTGTTTTAACGTTTTAATGTTTTAATGTCTTCTTTTAACTTTTGTATGGGATATTGTTGCATTATTTTATTCTCTGTTGTAAGCCGCCCAGAGTCCCTTGGGAGTTGGGCGGCATAGAAATGCGACAAATAATAAATGAAAGCCCGATTGGGCTTATTATCAGGGGATGTCATATTTTCGGGGAAACATGGTAGTAGTGCAGACTTACTGATTTTGGAGACTCAGTGTACCTCTGGATTGGGGTAGCATGCTTGCAAACAGCAATAGCAAAAGCACTTAAGACTTATGTACCGCTTCACAATGCTTTACAGCCCTATCCAAGCAGTTTACAGAGTCAGCATATTGTCCCCAACAACCTGGGTCCTCATTTTACTGGAAGGATGAAAGGCTGAGTCAACCTTGAGTTGGTCAGGATCGAACTGCCCGCAGTTGGCAGAATTAGCCTGCAATACTGCATTCTAACCACTGCACCACTATAGCTCCCAATATACATGCAATACCAGTTATAGGAGAGCAGGTTTGAGAGTTTCCTAGAAGCCTCTAGTTACCACTGTGAGAACAAAATACTGGAGTAAGAAGGACCTTGGCTTAATCCAGTACAACTATTATTCGATTATTATGTACACATATATGAGAGTGGGAAGGGAAGTACTGTAAGTGTCTGAGTGAATACATGATTATGCATGGACTGGTCAGCAACATCTTTTTTTCTTATGGAAGTTAAATTTAAAAGGACTTTGACATGCTATGCTATTAATAAATAAATAAATAAATAAATGGTAGGTCATCAGTATTGCATTGTATTTCAAAGTGGCTTGACTCCCAGGTAATGGTGCATCAGATTCCAGAGTAACTAACTGATTGTAGAACAAAAGTTTCTACAGAAGATAATCTGTTTCAAGAGTATTCAAGAAATGGAACTAATATTTCTACCTATGGCCAACTAGATGTCTATAGGATACTCACAAATACATATATATACTAACTATAGGTTAGGATATATTGCAAATTAACGCTTTTTAGTTGTGGTGTAGAAGAGTGAATGCCCCAGTAAGATTAGGCGAGGCAATACAAAAATATCCACTGTTTAACATTGTAGGTGTAGTTTTAAAATCATGCTCCCCTTCAACAACTACAATAACAATCTTCATCACTGAAATCTTTTTAAAAGGATTGAACTGGATTTAGATCACTGCATTTATTCACTGTATGATTATGAATTCAACTGTCAATTGCTGGACATAGATAAAATTGTTAAAAATTCTATATTACAACTATTAGTTTTACTACTTAAACATTTTTAAAAGTGCTTATGGCTGTACAACTGAAAATATACAAAAATGGGAAAGTGAACAAATATGAAATTAAAATGTAATAAACTATTTGGTTTGAACATTCAGTTCACAAATGTGACATGATTTTTCTACTCTACCCTGTTTCCCCCAAAATAAGACATCCCCTGATAATAAGCCCAATCGGGCTTTTGAGCACATGGCAATAAGGCCAAGCGCTTATTTCAGGGTTCAAAAAAATATAAGACAGGGTCTTATTTTCAGGGAAACATGGTATTTAAAATGTTAAATACACACACTACTGGAATATAGGAGCATAAAGAAAAAACAATTATTATATCTTTAGCAAAGCAGATTTATAGTGAAAAAGTATATTTAGCGGAAAGGTACTTGACTGCCTAATTATAGATTCAAACTCATTTTCTGGATTTCCATTTATTTAGGTTAATATGTTGGGTGAACCCAACCACTATAATTTATCAAATCATAACTTAGGACTAGTAGAAATGGGCAGCCTCTGTCCTATATGTGCCTTCATCATTCCTATTGCAACTCAGAATGCTTTGATGTTAAAGAATTTGATTTCAATACTGAATGCCTTAATATTTAATCTGAAGTTCTGAACTGTTTTTCCTAGTGCTTAAACTGAAGGATATAGGAAGCTATATTGTAGCACCCAGTCATATATTAATGATTTTAAGAAGATATAAATAAAATTATATATATATGTATATATGTATGTTTCTATTACCTGAAATCTGAGTCTTTCTTCTTTTACTCATTTTGGGGAGGCTTGGTAAATTGAAAAGGAAATTTGAGCAGAGGTGACAGATTTCTGTTTAAAAAAAACATATCACATTTCATATTTTGAAAACTGAAGCTGAAACGTCTTGTTTTAAAATAAACATTTTGGTTTACATTTTGTATGCTTCAATATTAAAGTTTGAGCAAAACAATTCTGATATGTCACTTTTCTGTTTGAAACTGAAATTAATCTTCTTGGCTTACTTTTTTTCCTGAGAGTGAAGCAGCAGCAAAATAGGAATAGCCATACCCCCACCCTGATAAATGAAAATAAGACTTTCTGCTGGTTCAAGTTGTTTAACAACTTAATGGGACCTACTATATTTGCTGGAAAAAATGTGAAAACTTATGCATGTTTCCTTCAAATACCCAGTTCATTTTTTTAAATGTCCATTGTTTGTAGAGTGGCTTATTAGAGACATTATGTAAATAGCAATAGCAATAGCACTAGTGGTGGGTTGCCCATGGTTCACACCGGTTCTATAGAACCAGTAGTAAAACCGGTGGGAGGCCCCACCCACCGACCCCAACGTCACCAAAACGCTTCTGCGCATGCGCAGAAGCACACACGCGAGCGAAGCAAGCGTGTGCGGCCCTGCTGCAAACCGGTAGTAAATGTAAGTAGAACCCACCCCTGGACAGCACTTAGATTTATATATCACTTCACAGTGCTTTGACAGCCCTCTCTAAACAGTTTAGAGTCAGCATATTGCTACCAACAATCTGGGTCCTAAAGACTCCTAATACAATAAAACTGATGATGCAGTGAAAAATATGTGGCTACAAGCCTACTGATGTAAAGTAGACTGAAATGTTGAAAAAAAAATATTTTATTTTTTTCTCCACATAAAACCATCCATAGCAGAAAAAGACATCTTATTCTTTGCTTTTATTCACATAAATGTATTCCCAGTTATATAATTTTTTTTAAAAAGCTTTGTATTCAAGAATAACATTTATGTTTGCAGCCCGCTTAAGAAAGCATCTTTTAAAGTTCATTAACATTCATCTCATCGATTATTATTAAAGTAGGATTTTGTCTTTAGAACCAGTATATTTGAAAATGGCTCTATTGGGACTGTTGTTGTGTGCTTGGGGTATTATGTGGAGACAAATTTTGTTTCTTGAAAGACAAAGAATCCAAAAATTACACTCCCTTTCCATGCAAGGAAATTTGTGCTAAGGAGCATTTATAAATTATGATTATGCGCGTAACTGATCCCACGTGTGTCCAGCTGCTTAAACCGACAAAGGCTTTTTCCCGCCAAACCAAAGCATGCCCTTCTTTCCCAACAGCGCCTTAAAGTAACCGCGATCCACTCCGCCTTTCACCTCCTCATTTAGCCGTGGCTCCTCCTATTCTATTTCTTAACGCCACGCCCCCTGATAGAAACCCTGCCTTACTCCACTTAGATCGGCAGGAAGATAAACGTAGAAAACTCCAAGAGTTGTGCGCCGTCTCATTTGCGGTGCTACTTGAGGGAACTTCCTAAATCGGGGTAACAATACTTCCTATATGCCAGCAGAGGCGCACCCTAATTGTTACGAATTGTTCTGCTCTCTTCAGCGGGACGAAGATTCTTCTGGAAAGCTTTCGGTACGTATTGCCCCCACGCCACTCCGTTTCAACCAGTTCATTGGAAGGTGGGAGCATCAACTGGGACTAAATTGTAAGCTCTTTTCATCGTTGTCTATTTCTCACCGGCTTCTCGGTCTCAGGGTCTGGAGAGACTTATAAATTAATAATTAGGGAGATTGATGCCTCTGTGCCCAGACTTTCCAATCGGAATAAGATCCAACACCAGCCTTCTTTAATAAGGACAATTATGTGCGACTATTTTTTTTCTCTTGCAGCAGAAAGCAGTTGGAAGGCAACATCTCAGTTTTGAGACATGATCTAGTACAGTGTTTCTCAACCTTGGTAGCTTGAAGATGGGTGGACCAACTCCCAGAATCCCCCAGCCAGCAACGCTGGCTGGGGGATTCTGGGAGTTGAAGTCCACCCATCTTCAAGCTACCAAGGTTGAGAAACACCGATCTAGTAGTTTGTTCCGCTGCGTCAAGCTTAAATTTGGAACTCTTTTGAGAATGCCGCGGCTGCTTGGTCCTTAATTCACTGTGCCCTTAAGAACTGCAGTGATAACGCCCAGGGCTTATTTTATTTTATTTTATTTTTGGACCCCATTAAGGCGAAAACCCAGCAGCTGCCTTCCTTAAAGAGAAAAAGGAGCTACGACTCCCAATTAGCAAAAGACAGAAGGTACCGTAAAGGGAGGAAGGGCATTGCCGTGACAAAAATCAAGGCAAGGGAGCCGTAAAGCCAAGCGCGGTGTCGCGGGAGGCTTCAGGAGAGAAAGCAGGAAGTGAGTGCCTTTTAATGGGAAGGGGGGGGGAGGGGAGACATGGCCCCCTGTTGCATTACATGTTGCGCGCGCGTGGGGAGGGGGGGGACACACACGACAAATCGCTGCATGAAAGCTTACTGGGGGGGGGGGGAGAATAGGGAACCCACAAATCAAGATAATCCTGTTAAACCTGCATATTCACTTCCTTGTTATGTATGCAAGTGTCCTGTAAGCCAGAACGGTATTGTGATTCCTATATTACGGAAAGAGAAAATCGGAGTTTCCACTGAAGAACTAAGGGGACTGTAGTACTTGTCCTGTAGTTCTTGTCCTGATTTGTGGTACAGGTAAGCCAAATAGGACGCCCTTACTTGGGAACAAGCTCTCAATACCTTGGTGGCGCAGCAGACTATAAAGTGCTGTTAAGTAGCACCAGCTACCTGCAATTACTGCAAGTTCAAATCTCACCAGGCTCAAGGTTGACTCAGCCTTCCATACTTTCGAGGTAGGTAAAATGAGGACCCGGATTGTAGGGGCAATAAGCTGACTTTGTATAAAAAAAGAACACCGCTTGGGGGGGGGGGGTGAAAGCCCTACTAAGCAGGTATATACAAAAGTATGAAGGCTATTGCTTAACACATTATAAGCCGCCCTGAGTCTCCGGAGAAGATTCCGGAGACTCATATAAATTGAACCAATAAATAAATAAATACAAACGGAATTCGGTGCGGAGTTTTCTGATTAACATTAATAGAGGCAAAATATGAGCTGACTTACAAGGATAAAAATATCACACCAAGTACATAGGTAGCAAGGTAATTCCCATTAAGTATTAAATGCTATTTGTTATTTTTAAATTTAGTTGTATAACTAATTCTACAGTTTTAGCAGAGACTTAATGGGAATAAGAGGTTAGAAAGATGGTCTCATGTATATTTCTGGAAAGTCTTTCTGGAATCTATTTATAAGGATGGCTGGGACATTGAGTTTGGTGTTGTATATGTACAGTGATCCTATTCCAGAGTAAAACCAAGATAATAAATCTAAAGGAAAGCATTCTGAAATAAAGGACTGTCCTTTATAGTAACATAATATGATTCATAACACAGTGATCATAGGTGTTGTTAAAATTGATACTCTACACAACTCACACCAGATTTTCTTATAAATAAACTTGCATGGATTTCAACAGCATGTTGACAAAAGAATGTGGGAGATATTAGGGTGTGGCAAGAAGCGGGTGCTTCTTGATTTAAAACATATTACAGTCATCATAGATGGCAATACCTAGGCATCCTTGGTTGTTTCTGAAAAAGCTAAGAAAGTTGTACTTGGTCAGTACTAGGGTGGGATGACATGGAACTATAATCTAGACTGAAATAAGAAGAAAATTGGAAGAGAAGAATGGCAAAACACTTCCATGGTGTTGCCAAGAAAACTGCATGGATCTGTCTATTTACAGTGCTAATTGTGAGTTAGACTCTGCTCAAAGCAGTCTTGATACTTCATTTTACAAGGTATTAATTTAACTGTCTCCTGCTGTTTGAAGCCTATGTGGAGAAGGAAGTAAGGGCTGACAACAGAAAGGGAGATGAGAACGTGAGAAACAGAGACAAGAGCTTACGGAAGGCTTTCTAAATATCCTTAGATCCATCTGTCTAATGCTAACTTGCACTTACTGAGGGCATAGTAAAGGAAAATGAAGAAGAACAGGAAGCCACCACCTCCACCACCTTCACGGGGAGGCAAGGGGACTGCTGCAGCCAGACAAGTGAGTCATTATACATTTCTTCTTCTAACCTTTGACATGTGGAATCTTTAGGAAGGCCCTGATACTTGATTCTGTCACCATCTCTGAGGCTCTGGTGATGGTGGGAAGCTTTTACAATGGCTGTGTTGAGCTGTTGTAAGGATGGATTCTGCCTATGATCATGATTTTTTTTGTTTTACTTTGATTGTAACAATAACAGAGTTGGAAGGGACCTTGGAGGTCATCTAGTCCAACCCCCTGCTCACGCAGGAAACCTGTACTAGGGATTCTCGAACCGCCGAACTGCCGACCTTTCTGACCGATGGTGGTTATATATTTATATATTAGTTTTCATTGGATTGGGTTTTTTTACCTGTTGCAAGTTGCTCAGAGTTGCTTAGATGAGATGGGCAGACATACAAATTGAATAAATAATAATTCCAAAACATCAAGAGCAGCATTTGAACACCATTGGCACTGACAAAATCACCATCAGTCAGTTGCAGAAGGCAGCTTTACATCCTGCAACAATACATGTAATATTGAAAAATAATATGTGCATATCGCTGGTCCTTGGGATACCGTAGTGCTCATCACCGTAGTGCTCATCATTGCCAATTGAAAGTGACGTATGCTTTTTATTATCATGACTGTTGAAAATGTGCTCTAATTGTCCATCAGAAATCCAAGAATTGGATCCTGCTGTTCCTTGTACAGGAAGAGATGGCATATTTTATGAAATCTCATACATATCAAACAAGATTCCTAAATTCCTATTCCTAACACAGCGTGACTCTATTGACTCTTTAATGACAACTTTAAGCCATTATGATTAGGCTGCAACAGAGGGGTCAATGGTTTTGACAAGAGCACAAAAAATAAAGCTTAAATCCCAATACAGCTATGCATGGAGTTAGTTAAAAGGGCACCACAATACAATAGTTCTTTTTCTTAGGTCCTAAAAAGTTCTTGAAAAAGATCTTATCCAATGAGATGAATATATTGATACTGATATTAAATGCCATGGATGTTTTAATTTAGAGCAGACCTGCATAAGTTGTAAATGGAAAGGGCCATATTGATAAATTAAAAATAATCACAGGCCACATAGGAAGAACTTGTGCTCTGATCAGCTGTTCAGTAGCTACCAGGGTGGTGTTATTGATTGAGCTGGTGATGTCAGTAAGGCCTGGGGGCATTGGAGACACTCAGCAGCAAATGACTGCCATTATTAATATAGAAAAACAAAACTTTTGTTGGGACAGTTTTTCACCCAACTTCCCCACATTAACATCTGCAATTTTATGTGTATAAACAATAACTTCCAAGTTTTCATTAAAACCATCTTTCTTTTTGTACAGCAGCCAGATTTATTTAACAAAAACTTTTAGTAAGATCTTTGATCTGTCACAGAGATGCTAGTTATTTTAGAGATCCTATACCAGACCAAGCCATTTTGTTCCCAAAGAAGCCAACTGAGTGCTAGATGGAAGGACTGCATATACTGTTTAGCAACTGGTACTTCCTATAGCAGTTGTATTAAGCATAATGATTAATAACTGTTGACAATTTTATCCATGAATTGACCTTTAAAAAAAGTTGGCTACATCCTAGGACAGTGACGGCTAACCTTTTCTGGACCGAGTGCCGAAAGCGCATGTGTGTGTGCGTGTACCCCCAAAATGCAATGTGCACGCCCCACGTATGCTCTCCACCCCCTGCTCATGTGCACACCCCATTCATGTGCCCCACTCCTCGCATGCACATGTAGCCCCCCTACATGTGCCCACAGCCCCCTGCATGTGCCCCACCCCCGTGCATGCACAGCAGAGACCTGAAGACCAGGTGGCTGGTGGGAGGCGCGCACGCATGCATGGTGGAGCTGAGCTGGGGCAATGCGTGCCATAGGTTCGCCATCACAGTTCTAGGATAATGAATTCCACAGTTTAACTGTGTTCTAGATAAATTACTTCCTTTTATATGTCCTCAATCCCCTTCCCTTGAAATATATGCTAATATAACCTTATGATAAAATTAGCACCATAAGAATTTATCTATGAAGCAAGCTCTAACTTGGTTAAGAAAGAGGCTTTTGTAGTTTACATGCTTGAATCCTATTATACAGATGGGTTTGCTGTTGGATTTCTCTCCTGAAAACATGATGGCTAGCAATGGAGAGGATGATCAAGAACTGGAAGCTGAATTCCTGGCTATTGTTGGAGGCCAACCAGATCCCAACCAGAAGCCAAATGGAAAAAGTAAGTGGACTCTAGGGTTTTTATGGGGTTGTTATGACTTAAAAGTAGTGATTTATGAGGTCTATGAAGTGGATATGTGCGGAGTTATTTTTAAAAAATTGCTGCTGCTTTCTTGCATCTTTCTGGAATTTTATTATTGGTATTTTTGTGCTGGTCTCTTCCAAACCAGCTCCACTGGCCTACAACAGAAATAAAGACAAGAAAACTTAACATCCATCAAATACTGTCCTTCAGAGACATGTTTTCACTTCTTTTCAGAAACTCAGTTGGAGGAAGGGGTTTTTACACGCAGGGATAAGCTATTACTTGGGAAAAACACCACCGCTAAGAAAGGTGGAATGGACCTTGTTCATATTTTTGGGGGACTCAATACTTCTATTCAGATACAGTATTCAGGAATAGAAAGAATAATCCAATCACCAATGCTCAGATGAAGCCGGGACTACTTGAGTGCTACAGATTCAGCATAATAATTGCTGAGAGAAAATCTTCATCTATGGCTTTATATACATTGGCTTCCAGGCCAAAAAAAAAAAAGAGATCTAGCATTGTCATTATCCTTGCTCACATGAAATCCAATACATGCAGAAGTTTCTCCCATATATATACAGTACATACATACATACATACATACATTCTCCCATATATATAATATTCTAAGGAAGCTAATGTCATTTGAACAACACTGGTGGGATTATAGAGTACTCACATGGTAAATTCAACCTGTGTTTGATGTCTGACTAAAGGGAGTACACTAGCAGTACCTACATATAAATTGGAGTAAATCTATGAATATTTGATGCTAAAGCAAATAGACTTGTAGCCTCTCTTGGGTATTTGATGAAAGATCTACTTTAGTCTTCCAAGTTTCAGACAAGTACAATCATCCCTTTAGAGTTTTTATTTTAAGATTATCATTTTGTGCATCACAGCTGTGTGATTATGTATTTATCCATTTTACCCTCTGCTGTATCTATGTAAGTTGTAAGTAATACAATCTTGAGCTGATTTCATGGCACACGAGAGTGACTGCTGGCTGATGCTGCTACTTTTTCTTTCTTAGCTCCTTTGCCAATGGAAGCTATTGAAAAAATGGCTGCCCTCTGTATGAAGGACCTTGATGAAGACGATGGGGTAGAAGAGGAAGATTTAGAAGATGATGATGAACTAATGGTAATAATACCTTGAGATCTAGTTAACACCCGGTCACTATGAAACATACTATGTTAGAGGTGGAAATGAAAGAAATGTAGTTCGGAACAGGATTTCATAACATTTCCTAGGTGTTATGCTATAGTGTCATACTCTGCATGCATACTCTGTTAGAAATAGGGAAAAAAAATCTCTTGTTTAAATTTCATATGTAGTTTTAACAATATATTGCTCTGATTTGCAGGCTGAACTAACAGAAGTACTCGAAGAAGATGGTAAGGCCCCAGATGCTGTGGTACCTGCTGCTACTAAGGTGCATATTTTCATATCAACTTGGCTTTGTTGTTCTTGCTTACTTTTAAGTTGCAACTCCAAAAAAATTGTCCCAAAAGGTAATTTGTGTACCTTTTTGTGCCATGGGTTCATTGGTATCCCCCATTGTAACCCCTACCTTTTCACCGGAAAAGGTAGAAACCAAAGCCCTACACTCCTTCACAGGAATTCCGCCCACTCACTGGTATAGGTATGTGGGCAATACTTGGGTGAAGATCAAAACACAGGAATTGGAGGCATTCACCAAACACATCAACTCTGGACAGATACATCAAATTCACATGGGAAGATATTAAGGAAAATAGTCTAGCCTTCCTGGACTGTGCAGCACACATTAAGGAAGACAGAAGCCTTAACACTGAAGTTTACAGAAAACCCCCACACAGATCAATATTTACATTTTGATTCCCACCACCGATTGGCACACAAAATGGGGGTCATCAGAACCTTACATCACCTAGCTGAAGGTCTGCCTACCAGCAAAGATGGGAAAGAAAAAGAACGTAAACACATCAAGGAAGCCCTCAGAATGTGTGTCTATCCCAAGTGGGACTTCATCAAATCTCAGAAAAGACCCTCCAGGAGCTCTTCCATAACAGACAATGGAGAGAACAATAAACAAAGCAACCTTGTCATTCCGTATGTTGCAGGCATATTGGAAAAGCTCAGGAGGATCTTCAGCCAACATAACATACGTGCACACTTCAAACACAAGAATACAGTAAGGCAGAAGCTTGTCCACCCTAAGGATAAAACACCCAGACAGAAACTGAGCAACTAGGTATATGCAGTACAATGCAGTGAGCCATGTGCAGATCTGTACATTGGGGAAACAAAATAACCACTTCATAAACTCATGGCGCAACATAGGTGAACAAACACATCAGGACTAGATTCAGCAGTCCATCTGCATTTAAAAGACACAGGCCGCTCTTTTGAAAACAACAAAGTCCATACTTTGGACAGAGAGGATCGCTGGTTTGAAATGGGTTAAAGAGCCCATTTATGTAAAATTTGAACAGTCCTCTCTCAACAGAGGGGGAGGGATACGACATCATCTATCTCTAATCTATAACAGTACTTTCAACAGCTCCAAGAAGGCTCCACACCCATTTGCACAGGTGACCCTGATGACACAGATAAACCTCCAGGTGACCTTAATGACTCGCTAAAAGAATGCAAATGACCAGCTGTCTGCAAGAAGTGTAAATCCTTGTCCCATTCCCCACCATCCAATCAGAGCTGAAGAAGCTTCTTGGATGAGAAGCAAAACATCCTCAAACCAGAAAGTCCAGTTGCCTCTTGAAAAAAGCACCTTTGGGTCACATATCTTTGCAGTGCTTTCTGTGCCTTCCTTGCACCCTCTTACATGCTTCCCATCCCTTGTCACTCTCATGCAGCCTCCCCAACTCTTGCAGACTCTCTTACCCTCACCACATCTTGCTCGCACCCTTGCACATCTCTACACACCCTCCCTGTGCTTTCCACGCACCACATTGTGCCCTCTCCCATCCAGTAGCAGCCACTTGCCTGCCTGCCTGCCTGCTTGAAAGCCACTGTGGGCTTGCAATTTTGTGCCATCAATACCACTGATTTGGTTGTGGGAAGAAGTCGCCTCACTTAATGGGATTTGGTTAACAATGACAATGACACGGATTGTCATCATTAAGTAATGCAGTCACATTTACATCCATATCACTAAGAGATGGACAGTGCCAGTTGCCGGTGTAAATCAAGGACTACCTGTATTGCCTCTTTCAAAGCTCATGGAATCATTCTTCCCCCAAGGAAGTGGATTCTATCTTATGGATCCAATACCATGTGATCTCCCTAATGTCACTAGCTAGGAGAGGTAGTCCCTGTAAGTAAAGTACTGTTATAGATTAGAGATAGATGATGTCGTATCCCCCGCCCCTCTGTTGAGAGAGGACTGTTCAAATTTGACATAAATGGGCTCTTTAACCCATTTCAAACCAGCGATCCTCTCTGTCCAAAGTATGAACTTTGTTGTTTTCAAAAGAGCGGCCTGTGTCTTTTAAATGCAGATAGACTGCTGAATCTAATCCTGATGTGTTTGTTCACCTATGTTGTGCCATGAGTTTATGAAGTGGTTGTTTTGTTTCCCCAATGTACAGATCTGCACATGGCTCACTGCATTGTACTGCATATACCTAGTTGCTCAGTTTCTGTCTGGTGTTTTATCCTTAGGGTGGACAAGCTTCTGCCTTACTGTATTCTTGGGTTTGAAGTGTGCACGTATGTTATGTTGGCTGAAGATCCTCCTGAGCTTTTCCAATATGCCTGCAACATACGGAATGACAAGGTTGCTTCGTTTATTGTTTTCTTCATTATCTGTTGTGGAGGAGCTCCTGGAGGGTCTTTTTTGAGATTTGATGAAATGCAAGATTTACTAAAAGTGGCTGAGTTAGCACCTGAGAGTCCTGTTTACTCAAGAATAACAGGATCAAATTCTTCCCAACTAATCAAGCTGACCCTGCTCCATCTGCCCACAATCACACATCTAACCCCCCTCCCCCCTCACCAGTTCCTAGAACTCACACTGTCAGGCTTTCCAATCAACCCACTACCCCTCCAGACACCGTCTTAAATGCACTTATGCAACAATCTTAACAGCAGACCTATAAAATCCATAGTAATAAATTTTGCTGTAGCTTTTTTCCTCATGTCTAGAAAATGTACAACCCAGCAACAATTAATCATGTGTCCCTAGGCAAAGAATATAACAATAATTTGAATTAAGGCAATAAGGATCCCAGAAATAAAAAGCTTATCTAAAAAGCAATCTGTTTGAGCAGTTGTTGTGCAAATTTCTGGGTGGACATAAATAAATTAGAAAGATAGAACAGCATTTCTTTTTAAAAGAGTGTAAAAGAGTGTATAATTTTGATTCCAAGTTAGTAGTCTGTCCCCTTTTTTTGCCAGGAATATGATTTTCCTTCTCTTATATTGCTGTTTATGGTTTATTGCTGGAGGGGGAAAAACATATCCTGGGACTCCTGGTTTGACCTCAGATGTATACTATGCCACAGAGTAACTCTTCTGCAATTGAACTAATGTTGGCTTTCTGTAAAAAATAAGAATTGGTGTTGTGCTTTGCTAGGAACACGGTGCTCCAGCTGCTTCCAACACATCTGAATCCATTTTGCTGGAAAGACTGGCTATGTACAAGGTTGCTATTGCTAATGCAAAACAAGCTGGGGAAAGTTCCAAAATGCGTCGCTATGAAAGAGGCCTCAAAGTAAGTCACCAAATATTTGCTGGGATAAATGTATTAGATCTTTAGTGTTTCTTAATAACATTAATAGGAAGCTTGTGCTGGAAAGGACTTTTGTGCCTTTCACACCTAGAACTTTCCATTGTGAAAGTATTTCTATTGGAAGCCATCACTAATCATTTCATGTTTCGTTGCCCAGTAGTACAAGTAAGTCTATTTTTTAGTGCTAGCTGTGAGAGTGGCAAGGGAATGTCAGTTCTATACAGGATGCTAGAGTACAGTAGTGACATGGTTAGCCATTGGGATCTCACCTGATTTGAGAATTAAAACCTTTACTGATCTTGGCAAGATGCAGAAGTTATGGAAAGACTTGGGTAAGGTTTACAAGACTCTTGGAGGTACTAACAAAGCTATAAGTAGATGGGGCCAGTGGGAGGAAACCCAAGATAAAGATGGAGCTTTGACAGATATGGAAAGTGTCACATGAGCAGCTGATAAATGAAACGAGAAATGCTTTTTTCTAACTTCAGTGGTAGATAACCATTGTTTCCCATGAGGATTTTATAATGCTCCAGTCTTATCTGTCTTGAAGATCCTTTTGGTGTGGGTAAAGGATGTGATTTTTAAAAACCATGTCCTTTTACCGGGGGCATACTCAATTTATGGATGAACCTGTAAGCTGCTTTTATTATATGAAGCCTTTTTTCCCAGACTCTAGAAAACCTATTGACCTCTGTACGGAAAGGCAAAAAGATAGATGAAGATGAGATTCCTCCACCAGTAGCTACAGGAAAGAGTAGTAATTGCCCGCAGGCTGCTTCTTTGAAGACCGCTCCAATCTCACAACCCTCCACAGCAGAAGAAAGTGAAGTGTTAACCAATCACTTTACTCCAGAGCCACCAACTGCAGCTCTTGAACAATCACCATCTATATCATCCCCTGGGTTACAGCTGCCTCCCAAAGTTCCACCACCAAAACTTCCAAAACCAAAGATTTCTCCAACAACTGGCCCACCACTCAATTCCTCAGAAACACCACTGGAAACATCTGCCCCAACAGCATCTTCCCTTTCATCAGGTTAGTACTGAAAAATATGACCCAGCTTAAAGTGTCTAAGAGAGGAAAGATGTGATTCATATTGGGAAATATAATTTTCTGCAGAAGAAACAGTCTAAAGCTTAGTTTAGCTTTGATTCTGGATCCAGTACTGTTTTTGAAGAGCTGAGTACAAGGTAGTTCAAAGGACTAACTAAAATGCCACGAGAAAGTGACAAGCTTTCTAGCTCTCCAAAGTCTCTATCATCTCAGTCAGCCCAAAAGGTAGGAAAGGAGAAAAAGCAGTAGAGAAATCTGTCAATTTTATCGGGTATCATGATTGTGAGGTCTATATGTCAACCATCCCACACAGTCATCTAACAAAGAAAGAGATGCAGCTAGGACACTATAGCAGATTCTCCAGGTTGGAAATTCCAGACTGACATAATGAATTACAGAGAAGAGCTGTTAATAGGGCCAGGAGAAGGGAGATTTAGGTACAACCCTGTTGATGCTCATGAAAATAAAACGGAAAGAAGTCTGAAAAAGAAAATTAGAATACAGAACAATTATAGTAAGTTGTTTTGCAGGACTTAGAGACCTCAGTGGATTAATATTTATATTAGCTAAGTAATTGTAATAAGTATATAGGAGCTCTCTCTTTCTCTTATGTCTAACTATTACTTTACTTTTGGACCATTATTCATATTAGGATCTTTTTTAATGTTCAGCACCTTAATGTCTGAGATTTGGATTTGATTTAATCTTCCTTGCATCATTTTGAATTGCCTGGAACTTAATTTAGCATTAATTTTGTGTATAGCTAGGATTCTTCAGTTAGTTTCACCAAGAAACTTGGCATGTTGTAGCCAAGATACAACATGCTTTTTGTTCATTGACTAGGTCTGATAACAGCAGCTGAAAGGATTAAAAAGGATAGAATCAAAGCAAGCTTTATTTTTGTTCTTCTCAGATCCCATGCATTTGATGTCTTGTGTTTGATAGAAACCACTTAAAAAAATCTGTTGCCAATCATAAACCTTTGAAGTTGGGCCAGAGCATAAATCACAGTAAAACCTTGTGCTAATATTTTCTTTTGGGAGTGCATAGCCTTAGCAGAACCACCGAGATCTAAAGAATAGCTTACGTACTCATGGTGTGTTCTTAAGCCACTATTCCTTGTGGTAATTTGCTTTTGAAACAGAGGTGATTTTTGAAAAGCATCTGACAAATTTCATGATGGCCTGCCGATCAAAAGGGGTAGTTAGAGACATACAATTCTTGGAACAAATCAGTGAGGGTCTCTTACTCCCAGTTCATCAGATCACTTTGATAGAGAAGATAGCATTGTGATCAGCCACTAGTTTCTGATACGTTAGAACTGTATTTTATGCAGTTCTTCCTACACCAAGTATAAATTTGTGTGCCGCAATATAAGTAGAAAAGTAAATTGCAAATACATGTATTGCAATAGTGACTTGTTCAAATATTTATATATATTTATATTCTTGATTAAAGTATAGAAGCTGGAAAGCATAATAGCATGTCTCTCACATACACCCTTCAAGTAATTTTTGATGCTTAGCAACAGCCCCAGAATTTTTCCAAAAGTGCTTTTCTTCCTATGGCTGAGCAGTCACCCAGCTGATTTTGAGTCTACATTGGGAGTAGAACTCACAGTCTTCAAGTTTCTAACTCAGTGCTTTAACTTTTACACTGAACTGGCTCTACATTTAGATGCTTACAATTATAATATAAACTAATTAGGAATAGCAACAGCACTTAGACTTATATACCGCTTCACAGTGCTTTACAGCCCTCTCTGAGAGGTTTACAGGGTCAGCATATTGCCCGCAACAATCTGGGTCCTCATTTTACTCATCTTGGAAGGATGGAAGGCTGAGTCAATCTTGAGCTGGTCATAACTCCTGGCAATGAGCAGAATCAGCCTACAATACTGACTGACTCAGTCCATATTTTGTAAGCATTTAATTTTTTTTATCTCACTTGTAGTGAAAGAAAAAAAATTAGCAAAAAGAAAAACATATAAAAAGTATTTATTTCTAACTGTGTTTTTATGGTTTTAATTGATGATGTTCACCACCCAATGTGAATTGGATTGAGATGGGTTGCTATAGAGATTGAATGAATAAATAAATTGGATAGCTCCCTTTAATTTTTCCTCCCATTCTTTCCTTCTTCCCTACATGCTTTATTAATTTAAAGATGGAAAATTCTATGAAGATTTTTATAATGTTTTTATTAAACATTATAGCTAAACAGACACAAACTAATGTAGACTACAAAAAATAAAAGAATAAAAAGAAACAATAGCGCAAAAAGAATTGAAAAAGAATACAAAAAAGAAAAAGATAAGAGTATAGGAATAGGAAAGACATCCTGATATAGTCAGTTGGTGCCATCACTGACTATTGGGGGCGAGTCATTGGCCCTCACGGAGAGGGCTCGCAACTTGGGTGTCCTCCTGGACTCACGGCTGTCTTTGGAAGAGCACTTGACGGCTGTGGCCAGGGGGACTTTTTATCAGGTCTGCCTGATTCGCCAGTTGCGTCCCTTTCTGGATCGGGACTCGTTAAATACAGTCACTCATGCTCTCGTTACTTCCCACCTGGACTACTGCAATGCTCTCTACATGGGGCTCCCCTTGAGCACCCGGAGGCTCCAGCTGGTCCAGAATGCGGCCGCGCGGGTGGTTATGGGAGCGGCGTGGCGCTCCCATGTGACCCCCCTCCTGTGTGAGCTGCACTGGCTCCCGATGGTCTTCCAGGTATGCTTCAAGGTTTTGGTTACCACTTTTAGAGCGCTCCATGGCATCGGACTGGGGTATTTACGAGACCGCCTTCTGCTACCAATAGCCTCTCACCGACCAGTACGCTCCCATAGAGAGGGGCTTCTCAGGGTGCCGTCGGCCAAACAGTGTCGACTGGCGGCCCCCAGGGGGAGAGCCTTCTCTGTGGGAGCACCTACCATCTGGAACGAGCTCCCCCCAGAGATAACGGAGGATCCCGGATCTGCGCACGTTTCATCGTGCTCTCAAAACTTTTTTATTTCAGCAGGCTGGCCTGGCCTAACTCTCCCTTTTAAATTTTTAAATCGTTTGATTTGTTTTATAAATTGGGTGTTTTAATTTGTGTTTCAGCCAAAATATTTAATAATTTTAAGGGACTTTTAATGTTTGTATTATCTGTATTTTATCTTGGCTGTTCACCGCCCTTAGTCCTCCGGGAGTAGGGCGGTATAGAAATTTGATAAATAAATAAATAAATAAATAAATATAATAAAAAAGAAGTGACTTCCTCCATACAATCAGGATAAACAATTTTAACAACTTATCACCTTCTGTAAAAATACAACAAACAATCTCTTCATCCCCTATCTCATCTCTTACCTATAAACAAATCCTTAAAACCTTGTCATTCAGTCCTAGTCAGCAGAAGTCCATTAAGGAAAATTCTGTGAAGTTACCTATGATCATGGACCTTGTATAACCTGAAATTCAACACATGGTAATTCAACCTTTTTTGGCTGGAGGAGTTGAATGCCCCTTCACGTTGGGGCAAACTCTGGGGTCATGGCAGTGTGGCTCTAGTTGGGCCCCATTCATTCTGCTCCCTTCTTCCCCATCTTTCAGTCATAATCTCTATTTTTATTGTGATTAGATATAATACTTTTATGATTATTTCTTTTAATGTAAGCCACCCAGTGTCGCTTTGCAGCAAGATGGGTGGCAAACAAATTTAATAAACAAACTAGCTGCAAGCCTGAGAAAGGCCTGCTTGCCTGCTCTGCTTTCCCCAGTCTGTGCCGAGTGACCCTCACAGTCGCCGTTCATACAGAGTCGTGAGCTTGGGTTGGACTCTTACTAAACCCCAATTCAGGAGCCTGGAGTTTTGTAGCACCAAAATTAGTATTAGGGGGTAACTTAATCTTTTGTATGCTCAGTTTACCTTCTGTGCAGGTTTGTTGAGTAGAATGCATGCACATATATGCACTCTTAGATGGCTACATAAATTGTGACAGCTTCCCTCTTTGCCCTTAGATGCTCTGAGCTCCAGCACTCAAGCTGTCCTGCAAGCCAGAGTACGGGAATATAAACTGGCTGCCCTGCGTTCTAAGCAAGAAGGTGACAATGAAATGGCCACCAAATATTACCGCCTGGCAAAGGTAGGTGTGTTTTCACAGTAAAGTAACTGTGACTTTTTAAAAAAAAAGAAAAAAAAATCATCACTGGGGAAATTAGCAAGGAAGAAAACGTTTCCATTGTTTTTCTACCTGCCCTCAAAACTCTTGTTATACCCAGTAAATAATGTGGCTTGCTTGGCCTGGCATAACATGGGAACCCAGCTGCTATATTTTGTAATCCATGTATGAGCCAATCATGATGATGAAAAAAGGTATAATTTAAAGAAAGAGATAAACCAGACCAATATATGGAGCAGGCACAAAAGCTAGAATTTGCATAGGTTGGGTTTTGCTCTATATTCTAGGATGGCTCACATTCAGATATATCATATGATTCTGATGTTAGTCACTTCACTTCACTAACATCACCAAAATTAGGCCAATGCCTTTGCCTGAATTGTCCAGTTTTTATGACAATTATGCAAACGCAGCCATTCAAATGAAAGCTTATGTAGTATTTTGGCTTCAGGAGAGTCTGTGTCTCCTGCCACTGTTCCTGTAGTTCTTTTTTCATCTTCCCCCCTTTGGATAAGAGGGTTCTGTCTGACAGGCTGAAAGTACAGATAACCGAGATAATGAATGTGGAATGTTTCTGTCTCATGCAGCCAGTAAAAACTACTTGCTGGGGAAACTGTAAGTAGAATATGAAGCAACTGCTGTATTTCCTCTATTGCTTGGCAACTTCTCTGATCCACTCCTCTTATGAAGTGGTTGGCAAAATTCAGATTTAGGTTTCATGCTTTTTTCATCCAAAATTCAAATGTGAAATTTAATTGCTCAGTCACAGTAGTTTTTTATCTAAAAATGTACAGGTAATCCTTGACTTACAGTTGGGACTGGAATTTCCTTCATAAATTGGGGCGATTGTAAAACTACTTATCATCTGACCGGATGTGATTTTATTACCATTTTTACCGCAGTCTTTAAGCAAATCCAGCTTCTCCAATGGATTTTTTTTTTTGCTGGAAACCAGTATAAAAGAATGCAGAGTGTAATTTACCTGACTCAAATTGCAATTATGTGACCATAGGTGGGGCTGCAGTGGCATAAATGGAAGTACAGGTCATAAAGCACTTTTTCTGAGGCCATCATAACTTTGAACTGTTGTTAAATAAGGAGCTGTAAGTCGAGGACAATGTGTATAGAAGAACAAACACTTACTTGCCTGTATTCATGTTTTTCAGAGTTTTGAGCCTATTTTAGAATCTCTTGATAAAGGAGAAGCTGTAGATCTCAGCAATCTGCCGCCACCTCCAGGTGAGAATGGAAAATAGGCTATATTTGTCTTAGGCATTATCTTTGTTGAGAATTTGATTATATAGATCTTGCACCAGAAAGTCAAATCAGATGGCAGTGAAGTTAGTAAGTCTTGTTTCTTTTAGAGTTTCATTGTCAAGTGCCTGCATTGAAACATGAAACATTAGTCAGATTACTAGATGAAAGTAAGTGGAAGCTTATTGATTTGTTCCTCAACCCAAAGTATGGAATAATCCCAAACAAGATATTAGTTATTATAAAAGCTAGGCATTCTAAACACAGACCTTTAACAAAACACTGGAATAATCCTTGAGTGACAACTGCTTTTCATCTAGGTATAAACAGTGAAGTGGATATAGCTCTTAATTTCTCAGCAGTTTTCAGGACATAAATTATTTTCAGTGGAAATAAATATTAGGGAATTCAGTAGACTTTGCGTAGGATATGTTTCTGATTTACACAAAGGTATTGTGAAACACTAAGGCATGTAGAATTGCAGTAGTCTGTAGGGCAGGTGTTTGGAACTTGTAAAGAAAAGGTGAAGGTCTAATGGAATTTGATTCTTTGCGGCTTCTGTGTGGTCCTAGCTGCAATCAATGAAAGAAGGACAATTTTAATTTTGCAATCTATTTTAGCTTGATACCAATTTTTATGTCATCATTTCAGGTTCTTATAAAACAGAATATTTGTAGCTCAGGGTTGACATGAGGGGGTCCTTGGTGCTCTATGAGCTTGCTTGTTTTCTTGCAGACGTTTCATTACCCAAACTAGGTAACATCAGGCCAATAATCAAATAAACAATTACCCCAATCAAGAAACTGCCCAGGAAGCCAATAGCAAACAACCCAACCAAAGAATCTCTAAGACGACCCCCCACAAACACTGACAGGCAAGCCACTAGAATATAAACTGACAGCAAACAGTACTCCTTACTAGCACTGAGGATGTTATCTAGTTTGCAAGAAAATAAGCCAGCTCAGAGAGCACCAAGGACTCCTCATTTCAGGTTCTTACTAAGAATCCAAACTGTGCTTTTGTTTCTAACTTTGGCAGATATAAATGAAATTGACTCTAATGTTGAACTGCTTGGTCTGCTGCTTCAGTGCAATTTTAAGGTGGGCTGTTGTGGTAGAAGGGGATATTAAAGGTACATGGGTATCACTGTAGTGTCTGCTTAGTGGTGAGAACTGAGAATTCTCTCATCTCTGTAGAAAGATGATAAAATCCTCAAGATTCATATCCAGCTCAGAACTTTCATTTATCTGCAGGATTTATGTCCTGACTTTTATTTGAATGATCTGAAGTCATCACATGGTTTGTAATAAAGTGGATTCTCAAGTCATATAATTCAGAAATTCCATTCAGGGGCAGATACCATAGTCCTTCCTTACATTTTACCATGTCAAGCAACTGCATTGGAGCAGAAAGCATTGTTAATGTATATTTGAATTGATCAGTATGCTTTGAGTGCCTGAGTTAGGATGGGCTGAGAAGAGGCCAGTTAGGGCCTGGGGTGAAATGTAATCAAGAATCACAGGAGGGAGGGTCTGTTTCCCAGAGTTCAGAGAGACAGTGGAGCTTGGAATGTCTGGTAGACAGGAAGAGACCAAGGTTGGACCCCACCTGGCAATTTACAGAGTATACCTACAGTTATTGAAGGTAATTGCTTTAGTCCGGCAAGATTCCTGTGTCTAGGCGAACAACAATAAAAAAGCTATTCAGAAATAACTCCACATGTCGTTCTTGGTTCTTTGAGCCTGGCAGAGGCAGGTGATATAACTGCATCTTACCTCCTGAGCTGAAATGCAGACAGATTAATTAGTTTTTTAACTTACTTTTGTTGGTTATCTGATTTTCACAGATCAGTTACCTAAGGAGATGTTATCTTCACGTGTACAGCAGACTCCGGTGGCAACAGCAGCACCACTTGCTCAAGCAGTAAATCATCCAGCCCAAGGAGTCTCAAGGACAGCAGGTAGGAACTCCAAAATACTTTGGGTTTTTTTCTTGTTTCTTGATAATAATGCTGCTTTGTTTATTTATTATTTCAATTTATTTGACTGCCCATTTCAAATTCATTTAGGTATCTAACAACAATTTAAAATACCATAAAACAACAGATTACAATAGTAATAATATATACTGAATATAATCAACAGCCAAAGTAACAACCAAATCAAACAGCAAAAAATCAATATAACCATTGCATGGGCTCTGCCACACAGCTGAATCCCTCAGCTTAGTGAGACAACCATGTCTTTAAGGCTGCACAGAAAGCCAGCAGGGTGAGGACCAACCTAAACTCAGGGAGGAAGGGGATGTTGACTCAAAGGGTGGCTACCACAAGAAAAAGACGCTCTTCCTGGGTCCCACCATATGGCACTTCCTAATAAATGAGATTGGGACTATACCATTTCTGCCATATCTGATAATCAGAGAGGTTGTCCCTCAAATAACTTGGCTGCATGCCATAAAGGACTTTATAGGTCTAGCCCAATAGGATAAGAGACTGTGGCCGTGTTCTCTCAGAACAACTCACGCTCTGTCACCCCAACCATCACCACAGAGTTCTTGTGGTGCAACCTTAACCCCCCAGAAAACCCACCCTCCCACAACCCATACTACCTAGCCCCCAAGTGAGAGGGTCCCTATGCAATGTTCTTTTACACAGAGAGTTTGCAGTTTAATTTGTCATATGAGTGAAGGGATATGTGCTGCTGCTGCTTTTTCCGTCTGTGGTTAGCATGGTGACTTTCCTACAAAAAGACATCTTGTTTCAGGGTACTTCCTGGACCTCTCAGACCTGATGTCTCAAATCCAGTTCTTCCAGAATTAATATATCTCAGACTAGATAGTATTGGGTTTCTCATTCAAAGAATGAGGAAGTGGAAAACAAATAGAGAAAGGAGCAAAATTCATAACTATCTAACTTGACTTACCTGTGAAAAGAGTTGAAAACTTTCTAAACCTATTCTATTCTGCTCCCTCTGTGTCTTAATAAGACCAGTAGAGTCCCGTCACAGAACAACTATTTTATATGAGAGACATGATTCTTTAGTTAAACCTTCCTTTGAGTCCCTATGAATATTAAGTAAGGGAAATTTGTGCTTTTAATATTTAGAAAATATTGCTTCTAGGGAGGTACCCTCGGTCATGTGACCTTCCACCCTCAGTCGAAAGTGACCACTCTTGGGTTTAGAACCTAGCAGTGGTGAAATGTAAAATTTGTTACTACCGGTTCTGTGGGTGTGGCTTGGTGGTGGTGGTGGTGGGTAATGTGACCGGGTGGGTGTAGCCAACTTTTTTTTTTTTACTTTTAAAAGCATTTTTTCTACAACCTCTTCAGCCGAAGAGGTTGCAGGAAAAAATGCTTTTAAAAGCCTCTTGAAGATCCCAGCTGAGCCGCGGATCATCAGGCTTTTTTTTTTACTTTTAAAAGCATTTTTTCGGCCAAAGAGGTTGTTGAAAAAATGCTTTTAAAAGAAAAAAAAAACCTCTGATGATTGTGCGGGCTCAGCTGGGCATTGGGGGGGCGGGGCGCGCAGGAATTTTTGCTACTGGTTCTCCAAACCACCCGCCACCCTCACCCTCACTACCGGATCAGGTGATCCGGTCAGAACCGGGAGTATTCACCCCTGGTTAGCGATCTAACCAAGCGCTTCTCTGCATATCCTGCCCTCTGGAATGAACTGCCCCCGGAGTTCATTTTGCCTTGCCCTTAAGACTCTTTTGTTCCAACAAGCCGGGCTGGCTTAGAAAATGAATTTTAATTGGGTGTCTGTCATTTTTAATACAAGGGCCAAATTTTTATATATTTTAAATTGTTTTTTTAAATTTTATGGGTATATGTTTGTTTTAATATGGCTGTACACCGCCCTAAGTCCTTCGGGAGAAGGGCGGTATAAAAATTTAATAAATAAATAAATCATCATCATCATCATCATCTCCCTGGGTTCTGGAAGGCCTCAAGCTTTTATAAGATACATGATAGATCTTTCGCTACCAGCATGCTACCTAAAATTCTATCTTTGGTTTCCAGAGAGGCCAGCCCCCCCTCGAGATATGATGGAGGCCTTGCAGCAGAGGATGGACAGATACAAGGCAGCAGCAGCCCAGGCAAAGAGCAAAGGAGAGGACAGGAAGGCCAGAATGCATGAACGGATTGTGAAGGTGAAATGGCTGCATATTGTGACTTTGGATGTTCATTTGCTGTACCAAGCCTCGGGCTGTAACTGGGAAGAGCAAGTAGAGCAGAATTTGAAATTCTTGAATGTTTTCTGCTTTTTCCTATTGTCTCCCTATGGTGGAATTATTTTATAGGTTCTATTAATTGCACAGATACTGCAACCATGCAAGACTCGGGTTTTGCTCCAAGGAAGAGCTGGTGGAGACTAAAGCAGCTTGATGCTTTTGTTAATATTCAGTGTCTAAGATCAGTTATAATATTACTGTCAAATGTGCCACTTGATTGCTCTTTAGAAAAATGATCTCTAGTGGGCTATTCTCAGAACTGTTAGAGTTTGCTCTCCACTCTCCCCTCTCCCATTTCTTCTGTTTTTAATTCTTTATGGAAAAAAGGAAGCCTCTAGACCAGGGGTCTCCAATCTTGGCAACTTTAAGACTTGTGGACTTCAACTCCCAGAATTCCTCAGCCAGCTTTGAATTCTGGGAGTTGAAGTCCACAAGTCTTAAAGTTGCCAAGATTGGAGACCCCCTGCTCTAGACTTTCTGCTTCTTGAAAGGGGAATTTCAGCCTGAATTCCTTCAGAAATTCACCACTGTAGACAGAAAGTTAACAAGATAGGTCTTTGAACAAAGCAACTTATTTATATATTTTAAAAAGTACACATTCCAGAGGGAATTGCAGAATAGCTTCATAATATTCAAGTGATATGGATTAAAACGTTCCATGGCAGCTCATCAAAGAGCATTCTATTCTATGGTGCTTGCTTTTGATGTGCAATAGAAAGATTTCAAATTACAGCCCCTTGGTATTGTTGTCATTGACAATTGGCAGCAAAGCAAGCCAGGCCTTTTAATGAAAACTTCTTATAGTAGCCTTCTCCAACAACAAATAAGGTGTGTGGGGCTACAAATCCCATTTGTTGTTGCCAGCATCCTAGGAGTTATATGGAATATATCAAGAGAGTTGTTATATTGTTTCTTAGTAGTATTGACTGAATGATTATTTGAGAATACTCTTGATGCTCCTGATGAAGATGTAAAAATAATACTATAAGCAACCATTTGGACAGAACCAATCTTGTTATACAAAGACCATATTCTTAAAGGAATCTTGTAGTTTATTGCTTTTTTTTTTTTTTATTCTCCCAGCAATATCAAGAGGCCATCAGAGCTCATAAAGCTGGGAAACCTGTGGAGTTTGCTGATCTTCCTGTGCCACCAGGTATTTAATTTCCAATTCTGCTGGTTACGTTGTTTGCTTTAGGATTTTTCTAGACTTTCAGTGTCAGGGTTAGGAAAGCATATCCAGGAGTATGGCAGGTAATGGAGCAGATCACATCTCTTCCCTCTACAGGTAGCCTTGTCCCTTTTGAAAACTCCCCTGCTAAGCTCTCCTACTCACATTAAAGAGAGTTTTAAACTTTACCCACTCCTGGTTGGCTATGCAAGAATCTTTTTATATACAGCATGTGAGAGTTTCATTTTCAGCCTGAAGTATGTCAGTTCATTTGAGGCTTTGCTTTCCTTGATTAGACAGATTTGTGTTCACAAGAGTGCTAATCAAGATTGCCTGGTCTCACCATTGGCCTCTGTGAGCAGAGACTGCTTTCTGGAACGCTTTTAGGGAAGCTTCTTTTCCTTTCATAATTTTCTACAGGTAGTCTTTGAGTTACGACCATTTGTTCAGTGACTGTTCAAAGTTGTGATGGCACTGAATGAAGGGACTTATAAATGGTCCTCAAAATTCCAGTCATTACAACACCCTCATGATCAGGCGAACAAAATGCGGGTATTTGGCAACCAGCTTGCATTTATGATCATCAGTTGCAGCATCCTGCAGTCATGTGATCACTGACCTCTGCCAGCTTCCTACAAGCAAAGTCAGTGGGCAAGCTGGCAGGGAAGATCACCAGGTGCTTGGAAATGTCTTCACCCCACCATTTTTCTTTCTTTGCTTGCTTGATGGTGGGGAATGGAAGGATTTATACTCCTTGCATTGTACTGCATATGCAGTGAGCCATGTGCAGATCTGTACATTGGAGAAACAAAACAACCACTTCATAAGCACATGGCACAACATAGGAGAACGAAACCATCAAGACTAGATTCAGCAGTCCATCTGCATTTAAAAGACACAGGCCACTCTTTTGAAGACAGCAAAGTCCACATTTTGGGCAGAGAGGAAAGTTGGTTTGAAAGAGGGGTCAAAGAAGCCATCTATGTCAAAATTGAACGGTCCTCTTTCAACAGAGGGGGAGGGATTTGATCTATTTCCAGTGTACAACACAGTCCTTTCAACAGTTCCAAGAAGACTCCACATCAATCACACTACTCAGATGACCCTGATGGCACAGATAAACCTCCAGGTGGCCTCAACGACTTGCTAAAAGAATGCAAATGACCAGCTGTCTGCAAGAAGTGTAAATCCCTGTCCGATTCCCCACCATCCAGTCAGAGCTGAAGAAGCTTCTTGGATGAGAAGCAAACATCTTCAAAGAAAAACCAGAAAGTCCAGTTGCCTCTTGAAAAAGCACCTTTGGGACGTAGTTTACAAGGTGGTGATAGAATATAATATATTATTGCATCCAGCCTATAACATGCTTACAGAAGCATCCTCTTGATCTGAGGGAAGAAAAAGACATGTTTTATAAATGCCGTCCTGTTACAATAGTATAATGCAAGAACACAAAACAATTCCCAAATAGATGATTTTTCTTTTTTTTTTTTTATTGAAAAAGTTTTCAAATACAAATTTTTCCGCCCTTTTTTCCCCCCCCCCCCCCTAACCCCCCCCCCCCCTCCCCCCTGTGACTTCTTCGTAACAAAAAAAACCCTAATTCATAACAGATTACTTACTCCCTCCTCAAAATACTGACCTTTACTTACTAAAAATATTATAAATATTATAACATCCCCCTTTGTCCATACTTTTCAGAAAAGAAGAAGAAAAAAAAAAACATTATACTATAACTATTGTAAAATAACTTCTAATTTAACATAATAATGTTTTATATCTATATATTATTACAACAATTCAAAACCACCTTCCACTTTAAAACTATACGATAAGTCCTACTTTAATATTTAATCTTCTATATATATTACTATAACATTTCAAAGCGGCCTCCCCATAAAATCTAATTTAACATTTATTCCACTCTATCCATTTCCTCCACTCCCCTAAATGTATCACTTAAAAATCCCTTTTCTTAAACTAATCAGTCTGTAGCTAGCTTATTCACCCACTGTCCTGCAAATTTACCATACACAACAATTCTTAATATCTTTAATTCACTGCCCACACTACTTAAAAATATATATATATATATTCCATTATATCTAAATAAAAAAAAAAAAGAAAAGACAATAACTTTAATTTTATAGTCCATATAATATCTTCTTTGAGGTCTTTCCACTGGATTGTTAAAACCAACATCCATAATAGGGTAACATAGCTTGCTGATGCAACAGTTTATTCAAAATCTTCAATCATATCTGCCCCCATCAGTAGTAAATATCTTCTTATATGTATAAAAGTAAAAACAACCACCCGAGTGACATTATGATTATATTCCATATAATAATAATTGTGGGTTTCATCAGGATTATTGATTTCCATCATCGTAGTGGGTAACAACCGGATCTTCTGCATGCCCCAGCATGATTCTCTTGCCTTATGATTCAAGATAATTATAATATATTTATCAACACAAAAAGAAATTTCAAAGTAGATAATTCAAATCCATCAGTTTGAGGCTCTTTCCACGTCCCAAAATTACGGCAATGCAGAGATCTGCCACTATCCTCAGAATAATATTGACCAATATGTCGCCTCCTCTATGTTTTCACATAATCATTCATATTTTAAAGTCACTGGCTTCACTGTTGCTTGGGTTAGAAATTTCTATTTTTGTACAACCTATTTCTTTTTTTGTTTTCTTTTTGTGGGTTTGACTTCCATCCTGGTTTCCTTTCTACAGATTGTGTGTCAACTGGTCGGTTTTCATTCTGCTTTGTAGATTGGTCTTGTTGATTTTGTTTTTGTGTCTCATGTTTCTTTTTTATCCCTTGTATATCCCCTAATTGGTTTCCATGCTTGTCCTTGCCTTGATAAGTCATCACATTAAAATCAGATGGCACTTCTCTCAAATTTGTAGATAATCCAGCTGGGGTATCCGATAAATCCAAAGGCAATTTATCTGGTACAGTCTCTGTAATTCGATATTTTCCCTTTATTTCCAGCTCCTTCTGCTTATCCTGTATTATACCTGAAGATGTTAAATTCATGTTCAACCTATTTTGATAAAATTCTTCCGCTCTTTCAATAGTATTTAACTGATATCTTTCTCCTTGATGTCTCAGTATAATACCAACTGGGGCGTTCCACCTATATGGGATATTTCTCTTTTAACTCAGACACCAGAAAACCAAATTTCTTCCTTTCTGTTAATATCTTAGGTGGGAGTTCCTTGTAGATCCATATCTTTCTTCCATACAATTGCAAATTAGAATTGAAGGAATTTTGCACAATTTTATTCCTAATTTCCTTGTCCGTAAAATAAATCACCACATCTCTAGGCAGTTGCCTTTGCTTAGCAATCCAGGAATTTATTCTGAAAACTCTGTCAATCCTACTAAACACTTCATCAGGTTGAACCTTTAGAATCCCAGCTAGAAATTCAGAAGATATTTTCCTTAAATCATCTCTATTATTTTCCTGCAAACCTCGCAGTCTTATCGCATATTCTGTAAAATTATATTGTACCATTAGAACCTCTTTTTCAATCCTCTGTTGCAGATTTTCTACATTACCAGACTTTTGGTCAGCATCCATTTTAGGTTTTTCTTCTGAGCTATTATCCTGAGTGTTTATCAAATCATTTTCAATTTTTTGAATTCTATTGTCCAATTTATCTTGAATTTCATCCATTTTAGACTCTAGTAAATTAGTATTTGTATCCAACTGTATCATAAATTCTGAAAATCCATTAACCACTTTTAAAATTTTTCGCTCCAAAAAATCAAACTTAGATTTTACCAATTCTTTAATTTCCTGCTTAAATTTTTCAAGATGCTGATTCACAATCTCATCCCTTCTTTCAATCTCCTCTAAGAGAAATTCTATTATATTAAAATCAGGTTTCTGAGACTGAAGAGTTAAAACTTGTTCCTTTAAATTGTTGGTGGGGGAATCCCCCCCCCCCTACTTGTTTATCTGACTTTGTAAATCTCAGTGCCATGTTTCCGCCCAGGCAGGCTTTGTTAAAAAGAAAAGAAAAAAAAAAACAAGAGAAAAAACTTCTTTCCAATCAACAACAATATCAAGTCTTCAGGAAAAAAAAACAAAAAAAAAACACAGGAGCGAAGTTTTGTCTACAAATGTAACCAGTGGTATTTATTCCGCTACATTGTAATAATAGAAAACGGAAGGACTTTTCCTTTCTGCCTCTTCTCCAGCTGCTGCAAGCGCCATTTTAAAAGGCTTTTTTCCCCCCCTTTCCTTTCGTCTTTTCTCTTAAGTAATTTTTTTAAAAGATAAGTAAAATACTTGCGATTCAGTATTACAAATCCAGCTCACATTTTCTTTGAGTAATCTGTTAGATTCACAGGCTTGCTCTTGACGCCTGGCTCTGCATTAGCAGAGGTCTCCCAAAGCCCGGAGCAACGGCTGGGGATATGGGGCATCTCATCCGCTCCGTCCCAAAAGAAAAAGAAAAACTTTTGGGACTCTGCAGAGAGTTCTACCCACCCCTGCCGGCTCTATCTCCGTTTCCTCATGGAAACGGAGTTTTTTCGAGCCGCCGTTCCGTTGTGAAGGCGGCTCTGACAGGCAGTGGAAGCTGACGATCCCAAAGGAACGTCTGGCGGCGGCCAGCAGCAAACAGGAAGTCAATAGATGATTTTTCTAACTCTGACTTTACCTGTGCCAACCTAGTGCCATCCCACAGTGTTGAATTTTCAGTTTTCATTATTTATTTATCAAATTTAAAGACCTCTCAGAGCAATTCTGGCTAACAATAATAATACTGGCTGGAAATGTTGGGAGCTGTAACGCAATATATCTGAGGGAGTCTCAGGTTGGGAAAGGATTTCTATAGTTTTTCAAAGCAACCAATGCCAAAATAGCTGAAACCCATGTGGACTTTGTTTCCATTCATAAGCGCAAAGGCTGTGATCTCAGTTGTGCTCTTTTTTTAGCACAAAATCTTCAGTTCTGTGAATGGCATCTTGGAAATCTAATTGTAGTCTGTGGCACTCTGAGTAGATAAAACTCTATAGTTTTATTCAAATACATGAAGAAATTGATTCCTTACTAATTAGTGAATGAGTCACTGCCAAGTAGCCAAGAATGACACCAAGCAGCTGGCAATGATGCCATTTTTAAATTAACTGTCTTTTCACCTTTAGCTTTTTGTCTTCTTCGGCAGGTTTCCCTCCCATCCAAGGAATGGAATCTTTGCCAGGGGATCAGAGTTTGGGAGGGATCCTTGAAACAGCAATGAAACTAGCAAACGAGGATGAAGATGCAGAAGAGACAAAAAAGGTTCGACTAAGTACTAGGCAAGATCTTAAATGCTTTTCTCCAGCATGTGTGCGCCATGGTTGACAGAACTCGGTATAAATTGGGAGTAGCTTGAAACCCTAATCAGACCAAGTATATACAATATTTCCACCTGTTTGTAACTGCCACCTTCTCTGGATAGAATTGATTATATTCTTTCCTTTTTTATTTTAAATTGTCTAACCAACACAATCACCTCTTAAATTACCTTCATCAATTGCGCCTTATACTATAAAAAAGCCAAAGTGCTCACAAACCTGACCCACGTCAGCCTTTCATGTCTGCTTTGGTTGGTATTGTTTATCAGGAATGCCAGCAGTATGTTGCAGTTCCTGCCACCTCTTGCTAGAATAGTCCGGGAGGAATGGAGCCTCTGTATCACAGGATGACTTTCAAAGTTGCCAAAGAGAGGGCCCCTTTTCTTCTGCAGGTGACAAATGAACTTGCAAGAGACAAAGAAGAAAAACTTTCCTCTAATTATCTTACTGTGCAGAGGTGGGAGGAAGTTTAATCAAAATCATCTAGGTTTTTCTTTAGTCAGTGCTAAAGACCATCTTGAATAGAAACATTATGCCATACTGTACTTCTTACTATGTTGCACGACTAAAGCAAGATATGAGAAAAGATGTTCCTTCATCTCCCACTTGAGAGTGCTAAATTGATTTCATAAAGTTTGACAAGTACATGTGAGAAGAAGAGAGCTTCACTATGTGTCTGCTAATTTTCACTCTTGCATTTATAGCGCATCCTGGGAATTATACAGACAGAATCTTACAGATCTATAATGTTAAACTCTGGACACGGAGGAAAAATTGACATTCCCCAAAGTAGAAAGCCAGAAAACACTGAGGGGAAAAGCCTTACTTTGTTGAATAAGCACTGAGATAAATTAAAATCATTTATATAAGGGCATATAAAATTATTGAAATGAGTGTGTGAAAATGAGGTGCATATTGTTATGTGAAAGAGTGTCTTGCGCCTTAAAGATAACTGAATTTGATCCACTTTGTATCTTAGCAAACAGTGATTTGAAATTTAAAACTAAAGGGAGCAAAAACCAACCACAAATACCATGGAGGTAATATGTTTTCCTAGCAAAGGTGTGACACTATATTTTTGGCTAATTATGAAAAAGTTGGGAGGAACGAGGTTTATTTTGGAACGTGGGATTATATGAATAGAGGAGGATGTGTGATTTGAAATTGCAAGAGTGAAAAGGTGATAGAAACCAAGAAATAGAAAGTTTAAAAGCAAATCTGAAAAGCTTGTAGAGAACAGTTCTTATGAATTAGTGTTTAAAACTACCAAGTTTTTATGAAGTGAGATATGGTTGGGGAAGGCAGCTAAGTAAAATGAAGTGTTTGGGGTCTTCAGCTCTCCTACCCACCGCCAGGGAAAGAGTTAGCTGGCCTTGGGAGGGGAGTGGGGCAATCTGTTACTGAAGGGTAGAACAATGACTGTCTCCTGTTCCCTCCCTGAACCTCATATTGTACATATTGACATCCTAACTCAGCATGTGTACAGTTGAAGCAAACCTAGTGGGAACCTAGGCACCATGCCATTTTCCACTTTCCCCTTCAGGCAAAATTTGCAATTTGCAGTTAACAAGGAGGGGCAGACATATTCCAACAACAAGGGCTCACCAAAAAGGCTGTTACAAAAGATCAGTATTCTACTTGGCCGAAATGGTCATAACTGAGGAGTTCTCTCCTCTATCTTCTTGAGAGCTGGGATGGCTATCTTTCTCTTAAAATAGCACTTAGGTAGTGACTTAAAAAAAAGGCAAATAACTAGGGTTGGCAAGGTTGAGAAAAATAGAAGGGGAGGACAACAGATAAAGTGGATGTAGTGGATCGAAGAAATAGCAAGACTATGCTTTGAAGAGATTCAGATTATGACTATGTCAAACATTTGTGCAGTTAACAGGACACAGGTCTGTCTTGCTGACACCTAATTAACTTGCATGCATATATTAATTAAGCCCAAATATTTGAAGAATAATTAGTGTTCTTTTTTGAAGTTCCGTTGATAACAGGGTCATGCCATTTGTGTAATCTAGATTTTAGCACTGAAAGCCATTTTGCTAGAGTGATCATTTGAACCCAAAACCTTTCAGAGGTTTTGGGTTCAAATGGTTCTCAGGCCTGGCCACAGGTGGTCTGTTCTGGATGATGTACTTTTCCTTCTAAAGGAAAAGATGTGTGGTTTGGGAAGTGTCCTTAATGCCAGTCTGTCACTAGAGGCACAAGTGACCTTATTAGTAAGAAGGATCTGTACCCAGTTTCAGCTAGTGCACCACTACGACCCAACGTGGATCAGATTAGCTTTGATCAGAGATCCATACCATAATATAACCTTGACTGGATTCCCACTCATCCTTTGGAGGTGTTTGGAAAAGGTCTGGAAGCTACAACAAGGGCATTGTAAATAGGATAATAGGGACCACATATCATTGGTCTTGGAAATGCTGTGCTAGATCACTGTGATTTACTGGACTTAGTTTAAAATGTTGATCAAAAGTGACAGATCCCAATACCATCCATCTCAACAATTGAGATTAGACAGGAAAACCCTGCTTATGGTCTATTAGGAAGTTTGGCTTACAGTGTAGTGGCCAAGAGTGGAACCTTCTCAATGACAGCACCCCAATTATGCAATTTCTGAGGAGTGTTTGTTTGCTACTCCAGAATCTGGGTATCTTTTAGATTGCCTGATTTGCTTTCTTTGTTTTGTATGATGAACTTATTTTAATTTTTTATATTTATTGCTTTTAAACCTCATTTGTTTTTTTGGGGGGGATGGTTTCATCTTTGGGGTCTTCCGCTGAGAGGAAGAACATTATAGAAATAATGTTCAAAAGAAGATTGAAATAGATTCTAAAGCAATCTTGATAGATTAGCGAATTGATTAAAAGTAATAGAATGAAATAGAAATGAAGTGCACATGTGTAGATGGGAAATACCTGGTTTGGTAACAGTATTTTTGAAAAAGAATTTGGAATAATTGTCTCAAGCTGAACATGAGGAGGCAAGATTGTTGTGGGAATTCCTGGAGTTTTTTAAAGAAGAGATTGGAAAGCCATTTACCTGGAATGTTAGAGGGTCTCCTGCTTATGTGGGGGGTTGGACTGGAAGACCTCCAAAGTCCCTTGTAACCCTGTAACTCTGATATTCTGTAATCTGGATAGGAAAAAAGGCAAATGCACTTTAGAAGTTAGAGAAAGTCATTGTTTCACTTTGTTCTGCATGGGTCAGATCCACTTTGAGTATGGTGGCCAGTTCTGACTACCACACCTAAGAAGAGAAAATGGGAGCAAGAATGATCAGGGCTGGGCACTGGAGCCTGAAGGGAGATTTAAGTGTATGTTTAGTGTGTATGCTGAGTATGTTTAACCTTGGAAAAAAGATGACTGGTGTGTGTGTGTGTGTGGATTTCCTAGCACTTTTCAAATATCTGAAAGGATGTGACAGAGTAATCAAAGCCCTTGTTCCAGCATGCTACACAGGGAATGAATGATAAAAAAGCAGATCTCAGCTGAATGTTAAAAGAAAAAAAAAATGGGATATGAGCAGTTTGATAGTGGAACCAATTATCTGGATAAGTAGTGGGTTCCTTTTGGAGTCTTGAACTGAGCAGGTGGTTGGCCTTGCTGATCTAAATTGCCCTTGGCAATTCTAGGATTGTGTGATTTTATTGCAGTAATGCACTCTTCAATAGATACCTGTGAAAGCATCTGCCATACCTCCAATACTGTTTGGACTTTTTAAACTGTGGAAATATACCATTGTTACATTGGTGCTGAATCACATAAGGAACTATTTCATAGGCATAATCCTTTCTCTTTCAGCCTGACACCTCTCCAGCGTCATCCAAGCTGGCCCCCTCAGTCCAGCCGAAACTGTCCCATCAGCCAGGCCCACAAGCTGCCCTTGCAAAACCAGCCCCAACTGGTAAAAGTGCCCCAAAGATGATTGCAAAAGGTAAGTGGGTTTTTTTTTTTTTAATTGTACTCATTTCCTTTTTCTTCTGCATCATCTTGCTGCTGGTGTCCTCAACCCAGTCAATAATGTAAACCTGTGGCTTGCATTCTTTGGAGTGCATAAAGATTGTGAGTCAGAGATGGAAGAAGAAAGTAGGCAAATTTAAGTATCTGTTCCATTGCACTTTTCGGTGATGATCAGGTGGTTGACTAGGATGGACAGAACTTCTCAAGAAATTTCTCCCATTATTATTATTATTTATTGGTTAATCTTTAGTGAGATTCACAGCCTTTGAGGCTGGTTAATAGCTCAGCAGCTCGAGTCCTAACCAAGGACCTAGGAACTGTTAAGGTATCGTCGGAGGATGTAAGCTGTTCCGAGTAAGGTGGTTTTTTGTAGAGTCAAAATGTTCAAGTCCGGCAAATTTAGAATTTCTAAATAGCGGGGTAGCCCTTTGGGTATTGCTCCGAGGGCTCCAATTACAATCGGGACAACACACGATTTCTTTTTCCACAGTCGCTCAACTTCAATTTGTAAGTCCCGGTACTTTGTGATTTTTTCTTGCTGCTTATCTTCAATTCGTACATCACCAGGTATTGCAATGTCAATGAACCATACTTTTTTCTTTTCAACTATTGTTATGTCAGGTGTGTTGTGGACCAAGTGCCTGTCAGTCTGAATCCTAAAGTCCCACAAGATCTTGAGTTTCTCATTCTCTAAAACTTTCTCAACCTGATGTTCCCAGTGGTTTTTGCTGTACTCAAATCCAAACTTCTGGCACAATTTCCAGTGAATGATTTTAGCAACACGGTCATGGCGTTGTAGGTAGTCAGTTTGTGAAATTTTGCTGCACCCACTGATCAGGTGGTCAACTGTCTCTTCTTTTTCATTGCAGAGGCGGCATTTGCTGTTGGTGGTAACATGTTGAATTTTTGCCTTCATACAGTTTGTGGCTAGGGCTTGTTCTTGAGCTGCCAAAATAAAGCTTTCTGTTTCTTTTTTCAGTACTCCTGATCTTAACCAGTTCCAAGTTAGTTTCTGGTCAGCTTTGCCTTCAATACTTTTCAAGTATTGGCCATGCAGAGCTTTGTGTTTCCAATTTTCAGCTCGCTGCTCAATTACTTCTTTCTTATATTCTGCTTTTGTTTTAGTTGTCTTTAAAAGGCCTCCTTTATTTACTTCCTTAAATTACTTCCTTATTATTATTATTATTATTATCATTATTATTATTATTATTATTATTATTATTATTATCATTATTATTATTATTTGCTTTAATTTATATGCCGCCCTTCTCCGGAGACTCAGGGTGGCTTACAATGCGTTAAGCAATAGCCTTCATACTTTTGTATATTTATACAAAGTCAGTTTATTGCCCCCACAATCTGGGTCCTCATTTTACCTACCTTAGAAAGGATGGAAGGCTGAGTCAGCCTTGAGCCTGGTGAGATTTGAACTTGCAGTAATTGCAAGCAGCAGATGTTAATAACAGTGCTTTAGTCCACTGTACTACACTGTACACTGTACTACAGGCTCTTGTATTTGGGTACTGGTGCAACTCTCCAGCTACATACTGTATTAGTTCCTTTATAGGTTTCTCCTTGCTTTCTCTCAACCATGCAGTATGAAATTATACTTTAGCTTTTCCCTTCCTGCATCATTGTGTATCACATCTGCCCAATAATAGGTACCTACATGCTTTAGCTAGATAGCTAGGATGACCTTCACCATTGGGTGTTCTTGTTGGGAGTATATCTTCTTGGTGTACACGTTCTTCACTCATTCCTCCCAGGAACACACACACATACCCATCACACTGAGGCAACATAGCAAGACCTGAGAAGGGGATAGATTTACAAATCTTCAAAATCATCTGAGTACATGTCTTCTCATACTACCCGTGCTGTTGTTAAATGGCAACTGTTTTGCACAGAGCATGACCAAATTAGAGAATGGATTGTACAACGAATTTCCCTCATCCACATGGAAAATTTCCTTTCTTGGGTTTACCAATTACTCTGAATAGTATTTCCTCTGCTTGCCATTCATCTCTGCAGCTCAACAGCAGCTGACCTTCTTAGAAAACCGGAAGAAGCAATTGAGACAGGCAGCTCTCCGAGCAAAGCAGCGGAATGACATTGAGGGGGCCAAGCTGTTCTTATGTCAGGCCAAAGGGCTGGACCCCATGATTGAGGCATCACAAAGTGGGCTTCCCGTCGACATAAGTAAGGCAAGTTGTTTTTCTGTCCATCTAGGGAGGGAGTGTGACTCATAGATGATCTGTAAACATCCCACTTGTTTAGTACAATCTTCTTTTAAGTGTGAAGCAATTTTGATGGCAGAAACTGGAGTATCTGGGTTATGAAATTTCCAAGACAACTTCATTTAAAATGAGTTTGGCAACTTTTTCAGCTCAAGGAAATGCCTGAAATCTGATGAGATTTTAATGATCTCATGCAAGAATATTGTAATCTCAGAAGATTTTGGCCAATTGGATGTTTTCATTTAATCTGAGTGCCTGCAGCCAGGATTTTACTCTGTTTTGCCATTTTTGATTTTAAAGAAACGACGGCTGTCGAAATCTTCATTTCAGTTAGGTATGGCTTAAGTTTTCAAATGTACAAATGAATGTCATCTTTGTAAGAAGGATCAGACCAATAGAACCTGGGCCAAATCAAAATGAATTGGTCTGACCCAGCAGGGCAGTTCTTATGTCAGGTATGGAAACTGAATCAGATTGGAGGACTGGTCCTTCACCTCCATGGATTTGCCAGATCATGTTAGGAACTGGGCTTTCAGAAAGAAAACCTCATCTCTAGCCAGAAGTTTCACACCAAGGCTTTTTGTTTGTTTGTTTGTTCAATACCATTATTCTGAAATCCTCCTGCAGAGAGGACTTGGCTTTCTCTTTGAAGTGGGAGAATGGAGCCTGGGCAAAGTGGAGCCGATCCTCTTAGTGCTGACTGGTTTTAATTCTGTCCTCTATTTCCCCCTTGAGGAGAAAAATGAGGTGCAAGCCAAATAGGTTTGGAGGAAAGTTTAGGGGACAATGAGAGTTTCACCTAAAGCCTGACAGTTGGATAATGGGCTGGAATTTGAGCTCATTGTACTCCCTATATTACATCCCTATGGTCCCTTGTCAGAAAAGGGCCTCCAGCTAAGCATCTTCTTAGAGTCTCTGGTTGCTGCAGAATATTTCTGCAACTCTCCTCAGGATAAATTGCTGAAGTATAGCAGTTCTGCTATTTATTTATTATTGTTTATTTTTATTGGTTTGATTTATATGCCGCCCTTCTCCAGAGACTCAGGGCATCTTACAATGCGTTAAGCAATAGCCTTCATACTTTTGTATATACTTGCTTAGTAGGGCTTTCGCCCCCCCGCTCCCCGCAGCGGTGTTCTTTTTTATAGAAAGTCAGCTTATTGCCCCCACAATCCGGGTCCTCATTTTACCTACCTTAGAAAGGATGGAAGGCTGAGTCAACCTTGAGCCTGGTGAGATTTGAACTTGCCGTAATTGCAGGCAGCTGGCAGCTAAGTGCTATTTAACAGCACTTTAGTCTGCTGCACCACCAAGGCTCTTCCTCCATGATCAAGAAAAGCCTACATCACTTTTTTGTAGAGATCGATTTGGTTTAAGTAAAACAGCCCCAATATGATTTCCCCTTGCTGGGATATAAAAAATGCCATCCGTTAAGACATAGTATTTTAGAAGTGATTAATTCCAATGTTTGCTTTCTTCTTTCCTTCATTTAGGTGCCTTCGGCTCCTGTGAACAAGGAAGAATTCATGCTTGTGCAGCGCAGTGGAGCCAACATTTCCCCAGCAACAGCTGCCCAGTACACTGAGCTTGTGAAGCTAATGAGACAGCAGCATGAGGTAGTAAAAGCTGAAGCCTGAAAGGGGCATGAAGCTCTTCTCTTCTAAGAGATGAGATAAAAGAGATTCTAACCTTTCCTTACTGTGTACATGGTTCTTCCTGTACCCTTGTAGTTCTTTCATTCTTCATCCAAACCATTTTTCTGATCGTTCTTTTTGGATCTTGGACAGAAATGATGAAGAAGGGTTGTAGCCTAAAGGCCCTCTCTCTAAATGTGCTGGACGTCAACTCCTAAATTATTCAGGGAGCCTGCTGGCCTTTGGTTATAATCCAGTACATCTGGAGAAGAGTCCAGCCCCTTAGAAAGAGAGTCTGATTTAAAAGAGCTTTTATGGGAGCAAAATTTTAATGGTAGCAGCCACATTTGTTGTTTACCTGACTTGTCAGTATGCATGTATGTGTGCATTTTTGCGGTGGGAAGTGAGAATTTCATCCAAAAGGATGTGTGGAAATTAGGTGAGAAAATGTCTCTGCATTCTTTAAGCAGTTTTTCTCTCACCAAACTCATTTTTGGTATAAACCGTGTTCAGGTAAAGAGTTAGGTGGTAGACTAGGAGTGGGTGGAATTGTTTGTCTACTTGCTACTTTTGTTTTAAAAATCCTGTTTCATATATGGAGCAGATGTCTGGGCTAAGATGAACTTGGCTTCTTAGGTTGTTTACCATTCCAAGGGATATTAGAGAAGTTATGTGTGTAAGGAAAGAATTTATTTGGAGGCAGTTCAGTGGTTTTTAAAATAAAAACTTTAAAAAAGAAAATAAAAACTGCCTAAAGTCATTCACTTGATTCTCACTTCATTGCTGTTCAGTTACATCCACTTTTTAATGAACCAATGGATATCATTTCAGCAGGATTGTCTGTTAGCAAGAATTATTTTGAGTACGTGAGTACTATGACGTACATATGGAAACGTATGACTAGTTTTTCCCCCCCTAACTACTTGAATAAGGATTATTCTTTATATTGTTCATGTTGTCTTATATTCTTGTATGGACTGCATCAGTAGAGGCTAAATCAATTTCGTTGTATACATGATGAACAGTGACAATAAAGGCTTTGAATTGAATTGTATAAGATTATATTGTCACTATCAGAGAAAGCATCTAATAACCTTGACTTCTGTTGACCGCATTTTGATTGCCTTTGATTTTCCCAAGTATTAGCAATTACCCCCAAAGACTGTTCTCTTCAAACTGTCCAAAATATCAAGCTTTAGTTTCCTTATTAGTTTTCCAGTGAGAAGACTTGTTCTTCTTTATATAGAATTACATTTGGATTCTTCTTGTGGTCCAAGGTATTCTCAACATTTTTCTCCAGTACCATAATTCAGAGACATCTATTTTTCTTTGTCCAGCATTTACAGCCAGGTGTTAACAGTATTTGTGATTTCTCTGCATTTTGCCTAAATCTGTGGTTTTGTTCTCCCTAGTACAAGTAGTCCTCACTTAATGAAAGTAATTGGACTGGAAACTCTATGCTAAGTGACATGATCATAAAGCGTGGCATCAGGTGACTGCATCAACTTACCAGAGCAGTTGCAGTAGTTTCACTTGGCATATTTAAATGAATCCTGCAGGGCCATTAGATGCAAAATCACATGATCGTCATTTACAATCTCCGGCTGACTTCCCCACTGACTTTGCTTGTCAAAGCCAGCACCAGTACTATTTGTATTTTCCCTCTGCTCTTCCCTAGTCACCTGTTAAATACCTCCCATCTTGAAGTATCATGCCAACATGGTGTTCTTGTCATTTCCCATTCCACTGGATTGTATTTAGTCTGTTCTTCCATCTGTGATGCACCCATCACGGGTCATCCTTCTTTAGGATCCACTCCCAGCAATATAGCCTTAGAGAATGGGTGTCAAACTTGCAGTGTCATGTTGCTGTCACACGACATATCACGATGTTTTTCCTCTTCGCGGAGCTGGGGTAGGCATGGCCTGCGCATGATGCATCTGGCCTGTGGGCCGCCAGTTTGACACCCCTGCCTTACAGCATCATTGGGATGTGCAAGCCCCTTCAGGACTATGAGGTAGCAGTTCCTGAAATACTATTTGTGATCTAATGCTTTGAAAATGTAAATGTTTAGCTCATTTCAGTGGTGAAATCCGGCCGGATCTATCCGGCTTGCACGAACTAGTAGCACTGGCAGCTGGAGGCTCTTCCCACCCTCCGGGACATCATTGTGTCCCATTTTTGACCCTCTGTGCATGTGCAGAAGAGGTGCATGTGCACATAGCGTGCGTGCGCACTCCCGCACGCTCCCGTTCCCAAAATGGTAGTGAAGGTAAGTGGATTTCACCGCTGGCTCATTTGCACATGATGTGTAACAACTTCCAGAGTGTCCTGGTTTCATGTTCTACATCCTGTGTTGTTTAGCAGAAAGCTAAGACAGTGAGGGAAAGGTGGAAATATTCTGTTTGCCAGTTCTGTGCCCTCTTCAGTGCACCATGCTCTGCAGAAACTGGTGATGGTCCAGTAATCTCTACCTAAAGAAATCTAGCTCCCGCACATCAGATTGGAGTGGATCATATATGTGTCTGTTGATCTCCCCAAAGATTCAGTTCTGACAACCAGTAGCAACTGTGAATAGGTTGTCCACAAGGGTCAGGATAGAGTTAACTACAGCTACTGGATGAGGGATGGATTACATCAAAAATATGTTCCTGGGTTCAGTGAGGAAGGAGGCTGCAGACTCTTGCGTAAGAGTTGGGCTTATTAAGGGAAGGAATATGAGTGTTGCTTGAGGGATTTTGAATGGAGAGGAGGCAGCCAAATCTATCACATGTTTGTCTGTTCCTCATGTGGCTTCCTTTTTGTTCCAGATGTGCATCAGTTACTCAAAGCAGTTCACCCACTTAGGAAACATCACAGAAACTATCAAGTAAGTATATCCGTAAATTTACCAATGCGCTTCTCTTCTGTTACTGTTATACGATCTTCACATTGGCTAGACATGTCCTTGTTGTAATGAATATTCCTTTGGGGAGTTAAGCCATTGACTAGATTTCCTTTGGATTTGAGAAAACAACCACAAAGATTCCTGAAGCAAATACAGTAATTAAAGATAACAGTAAGCCTTTTGCCTTAGGAAAAGCTGCAACTTCTTGGAAAAAAATAATCAATAATCAGGAGAGGCCAAGTCAGACAAGAAGCATGTTTTCATGCAATAAGTTCACTCACAGCATCTCTCAAACCCTGCTGGAAAATATTACTGTTTAAAACCTTAGTTGCTGTTGACGCTAAGGAGAGTTAGCTCCTAAATCAAAAGTAATAATTAGAAAACAGCAGTAAATGATGAAGTGATCTTCTTTGCCCCAGATCATGAGAATATAACTAAATCTTCTCAGGTACCACATCTAAAGCATCACATCTTCCCTATGTGTCCCATCTTTTTCACCTCTAAAGGTCCGTTTTTGTATATAGCTTTTATGGCATGATTCATGGATCATATGCCTGATGTGTTACTCAGTGTTTGGTAAAAATTTGCATTCGCTAGACAGATCTGGGACCAATACTGATGCAAAGCACTCTGGTTTGCCTGGAATGTTCCACTTTGCCAACGCAGTTCGCAAAACACAACTTGTTCCCAGACGTCAAGATCCACTGCCAGTTAGCTGTGACTGGAGAAGTTCCAGTTTTATTCACTGTTTGCAAATAATACTGCTTCTGTTTGCTGGGGTCAAAATTAACTATTTTAGACTGAATTCTCTGGGCGTTTTCATATTCTTTGGCAGCTATCTAAAAGCCAAAGTTTCTATAGAAAATGCATTGTGATGAAGAGGATGGGGTTGGAGGAATTCCAGCAACTGAATTGCTCTCAGATAATACCACTATTATCTCTGTTTATATTATTTATCTTATTTGTATTTGTGTTTGCTTTATTTGCATTCTGGCCATTCCTGAGGACTTTTTAGGAATAAGTCTTCAGTGATGTCTCATTAGGACAGAGAGTTTCTGATTTTCTTTGTATGATTCAGTGTGGGCTCCTTCATTGGTAATGGGGAAACCTGCAGCTTCTTGTTTAACTAAAAGCTAATTTTTACTGGGGTCTAGAGTTACCTAATCTTGTTTCTGATATAGCCTATCTAGTGCTGTGACATTTTCAGTGTATTCCTGCTTTTATAGCGCAACCATTCACAGTTTTAGATGATCGTTTTGCTTCAATGGTCACTTCACATGTTGTAATATTTTATTTATTTAATAAGTAAATTTATATGCTGCCCATCTCACTGTTGAAGCGACTCTGGACAACTTACAAAATGATAATGGTAACATAGTCTCCAAATTTACACAGTGCAATTCATTGTGTAAACTGGCTATTGACATGCCATCCAGCTGAGCATGTGAAGGGTGTCTGGTTAAATTTCATGAATCAGATATAAACTAGATGTTTGTTTTGGTCTTCCCCTCTCCAGATTTGAGAAGATGGCTGAAGACTGCAAAAAAAATATGGAGATCTTAAAACAAGCACACACCAAAGGATTTCCACTTCCAAAATATCATTATGAGCAGCGGACTTTCAGTATGATCAAGTGTGTGAACTTGTCATGATTATGGGAATTTTTCCCTGCTAGGAAATGCTTTTCAGTTATTTTCCTCATCAGAAGTGGTTTCAGGTTTTGAACATCCTGATTAAGTTTCTCTCTGAGCCCCAACAATTAACAATCCAGAAGAGTGCAATCCAGTCTTCATAAGATTGCCACAATTGAATGTTCAGTAGTGCCAGCAAGGTAGGGTTTAGGAGCGAGGAAGAACTATCCCCAGTTTGACATGGGATAGAAATGGCCACAGTTTGAATTGGTATATTGCCAAATTCATAGATTGCATTTTAATCAAAGCATTGAGATAATACTATTGAAGGTTGCAAGAAGCCCATCATGGTTTAAATTGATTTTGTGAATTGTTTCTGTGACCTGAATGAGTTGCAAATTTGCCAGCCTTGACGTGGGTCTGGGGCTTTAGAACAACAAGCCTAGATTCTTAAAGTGGGGATTATAATTATTTTGCTGGCACAGGACTTGAATGGTATTGTAGAAGGGGCTTGGAAGGCACAATAGTAAGATAACCATTTATATTGTTTAGAATTTATTTTTACTCTTGATATATCCTATATGCATTTTTAATGACTGCGCTCATCCTTGATTATGCTAATCTATGACTGTTTTGAGGATTTGACAGTAGGAAAAATAGGAAGAACACAAGGATTGGGGCCTTATCATTAGGATAAATGGCACTGGGTTTTCTCTTTTTTTCCTAGATTTCTTTTAGGGATAATGGACATCCCTCGTCAGGGGACTGTTCACTTAAATAGATCTGGCTCAGTGTCTAGCACTTACAACAAAAATAGAAAGCAAAGGTATTTTCATGGCAGGGAGCTAAAAAGGACTTCAGATGTGTAGCTATTGTACAAGAAAAAGAAAAAACCCATTACAGGGTGTTCTTGCTCCATTTTATGACCTTTCTTGCCACAGTTGTTAAGTGAATCACTGCAGTTGATAAGTTAGTAACCCAATTGTTAAGTAAACCTTGGTTCCCTATTGACATTGTGAGAAGGTCGCAAAAGGTGATCACTTGACCTTGGGACATTGCAACCGTCATAAATATGAACCTGTTGCCAAGTGTCTGAATTTTGATCACATGATGCTGGGGATGCTGCAAAGGTCGTAATTGTGAAAAACAGTCACAAGTCACTTTTTTTGTGCCGTTGTACCTTTGAATGGTCACTAAATGAACTGTTGTAAGTCAAGGACTACATGTATTGGCAATCATTAAAACAACTGGAAATACAGGTTGTCTTCGACTTACAATAATTCAACTTAGTGACTGTTTGAAGTAACAGTTGCACTGAAAAAAGTGACTTAGGACCATTTTCCATACTTACGGCCTTTGCAGCATCCCCCTGGTCATGTGATCAAAATTCAGACGTTTAGCAACTGATTTATATTTATGACAGTTGCAGTGTCCCAGGGTCATGTGATCACCCAGCTGTCTTTCATGTCTTAAGGCGGGACTAGAACTTTCCTGGTTTCCAGGTCAGCACATTAACCACTACATCAAACTGGCTTTCTGGCCAAAGCACTTGTAGACAGAGATTTTAGTTCAAGTAAAGAAGGAGAAAAGGCAATTGATATTACTAAAGTCTAGACTATCTTCCTATAAAGGAAAAATGGCAACAGCAGGTAAGAGAACACACATAGATATATAAAAACATGCATGGTATAGAAAATATAGGTAAAAAGATCCCCCCCCCCCATAGTATTAAAAATGGAAAAAATGAAATCAAATCAGGGAACCAATCAATTGTCAGTACCAATAAAATAAATTGCTGTCACATATAGTGTATAGTTAAACCATGACATTTCTTGGACATTAGATGTGCTCATAACCACATTTTATTTATTGAGGTTAAGGCTCAGTGGTTGTATATAAATTTTCTAATCACAGGCAGCATATTTCAAATACCAGCTGCTGCAAATACCAGTAGAAAAGGGCAGAGGCTCTCTTGTCCATTCTTAGAAGCTTCTAAAATGCACTTGGTTGCCCATATGCAATCCAAACTATTGGACTGAAGAAATGCTTGGCTTGAAAAACAATGACGTATAAGGGTATGCAAGTGGCACTGTGGGGTTTAGTGTGTGTGTGTGTGTGCAGGGAGGTGCTGTGCAGGAAGGGAGGGTGAGTGGATTGTGCAAGAGATGCCATGTGAATTGGGGAGATTGTGCAGGGATGCAATGTGGGTTAGGAAGGGAGTGTGGGGATGTGAAGGTAGCACAGGGAGGGTGTGCAGAGTTGCACAAATGTTAGGTAAGGAAATATTTCTGAACTGATGACCCAATGAGTTGTCTAAAACTGACTAAAACTATTTGCTGCCCCACCCCCCTTTTTTTTCCTTTTAGGATCTTTCCAGAATTAAACAGCAATGATATGATTCTTTCAATAGTGAAAGGAATCAACCTCCCAGCTCCTCCAGGTAATCTATAAAATGAGACTAAACTAAGAGGGGGAACCCCCAATGCTGCCATCCTTTTTAAGGATGTTGAAATGACTGACTTCCTTCTTCATGTGTTCTGTAAAATACCCCTCTGTTGGTCCTTTTTCTGTGTTATTACTCTCTTGGCTTTCTAAGAGTGGCAGAAGCCAAAATATTCTCACCAGTATTTATCCTCATCATTGGTACAATCATTGATTCTTGGCTGTTCCCAGTAGATTGACAAGATGGATGCTTGAAAGCATGGTTTTGTCTCTGTTGCCTTTTTTCAACAATGTGGCTGTCTTTAAGAGCTGATTTTTCATTCAGTGTATGCCCTGCCTTTGGTTCCAAAAGAAGGATCAGAAAAATAAACAGCAAAAAAGAAATAACCAAAAAGCAATAAACCTCATATGAAATGATTGGATTATCTAATTTCAGTTACCTATTCTAGTTGGTTACTGCAATAGAATATTTAGTCAAAAAGTACATAATTTTGTTGATTTCTGAACAAATCTGTTGCTGGCATCATCAAACAAAATAAGAGCCTGAAAGGGCATCCTTCAGCAATTATGTCCAATGGACTAGACTCCAATCATGCTGATTTGAAGATTACCAAAGGCCAAGCTTCTCTTGTAGAGATCACCCTGGTGTACAAAAATATATCTGACTCTATTTCTGTTTCACACCTTAGTCTAAATTTGTTTGCCTTCAAGTGGCAGATAATCATGTTTGTGGTTTGAAATGAATGTTTGTAGCTGCTGTCATGCAAGATTGTGTTTTGTGAAGATTTATTTTTAGCTTTCAGATGTCTGTCAAAAAAAATTCTTGACTATTATTTGCCATATTCCTGTTACCTTTTTTTCAGGCATATCTCCTGATGATTTGGATGCTTTTGTGCGTTTTGAGTTTCACTATCCTAATGCGGTAAGTTCCTGCTGGTTTAAAAGCTACTGTTTCATCTACATGGAAATTAGCTTATCTGAACATCCAGTGAGTTCATAGATAGTACCCACGGTCCTTGCCCTTTTTGAGCCTATGAAAACATTTGGAAAGGCTATCGTAGGTAACGAGTGTCAAGCTAACAATGTAGTATGTTATAGTAGGCATGGTGTTGCATTAACAATCCCTTGGGAAGTGAAAGAAACTTTTAATATTTATAATTATCTCTCTTAATATGTCTCTGCAGATGGCATTTTATGAATGATCTTGTTTGGATTGGGAAGCTAAACAGGGTCATGCCTGATTATTATTGTGTATGGCTGGATGGGAGAAACCTAGAGAATATCTTTATCATATCAAACCTATCTAGATTGTAGGCTAGACTGCAGTCAGAAGAGTATCCTGTAAGAAGACAGTGGCAAATTAATTCCATATTGCTGCCAAGAAAACCCCACGAACTCATTACTTATTAAGGTTGACATGAAGAGATGTAACACAGAGATAGAAAAAAATAGATAAAAGGATAAAACTGCTTGTGTCAGATGGTTATCAGAGCCTTGTTAATTCTCAAAGAAGCAGTGATTCTTAATTGCCTTTCACATTCCTGTGTTTTCTAGGAGGAAGCTCAGAAAGACAAGACAAGCGTGATTAAAAACTCCAACTGTCCTGGTAAATCTCTATGCATGAGTTGAAAACGGAGCAAGTGCAAATTTTATTTTTCCGGATTTAGGTTAAAAGTGCATTGGCAGATAGTATTTGGAAACACAATAAGTTTTAACATCTTTTCTTAAAGATCATCCTCAACTGTATTTTTAACTCCCCTCCATAGAAACCCAGGTTAGATATTTGTGATTTATTTGGGTTAAAGACAGGGGTGAAATGTAAAATTTGTTACTACCGGTTCTGTGGGCGTGGCTTGGTGGGGGGGGGTTAATGTGACTGGGTGGGCATGGCCAACTTTTTTCAAAAAAAAACTTTTCAAAGCATTTTTTCTAATGCTTTGAAAAACCTCTGCCAATCAGGCAACTCAGCTGGGATCGTCAGAGAGCCATTTAAAAAAATACCTCTCTGCCGATCAGGCAACTCAGCTGGGAGTTGCCAGAGACTTTTCAAAGCATTTTTTTTACCACCTCTTTGGCCAAGAGGTTGCAGAAAAAGATGCTTTGAAAAGCCTCTGATGATCCCAGCTGAGCCACACGATCATCAGAGGCTTTTTTTTTTTTTTTTTACTTTTAAAAGCATTTTTTCTTCGGAAGAGGTTGTGGAAAAAATGCTTTTAAAAGTAAAAAAAAAAAGCCTCTGATGATCTTGCAGCTCAGCTGGGCATGGGGGGCAGCAGGGATTTTTGCTACTGGTTCTCCGAACCACCCGCCTCCATCGCTACCGGATCGGGTGATCCAGTCCGAACCGGGAGCATTTCACCCCTGGTTAAAGAGGAAAAGTTAAAAATGACCCTCCTTCACAGATTTCATTTATTTCCTTCTTAAGGTTGTGACTTTAAAGTCTTTGACATAATGTGTTCTTGAGCAGTAACAATCCCTCAGACATGTTTTTGATGAGCTATTACAGGTCCTTCAGTTTGCTGTTGGCTTCAGAACATATTAGTTCCTTTCTCTGAAGCTGTTGTTACCTGGCGAAACTTTCTGCAGATATAGTTGTTTGCTGGCTGAGAGTTAAAAAAGATGTGATCAGTTGAAATTTGAAGACAAAGGAGAGGGTTGTTGGTTATGAGCAATTCACGAAAGGCTGTTGGAACATTATTACTGGCATGGACTTGCGAGGATTGCAACACAATCTTCTTTCTTGATAGACAAGGCTAAAAGCCAGAAAGCATAATTTTTTTGGGGAGAAACTGGAACAGAAGGGGATATAGTTGTCAAACTTTGTCTTCATTTCTTGGAATTTGCTGACTGTTACCTTTGGGAATGTATTTCCTGCAAAGGAACAACTAAAAAATATTCCGTGACTAAGTCTTCTGTTTGCCTTTCTGTCAGTTCCTGCCCCCAGTTCAGCATATTAGAATTCAGATTTCTTAAAAATTTTGAGACCAGTTTATTTGAAGGATCATTTCCTCCCATATTCAATTTACCTCTGTGAATTTATCTAGAGAACAGTGGGTGCTTTTAATGCCTAAGCCCCAGATATAATTGCCTTCCTCAAAAAGAGACTCAACTGGTGTTTTTATATCAAACAAATGCTTCTCTGTTTTCTCAAGTTTTTAACTTTTCCATTTTAAACATGTGCTGATTCTTTTTAGAACCTTATACATGTATTGCTAATTTTACTTTGATTTTATTCTGTGGCTGTTTTAATTTGTTTTAAATTAACTTATAAAAGCCCACAGGCAGTGACAACTTTAGAAGACGCACCCAACTATCTGTATGCTAATTTTATAATTCCTCAGAAATTTTCATCAAGTTACATTAAAGAACAAACTAGGACTACTACTTTTCCTGCCCCTTACTTTTGGATAATGTAGTCTGTTGAAGAATTCCCAAGTAGAGGTTAGGCATCTGCCTCACAAACTAACACAACTGCGTTCATTTGAGTCATTGATTTACATATATTCAGGGCCTTTTGGGGGGGGGAGGAAGAGAAAAAAAAACATTTGAATTGAGGTCGGTAATGATTTCAGCCTACCAAGTAATGCAAGCATGACTCCTCCCCATAGACCTTGTTATAGACCTTGCTAAGGTTGCTATAGACTTGCATCTCAACCCAGCTAACCTTTAGGTTTGCCATTTTGCTTTGGCAGAGTTCCAAGAGAAGTTCAAACTGTACATTAATCGGAGCCATCGAGGATTCAAGAGAGCCATTCAGTCCAAAGGCATCAAGTTTGAAGTTGTCCATAAAGGGTAAGCAAGATGCGTCTCAATGCCAATAGACAGCTTTGAAATCAGAAGTCTGCTACGGTAGTAACTTCTCCAATTAACAGACTTTATTCAAAGGTAGAAGCTTTTGTGATGAAGTCAGCTACATGTCATAAAAGCGTATGCCTTTTAATAAAATCTGGGAAATTATGTGCTTGGTGTTGTTTGGGTTTCACAGGTGGGAGGTGTTAGTACTGCTTTATAAGGCCTCGATAAGACCACACCTAGAATACTGCATCCAGTTTTGGGCAACATATAAAAAAGATGTTGAGACTCTGGAAAGAGGGCAGAGAAGAGCAACAAAGAAAGTCTGGGGTGGCATGATAGATATTTGAGGGGCTGCCACAAAGAAGAGGGGGTTAATTTATTTTCCAAAGCACCAGAAAGCAAGACAAGAAACAATAGATGGAAACCAACCAAGGAGAGAAGCAACCTAGAACTAAGGAGAAATTTCCTGACAGTGAGAACAATCAACCAGTGGAACAGCTTGCCTTCATAAATTGTGGGTGCTCCAACAGTGGAGATTTTTGAGAAGAGACTGGGCAGCCATTTGTCTGAAATTGTACTGGTATATAGTCTCCTGCTTGAGCAGGGATTGGACTAGAAGATTCTCCAATTCGGAGGTTCTATGTTAGCAGAGCTGCTTAAATGCCAATTGGTATCTGTGAGCAGAAAATGGCTGCTGTGTAAAGGCACATCTAAGGTCATAAGCTTAATTAGATTTTACATCAAAACCTCAAAATCTGTTAAGAGGATGGTTATATGTCTTCAAATCAGTATTGACTCCTGGTTACTACCTGGACTAGTCCCTGGAATTTTCTTGGTAACAATTTTGGAAGTGCTTTGCCCTTGCCTCCTTCCCGTGGCTGACAAAGAGAGACTGACCCAAAGTCACCCGGCTGGCTTTGTACCTCAGGCAGGACTAGAACTCTTGGTCTCATAATTTTTAGCCTGGTGCCTTAACCACTACACCAAACTGGCTGTACTCCAGGAGGTAACTCTTCTAAAAGATACAAAGTCTGGATTAGGGCTTTGAGTGATGTGTAGATTTGACTGTGTAGATTTGACTGTTGAATCATTTAAAAAAAAAAATCATTAAAACAACTCATAACCAATAAGGCAAGGTTATTTTGGAGAGGTTCTGTGGTATTTTTCTTTCTGAAATGGAATGGAGGCTGGAATTAATTATTGCTATTTCTCTATAGGGGGCTGTTCAAAAATGACCGTGTGGTGGGAACAGCTCAATTGAAGTTGGAAGCACTGGAGACCAAGTGTGAGCTTCGGGAGATTTTGGAAGTAAGTCTTCTCTTTTTGTGAAATGTTGAGAGTCAGTAGCCATGAAAATCTGGGCCCTATGGCCAGACTAGGTAGAATAGATTGGGCAAGCTGCTTTTGCTTGGCCTCTCAGTTTCTATGCAAGATTTGCTGAAAAGATTAGTATTTTTTTGTACAATACATAATTAAACTTTGGGATTTGCTCTCATTCACAGAAGTCATGGGGATCAGTGGCTGTTAGCCTTGCTGGCAGCCTGACTGTCTATGAAGCCATTTTCTGGGAAACTGGTAGAACTCCTTGTGCAGTTGGTTGGCTGTTATGAGAACAGACTGCTGGATTAGATGGATTGGAGGTCTGATCCGACAGGATAGTGTTTATGTTTTTATGCTGCTTTTTTAACTTTTGACATAAGCATAGTTCTTTAACCTTCGGTGCTAAAGATCAAGGTCCTTTTACTGTCAATTGTTTATTGTCTACTTTCTGTTAAAACTTTTTAAAACTGAATTGATTAAATTCGTTATTTGCATTCTAGCTTGGTGTACCTTTAGGTTATTTTATTTCAGCTTCCAGGGAAGAAGCTGTTTTAACCTATTCTAGGCAAAAACTAGGCCCCTTTGTCATTGTGAAAGCTGATACATTTAAAATAACTCCCTGTCTTCACTGTGCCTAAAGTTTCTCTGGGCTTCCAACTTTTGTTACTTGATTTAATTTTGTGTAGCATAGGTAATACAGTGGATAGACAGAGGATATATAATTGTAGGTGTCTAATGGGTTTCAGTGCCTCAAATTAGCTTCTCATGAGGAAGGGTAGTTCACTCCCTGAGTGCCATCATGGTGTGCAGAAGAATGAATAAGGTTTTAAATTAGGACATGTGAAAGCTAGTTCTAGTTCACCTACAACCATGGATACTTCCTGATTGACTTTAGGCCAGTCCTTGTCTTCCAGTTAAGCTTATTTTACTGCAAAGGGTTGTTGTGGGAATAACATGAAGGAAAGTTTCCAAGTGAGTCTCCTGGAACTCCTGGAGAAAAATGGGATAGTATAAAAAAGAAATGGTGTCCTGATAGCAAGTGTTTTCTCATCTGTGATGAATATGATAATTCATTCCTTAATTGGGCTTGGGAGAATATGCTGAATGGTTTTAAGATGCAAGTTTAAATAATGTGGATTCACTCAGGCTCTGATTTCATATGGAAGTGATTTAATGTATCTCAGAGCCTCACAGCTTCATTTGAAGAAGCCATCATATTTATCAATCGCCAATCTTTCCCTGTTCCCCTTTCTAGCTTTTGGATGGTCGACGACCCACAGGAGGCAGGTTAGAAGTGATTGTCCGCCTCAGAGAACCATTGACATCTCAGCAGCTGGAGACCACAACGGAGAAGTGGCTGGTCATTGATCCTCTCACTGGGCCCCCAGTAAGAGCTGAACCACTCTGTGCATTCTAGCGGCTTTTTTCAGTGATAGCAAAGCCTCCATGTATGGTTTTGCATAGAATTCCAGTTTGGTCTGAGCTTTTTTGTAGCTGGGATTCCTGTCTATGCAAAGTCTGATTATAATGTTCCCTTCAGTGAGTACAATTCCATTTTCCAGCTGCACATCCGGAGGCCAAATCTCAGGCCATGTCTTCAGAAAGAGATGTGGGTTCCAAGCTTCACATTCAGGGGGCCCCGCTTGGCTTTGAGACTTCAAGGCCTACAGCCTTTATTGCTCTTATGGGGCTGGTTTCCTTATACTTCAGGGACAGCTTGTGGGATGTGAAGGGTCAGATTGCATCCAATCCTGTGCATTCTAGAGATATAAGGAAAAAAATTGCACCAAGGTATCCTAAACTCTGTAGTGTGCACAGATCTGGCAGATATGTGTGAGTTGGCTTGCGTAAATTATTTTGCAACAGTTAATTACTTTGCATATTGTATTTCAATTTTGTAAGAATTTGATGTGTTAATAGATATCCAAGAGGGCATTAAAGCTCTGTCTTCTGCCTCTGATGCTTGTCCCTTGAGATTTTACCAGACCTTATTTCACACTATTTCATCTCTAGCTTCACAACCCATCAGAACCATAAACTTACTCCTTCATCTTTCAAATGAAAATTGAAATAATAGGAACCTGGATTCCATGCCCAGAACCACATATTCTATCTTTATCTGTGCTGCCATAGAATCTTTAATATGTACAGTAGTTGCCAAAATTGTGGAAACCTTTTGGAAAAAGTGTATTTTCTAAAACTAGCTAATAACACCACTTTTTTTTTTGAGTAGTACCATAAAATTATATATCAATGGAAAGACAATTTAATCAAGAATGTAATGCAATAACTTTTATGAAGGATTTGCTATTAGAATAGCAGTTACAGTATAAAGAAAAGTGAAACATGTAGAAAAAACAAGATATACAAGAATTATCACCATGTCAGTTAATAGCTGGGTAACCTTTAGCATGAATTATGGCCTTACAACTTCTTCCCATGGAGTGAACCAAGTCTTTTAGTTCTCCAGCTGTTATAATGTGAAACCAAGATTGAATGATTGCTTCTATTAACTGGGTTTTATTGCTGGGTCGCTTCTGACTAACAAGTTTCTTTAGTCAGCTCCATAGATTTTCGATTGGGTTAAGGTCTGGGCTATTCCCAGGCCATTCCAGCAGTGGAATATGATTATCTTGAAACTCCAAAAAAAAGTGGTGTTATTAGCCATCAAACCTCAAAAATACACTTTTCCGAAAAGGTTTCCACAATTTTGGCCATTACTGTATATAATTATTTACAGTTTACGCTAATGGTTTATGTCATCCTGAGACATCTGAATGAAAATGACCATTTTTCATATACATGTGTGTATATGCTGGTCTATGATTCAAGTAAAGATTTTATTGGCTGAAAAAAAAAAAGAAAATGACCATTTTTACAGAAGACGTTAATAGACTCTCTTTTCTTCACGTAGGCTGCCTTTCCCAAACCTAAGCCAGCAGTAGCTCCTGTGAAAGATACAGGCACTAGGTAGGTATGTTCTCTGACTATACTGGTCTTCAGGATTTGAATTCTACACACAGTGATCTGTGTTATAATTTAAAACATACTATATTATGCCTGCCTGTTGAGTAGTGATTGCACAAAGGATAAAATGAGAATTGCCTGGTTCAGGTTGGATATTGCTATCAAATGTCTCAAGGTGCCATCTTATGGGGGTTTGTAATTGCATTTCTGAGCCATTGGCATCCTTCAACATGTAATGTCTGCTCTATAACCACATACATATGCATACACACATACAAACATAATCATTCTTGCATGTGTGTACCCTCCTCTATGTAAATAATAATAGATGAGAATAAACAATCACAGGTAGTTCTCGATTCATTTGTGACCTGAATCTCAGTCATTGAGCAAAGCAGTCATTAAGATATCACATGACTGCTTCGCTCAACAACAGGACTTCCAATTGCAATCTCGTGGGTCATTAAGTGGCTGCAGTGTCAGGCAAGGAGCATGGAGTTCCTCAGGAGGAGGTAGGGGAGACCCTAGGAGACTCCGCTCAGGAACTTTAAAATTCTTCCTGCTGAAATCCAAAAAGGATCTTCAGCCCTTAAGCAAAGAAACATATGTTTGCAGCCTGCACTGGACCTCCCTCACCTGTCTGAGACACCCCACCCCACCCTCCTCACCTTACTGTGCTGCCTCTCTGCTTGGCTTTCATCTCCATCTCATCTCTGGGGGCAGGGTGAAAGAGCAGCTTGTAGAGCAGCTCCCCTTTCATGCGCAGAAGGGAACTCCTTCGGCAAGGTGCAGGAAAGGAGCTCAAAAATTCAGGATTTGAGCTCCATTTCTGCACTCCACAAAGGAGTATTTTGTTCCTCTGGATAAGAGAAAAATGTTAAGCAGGCATTTTTAAGCAGTCTTTAAGAGGAGAGATACATGTTGAATAACTAAATCAGAGTCCACCTGGGATATTTTGATGACTGCGGTAGAAAATCCAAAGAGAATATTATTTTTCCCCTATAGAAGAGATTGGGAGATTGCTCAGACAATTTTCTTTCTGTGAAATAATTTTCCTCTGAAAGTATGTTTTCTCCAAAAGTAGTGGTAATGGCCTTTGGTTTCTGTTTTTTAGGCCTTGTAACTGTGTTTCTGTGATTGGCCAATTTTGAGGTTATGCTGTGTTTGTTTTTCCCTCCAGCAAGCCGGCCTGTTCTCTGCAAAGCTTCAGCATATTAACTTTGGACAAGGAGAGGCTGGAGAAAAAGGTCAGTGATGTGGATCTCTCTGTATGTGTGTGCATGCGCACAGACGCACGCAGGGAGGGGATGAGGCAGTCACATTGCACAACCTCAGTATACACTGCTTTGCTTTGCTTTAATTTAATTTACACCAAAAGGCAGGCCCCCAATTTTCTGCCCTTCAGATTAAATCATTTCTCGGAAGTGAGGGAGGAAGAAAGGAAGATGCATGTGTGCCTGCATACATACATAATTACACAACAAGGGAGTGTCTTTTCAGTTGACTTTATCTTTTTATAAACATTTTATCTTTTCATAAGCATAGGTATTATAATATTTGTTCCACAAAATTCAGTAAATGAGAAATGAATAGCCCTAATATTACCAAACATTTCCCTGTTTTTCTTTTGTTCTTGCATGTGAGTTTGATCACATAAGCAGTTTAAATTTCCAATATTTAGTAATTATTCACTTTGTACAATGTAAACTAAATTTTGACAGGGCGAGAGACAGATAGGTGATAAGAAGTAAGAAACATGCAACAAATGCTGTATAGGTTAGGAAAATTCTGTGGTTTTGGTTCTCACCATCTTTTTTCATAGAAAAAAGGTTTTGGTTCTCACCTTTATTTTTCATAGAAAAATAAAGGTCATGAGAACTTTCCAGAGTAGAATTGCAAACCAAATATTGATTGCACTGCATATCTACACACACTCTACACATAATCAGAACCCTGGTTCCTGTATAGCACGGCACTGAGAATAGCATTGGTCACAGCTGGAGAGAGAGAGAGAGAGATGGATGGATGGATATTTTATGTTCTGCCCATTTTTGCTGTGGGTTATTTTTGTTTTCTGGTCCTGCTGCTTCATAATCTATGTTTTGTTTTATTTTCAAAGTAAGAAAAATACAACTAGATTTTAGATTTGATTTATGAAACATATCTAACCTTCCTAAGGTCTTATTTTGAAAAAAAAAAAACTTGTGCCAAACTAAAAGAGACAGTAGGAGATTCAAGTGCTTGTTCAAGGCCTCTGGTGCTCAGTGTCTGTAAGTCTCCCCCTTGGCACCTGTTCAAGAGAGCTCAGAAACGCTCTGAGGCTGGAAAAGAAGACGTTTCTGGGGGCTGATTACTCAACCTGTATAGCAATTAACTTGCTAGAATTTGGTCCTAGAATGTCTCTTATTGTATATTGTGCACTCTCCAATGATTTTGTTAGGGATTTACAAACACCTCACTTTTGTTAACAGATAGTGACATACAATCAAGCTGGTCAGCCTCCACCCAGTGACCTGGTAGAGCAGCATCAAAGCATCATTCAGAAGATCAACTGGCAAAAGTCCCAGCTACAGCATGGAGGAGCTGCAATCATGAAAGGTATTTTGATAGGAAGGCTCAGCTATGAAACCTGTCTTTCTCCTCCAAACTGACCTTGGTACACCAATCAGCCCTAAGGTATCCAAGCGACTGTTCCTGACCATGTTTGATCTTCATTCTACAGAATATCTGACTCGATTGGAGCAGTACCTCCAATGGTACACAGAGGCAGCAAGGCGCCTTGGAAATGACGGAAAACGGGTAGGGAGTGATTGTATAGAATGGTGGTAGGGAGAGGGGAAAAGACTCATTTTCAAACCCCTGAACTTGGTTTTCAGTGGAGGACCATTTATTTAAAAGAGCACGGAATCTGTGTCAATACTAGGGCAGTATCTGAACACAGGCCTCAGCTACAATACTATCTCCTCTATTGTTTGGCAGGAGGCAGCTAAGGATGCTCTTTACAAGCGCAATCTGGTGGAGAGGGAGGTGAGTAGTGCCTGCAGATTCTCCTTTTCCCTGCCCAGTTGGTCAGAATAGATTGAGACAAGTCCGGAACCTTTTCCATCTTGTGTCATGGGTTCCCCTTTGGGGAGTCCCTTCTTTCTTTTGGGCGGGAAGACATGGTTTTCCTGAAGGATTTTAAGTTGTACAATTTAACTGAGTACTTGTACTACTGAAAGTGTTCTACAAATCAGGGGTACCTAATCTTGGCAACTTTAAGACACGTGGATTTCATATCCCAGAAAGGGAAATTCTTGGAGTTGAAGTCTACATGTCTCAAAGTTGTCAATATTGGCAACCCTTGCTACATACGATAAGGCCATGTCTCCAAGTCCTCCTAAATCAAAATGTTCTCCACTTTGGGGTGCATGGTTTTCCTGTAGCTGCGACTGGGGCAGGTTCTTTCTCCTGTCTCCATAGGCATAGGAATGCTCATTGCTGAGGTCTTCCCAGTCTAAGTGGTAAGTCACTTCAATGGCTACGTTATACTAACTGCACTGGTTCCCAAGTTGAGTCCAATTTAAGAGTGCTATTTTGTACTTTTTGAGGGAGGTTATTTAAACAATTGCCAATTTCCACAGATATTTCTTAGGTGATCTTGTTATCAAATATTAGGCTGGTGGCTGCCAGGGAGACAGTCTTCACGGTGGTTCTTAAAATCTCAGTGTGTCCACCCTGGATTATTTTAATTTTTTTACTTTTTATATTTTTATGCCAGCTTTTGATCAGCCTTGGGAAAATTTATATGTTAGTGGTCTTTATTTTTTATATATATTTTTATCCTTCCTGTACTATTTATATAAATAACTGAAGGTGGCGCAAACATACCTAATATGCTTTCCACCTCCTATTTTCTCCACAACAACTCTGTGAGGTAGGTCGGGCTGAGAGAGAATGACTGGGTCACGGTCACCCCTTGCATGATAAGGTGGGACGCTAGTGCCTTAACCACTAGACCAAACTGGTTCTTATGAGTGCCATAGATGGTTTACCTATACTTTTGTCTTTTCTTGGAAACATTGATGTGCCTGCATGTTTTTGTCTTTCAGCTGCAGAAGTTTCGGAAATGAAGCTAAGCCACTTATCTATCCAAGCAACAATGCTTTCAACCATGGTCTTTTCACTGTTACAGGTGAAGGGTAGTGGAAAGACCAAAATGCATAGGCTGTATGCTGATGGATCAGTAATGCCACAAGCTGATTCTTGATTAATTGACTTTGCAGAAAATTCTTCCTAGGCTTCACCATAAATACATTATAACCCCAATGACCTGAAGAGACAATCCACGTGACAGGTGCCTTATAGCTACATCCACCACTCCTTCCTTCCGTTTGCACTAAGCATTTTGCACATGCCACTTGAGCTCTGTTTTTTTTTTAACCTGATCTAATCTAACCCCTTCTCAGTGGTCAAGGAGACCCTTGTGTATGAAGTCTTATATGCCCAGGCCTGTGGGATTCCAGTTTTTAAAACTACCTTATATACCGGTTGAGAAAGAAGTCCCGTTCACATGGTCTTTCTCCCCTGACCAGGGTATTTAATAGTTTTAGGTGTGTAATGTAGATATCAATTGCAATGATGGAAAGATTCCATCACATCCCAAATTAACTGAGTTGGCCTAGTTTGGAATTTGGCACTTTCAGTGTGTTTAATGAGTTTATTCCAGAAGCCATATAGTCTGCATTCATTTCCTAGATTTCCTTATAGCTACATCCATCACTCTGCTCTCTTTTGCACCAGGCACTTTGAACACTCTTTGATTTTCTGGCCCTTACTGGTGTATTCTGACAACTGAAAATTCACTTTTCTGACAACTGAAAATTCACTTTTCTGACAACTGAAAATTCACTTTTGACTCATGTAATCACTTCTCAGTGGTCAAATAGATCTAGTTGGGATTCCTTGTGTGTGCAGTCTTATATGCCAGTTGAGGGTCCTGCATATGTGGTATCCTTCTCTACTGAGAGCTAACTAGTCTGCTCCTTAAACAATCTCTAATATGGAGAAGAACGTAGCCACAAGACTCATACTTTTTGATGGGTCTGGACCTGTAACATACACTTTCTCGTTGTTTCTACCTTGTCTTGGAGGGACCAAGAGGCAAAGCATCTATGAGACTGCTAAATGAGATGGTTCCCTTCTTCAGTGTATAGAGAGTAGCAGAGCAGTCTTTCTCCTAAGGAAGGAATAACTTTTCAGTTCTGGTGTACAGTTTATGGAATTCATTCATGGTACTCTTACGAAGGTTAGATTTTCTTCTCATAATATATGTAATTGTACTATTTCTGTTGAATGGGAAATGGTGTCTGATAACCTCTACTTCCTGATACATTATAGAGAGAGATTGCGTCACTTAGCTCCCTCTTCCCCATACAAAGACAAGAGAGAAGCTACTGAAACCTGTTGGGGTGTTTCTTTTTTCTTTCTTTTTTTTTTTTTTTTGTATAATCTATTTTGACAGATGGAAATGTGATCTTTCCTAGTTCTTTTTTCTGTAAGATTTGAGTATAAGAAAATAACTCAGGATTGTTGCTGCTACTCAGGATGAAATGAGGTGATGAACTGTGGGTTGTATCCAGGTGGTCTTCCCTGCCTCCGCCTACATACCTTTTAAAACCAAATTTTAGTTTATTGTAAAGATGACAAAAGGAGAACAAATGTACTATATACCCTTTTCTTTCCTGACCCATTTTCACAATCTCATTTTTATAAAAGTGCCTGTCTCTGAAACTATTGTTCAGCCAGAGGTTTTCAGAATTAATGTTAAAAGCAAAGGCTGCAAATCTGTGTTATGGCTTTATTTTATGTGTAGGATGACATAAATATATAACATTTTTAAAGGAGGGAGGGGAGAAACTTTGTTCAAAACAAAAAATCTTTAATGTACCAGTAATAAATTCTCCAAGCCTCCTTTTAATCTGGATTCTGTTTATGTGTCTGCTCAACAGTAAGATGCCATTCTTATGGAAACTTCCATTTATTTTACCACTTTAATTTCTTTTTTTCCCCATCCATCTCTGTATAAAGAGTTTAATCTGCTAAAATAACACAAGTTAGTTTATGAAGTCATTTGATGTTGAAATAATTTAGTTTCTATGGCTTCATCCTTGATACAGGCATGGTGCCTTTGATCTCAATTAAAGTTATATTCTCCATAGAAAAATACAAGCCTTATGACTTTAGTCTTGTAATGATGGACCCTTAGTTAGAACATAGAATAAAAGGGCTGGAAGGGACCTTGGAGGTCTTCCAATCCAACCTTCCGCTTAGGCAGGCAATCCTATACCATTCTGGACAAATGGCAGTCCAGTCTCTTCTTGAAAACCTTCAGTGATGGAGCACCTATGATTTTTGGAGGCACGTTCCAGAGGTAAGTTCTTTTGAATGTTGCCCCCAGTCATAAATGTGGAAGATCAAAACACTGACTTAGTAATTCTATGTGATAGTGAACAGCCTAGCTGTCATTTCTGTCATCTTCTTTGCAAAATGATTAAATGGGATTTGACACATGGGGAAGAAAACCTTGGCATTTGCAACTTTCTAGCTCACTGCAGCAAGCTGGGCTCTTAGATTGGAAATACATATAAGAAGTGATGCAGAAGAAGGAACTGTGGGGGAAGTGCTCCACTGAATATGTCCTTGCCAATATTGCAAATGAGTGCAGGAGGATGCACTAGCTTCTTCTGGGTAGGACTGTCACATTAGTTTCTGGAAAGCTTAGCCAAGCCAAATGTCAATTGGCATTCCAAGCCATTGGCAATCAGCATTCCAGTTTTGCTCCAAAGAAAAGCAGCTTGCTTGCACTGGCTTTGTTGTATTTGGCTGACGGAAACCACAAGAGTAAACACTATACAACAAAACCCCTTCCAGAAGTTGGCAGGTAGGTTAGGTTCATCAAAAGGCCTGAGGAAGTGCAGAGAATTCCGGATGGTAATCTGCAGAAGAAACAGATACAATCAGTTGGATGTGACATGTCTAGAAAGATTGGCTGTATTTATACTTATAACACGGGATTTTCTGCACATGCAGAAGCAGCACTTTACTTTTACTTTTATTATATTTATATACCACTCTTCTCCTGAAGGACTCAGGGCGGTGAACAGCCATGGTAAAAACAGTATACAAAACAAAAAAATTAAAAACTTATTAAAATAATTCAATCACTGGCCAAATTTAAAACACCCAGCTAAAATCGTTATTTAAAACTCCTATCAAAACCCAATTAAAATCCTTTATCCTGTCAGACCGGCTTGCTGGAATAATAGGGTCTTCAGAGCACAACGGAAGGCGCGGAGGTCGGGGATCCTTCGTATGTCCGGGGGCAATTCATTCCATAGGGCCGGGGCCCCCACAGAGAAGGCTCTCCCCCTGGGGGTCGCCAGCCTCCATTGTTTGGCTGACGGCACCCTGAGGAGGCCCTCTCTGTGGGAGCGTACTGGTCGGTGGGAGGCAAATGGGTGGCAGAATGCGGTCCTGTAGATAATCAGGTCCTAAGCCACAGAGCGCTTTAAAGGTGGTAACCAACACCTTGAAACGCACCCGGAAGACCACCGGGAGCCAGTGCAGCTCACGCAAGAGGGATGTTACATGGGAACGACGAGTCGCCCCCATTATTACTTGCGCGGCTGCATTCTGGACCAGTTGGAGCCTCCGGGTGCTCCTCAAGGGGAGCCCCATGTAGAGAGCATTACAATAGTCCAGACGAGAAGTGACGGGAAGCACTGACATCAATACTACACATTTAGGTTGAACTGCGTTGTGGACTGGGAAAAGACTAGGGTGCGAAAGGAAAGCTCAAACTGATAAAAATTGCCAAACAAACCTTGGGTAATGAGATCCTCATTCAAGGATCCAATCCCAGCAGGGGATTATCCCATTTTGGTAGGATCTGGCACAATTATTGCTATCATTTTAGTGCTGGGTGAAGACATTAATAAAATTAACTACAGCTTCTGTGGATATTCAGTTTGCTGCAGTTTCATTCTGTTACACTGTATAGATGTTTATAAACCACTGGATTTACACTCATACACATTTTTGGGAAACTTAAAAAGCAATGTACAAATGATTAGGTCAACCACCGATCTATCTGCAACTAGGTTGTATCAAATTGCAGGTGGCATTTACATCCTATCATTCATACAAGAAAGCCATCTTAGTGCAATCTAAAAACCAGGAGACCTTGAGTTCTAGTTCATCTTAGGCACAAAACCAACTGGGTAACCTTGGGCCAGGCATGCTCTCAGCCCTAGGAAGGAGGCAATGGCAAACTTTTGAAATATTGCCAAGAAAACAGCAAAGATTTGTCCAGGCAAACAACTGGGATTCAACACTGACTTGAAGGCACTCTTCCCCCTGTCAGTTTTTATATGGACAGGTAGTCCTTGACTTAAGACCATAAATTGTGGTCATTATTTTATGACCTTTTTTTTGCAGCAATCAAGTGAATGCCAGGATCATTAAACAAATGTGGCAGTCATTAAATAAATAAATCCAATGAAAGTACTGCCAAAAACCAGCAAGAATTGTAGTACAAATGGCTATAAATACAAGCTAGCTGCCAAGCATCCCAAATGCAATCATGTCTCCATGAGGAGGTGCAATTGTCAGAACTCTGGAAACAAACCATAAGTAATTTTTTGTGGGTCCATCGTAATTTTGAACAGTCACTAAGTGGCTAGTTGTTAAGCAAGGACTACCTGTACACATTTCCTTGAAGGCAACTACCATAGTAGGGAACAGCATCAATTTTTCTTGTACTTGCTCTGTGATGAAAATGAAAGCTATTTTGTATAGTCTCATGAATCTCACTCAGCTTTGTAGTTCAACTTTCAAGCATACACTCAAGAGATAATTTTCTATACTTTTTTTCCTATCCAGCTCCTCTACAGCTGAAAACTATAAGGAATCTGTTATCAGTTAATAATTTTAATAATTTTTATATCATTAAATCACTTATCAGAAATTTCTGATTCCACTAGAGCTGAAAAATATACTGCTCAAAAAAATAAAGAGAACACAAGCAGAAGATATCTGAGATCTGAATGAATGAAATAGCCTTATTAAATACTTTGTTCATTACATACAGTAGTTTATACACTGCTCAAACAACTAAAGGGAACACAAAACTACTGTATGCAACGAACAAAGTATTTAATAAGGCTGTTTCATTCATTCAGATCTCGGATGTCTTCTGCTTGTGTTCCCTTTATTTTTTTGAGCAGTGTATATAGGATAAATGCAAACTTATAAGTTAGGCCCACGGTGTGCTCTAAATCTAACCTCTTCCAGGCTGCTTTCCTAGGTGCCCATTTGAGTCTGGGCCTGATGTCCAGCTTGCAGGACAGAGGTGCTGATAGGCTCTGGGTTGCCTGCCAGGTCTACTACTTCCAAGAATTTCAGGTCTGCAAATGCCACTTCCGACACATTGGCTGCCAATAAGCGATTGGATCTACAAAACAAGGAGGGTAGAGTAATGTCACAAAAACTGGAGCCTGACATTTTTGGTTCTTAAAAGATTTTTGGAGGGAATTCCAAAGGAGGCTATTTTCATTTAAAATACAGACCATTTGTTTTGTTTGAAATTGTTTTAAAGAGGAAGAGGTACACACAAACTAAACTCACAGATCCTTAATTTATGAGCTGTAAGCATATAATATTTAGACTACAGTAGTTAGGCATTCATTCTTTTATAAAAGGCAGTTAGTTGGTCTTTCATTTACCTGAGAGAGATGACCCGTATATTGGATGTTGTGAGGAAAGTCTTAGCCATAATGACAATAATTCTGTTGTGTTGCAAGTATAGATATTCCAGTGATTCTGGAAGGTCTGGTGGAACATATGACAACTCATTGAAACTCAGATCCAGGAGCTGGAAAGGAAAAACCCACTAAATATTAGGTTTGGTTGTCATTTACAATGGCAATAACCAGAGATAAGAAGCTATCCTCCATAAACCTACCTAATCTGTAATTTCTGCAGACTTTCATAATGCACTATGTAAAGCAGCTTTTCCTTTTGTCTGTCTTGAATCCATAATAATATAACTTTACTAGATTAAACTAAATATGATGTTATTTATTTGCAAATTCAAATTTAATTTTGCATGTATGTGTCTATATTTGTTTCAACTTGATTTTGAATGTCAATTCCCAATTGCTTTACTTACACATAGGAGTTTATTCTGAAAAGCTCTACCATTTTGCTGTCCTAAAATGACCTTTTTAGCCACAAAAATATAGCAGTCAACTTGAGCAGTCAACTCCTTCCCTGTTCCTTCTTGCCTCACCTTGAGCCCATGCAGCTCATGCCAAGTGCCTGGAGAAATACTGCTGATCTTCAGCCGGTTGTGTGCCAGGTGCAGCTCTTTAAGCATGGTGAGGTTAACTAACCGTTCTGGAGAAAGAGCATTGAGCTGGTTCTTCTGAAGGTTGAGGACTTGAAGACTGATGGGCAACCCAGCAGGGAGAAGTGTGAGCCTATTGCCAGAGATGTCCAGAGTTTCTAGGAGCCTAAGTTTGCGGAAGGCCAGACGGTGGATGTGGGCACTATAAAGCCGGTTGTAACTGAGATTGAGCTCAGTCAAAGCATACGTGGCCGCAAAGTCATTCAAGCCAACACGTGCAATCTGGTTGTGCAACAGCATCAAGGATCGGACACGCCGCGGAAGTCCAGGTGGGATTCCATCTAGCTGATTATTGTACAAATGGAGTGTATGCAGGGAGCGCAAGTGGGCAAAGGCTTCTGGGTGTATCCCTGAAGTTGTTAAAGCATTGCTTTGCAATAGGAGATACTGCAGGCCTCGCACACGGCTAAGACGCTCAGGCGGTAGTCCCTTCAAGCAGTTTCGGCCCAAATGTAGTATTACTATGTTGGCAGGAAGACCAGCAGGCACCTCCGTCAAGTTGTTGTTGGAAA